GTATTGAAGACCTTCCTTTTGATACCAGTACTCAGATCTGTGGATTTCATGATCTCTTTCAGTGACCAATATTTCTTCCATCCGTTAGCTATTCGTCTTTTTATTTCTTTTGTAGTTGTGTCTGTATGTGAGATGATTTGTCCTAAATAGATATATTCATCTATATATTCAACGGGTTGGTTGTTAATTTTTATTTCATATTTGTTTGAATTCGTTAATAGCTTCGTTTTGTTTATATTCATAGATAAGCCCACTTTTTTGCTCTCTGTATTTAGTTCTTGTATCATTTTTTCTAGGCTCCCTGGTTGTTCTTCAAATAAAACAATATCGTCAGCGAATCTAAGATGGTTTAGTTTTTTACCGTCTATATTTAATCCATGTTGTTCCCATATTAGCTTCCGAAATATGTTTTCCAGCACCGCGGAGAACAGCTTTGGAGACATCGGGTCGCCCTGTCTGACGCCTCTTTTTACTTGGAATGTTTCACCCAAGGTTTCCATTTGTACTCTTGCCTTACTGTTAGAGTAAATGTTTTTAATGGTGTTTATGTACACTGTCGGAATTCCTTGGTTCTGTAAGCTTTCCCATATGGCTGTGTGGCTAATGCTATCAAATGCCTTAGAATAATCGATAAAAGCCATATATAGCGGTTTGTTGTGCTCATTATATTTTTCCATAATTTGCTTGACTGTGTGGATGTGATCTATTGTGGAGAAGTTTTTTCTAAAGCCAGCTTGTTCCTTCGGTTGGTTTTCATCAAGTGTGTTGCTTATTCGGTTCAAAATTATTTTGGAAAAGATTTTATATATGTTAGACATCAGACTTATCGGTCTGTAGTTCCCTATGTTATCTCTTTCTCCTTTCTTATGTATGAGAATGATGAGGGATGTCTCCCATTGTTCTGGAACCTGTCCCGACCTCAGGATGCCGTTGAAGATTTTAGTTAGAATGGGGACCAGTTCTTCTATGGTTCCTCTCAGTAGTTCGTTTGTGATTTTATCAGGACCTGGTGCTTTGTCTAACTTTTGGCTTAGTATGGCTTTCCTAGTTTCTCTGGGTAATATGTCAGGTTCTGGGTTCACTAAGAGCAGATTATAATTTAGGGTTTCTTGACTTACATGTGTATTGGGGTCTTGGTTAGAATATAGATTGCGGTAGAATTTTGTAGCTATTCTATTTATGTTCTTTCGGTCTGTTACATTTTTTTGGTTGTTTTTCAATTTCGGGATCCATTGGTTTCTCGGAGTTCCTTTAAAGCTTTCCTAGTTCCTCCTGTCCTTGCTATATGTTTTTCTAGAGTTTGCAACCTTTTAACTTTCCTGTCCTTTTTTATACCTTCTTTGATTTTTTTGCTTAAGTCAGTTATTTTTTGGATGTTCTGTTTCCTTACTTTGCAGTCAAGTAAACTTTTTCTATCATTTATAAGTTGTAGTGTTGAGTTACTTAAATTATATTTATGTTGTGGTCGTTTTTGTTCTTTTTGACATGTAATGTTGTTTTGTAATTTGTTGTAACTTGTTTTTACATCTATTGCATCTGTTTCTAATAGTTCTCTGCTGAGTGATGACAAGGAATTCTCCATTCTTTTGTTGGGTTCTGTGCTGCATGTCGGGAGTGTGTCATGTATAGCAAACTTTCTGGATTGTTTGGGTGGTATAGTCTTGAGTGACGCCCTTACCATGCGGTGGTCGGTATTAAAGTTTAATTTTGATATAACTGCTGTGTCCGTAAATAGATTTGGGTGGCTGCTTATAATATAGTCTATTTCGTTTCTATGATTCCCGCCTGGAGAGATCCAAGTCCACTTGTTGTTTTTGTTTTTCTTAAAAATGCTATTTAGGAGGGTTAGATTGTGTTCTAATAAGAGTTCAACCAGCCTTTGTCCATTTTTGCTTCTTTTGCCGTAGCCAAAGTTTCCTAACACATATTCTTCTTTACATTGTTTTATTCCCACTTGAGCATTAAAATCTCCCATTAGTACAATTATGTTTTTTGAGTAATTACTTATAATAGCTTGGGATAGTTCATTGTAAAAAGATTCATGTTCAAGTTCTTTTGCTTGTTCCGTGGGAGCATAGGCTTGGATAATTGTCCATGTTTTTTTGAAGCTAGGTAATTTGATGTTGAGTATAGCAGTTCGGTCATTAATTCCAATGAATTCTATTATGTATTCTTTTAGGCGCTTTTTAACTATGAATCCGACCCCTCCTTGTCCTTCGGTGTCTCCTTTGTTAAATAGCACGAAGTCCTGGTGCTCTTCAATACATTCTCCTGTTCTTCTCATTTCACTGATTCCCAAAATGTCCCATTTTAGGTCCTTCAATGCTTCTTCAAGTTCCGATAAAGATTCTGGTGTTCGTAAAGTTCTGGCATTTAGAGTTGCTATGTATAATTTGTTCTCATTCCTTTTGTTTTTTGTTCTTGTTAGAGGGTGATGGTCTAAGTCTTCCGCGGGGACCAGCCGTGGTGGAAGATATTTTTTTGATTGTTTGTGTAAATAATTAATTGTTGGTGTATAATGGTTCCGGGGGTCCTGGGGCATATTCAGTTTTTTGAGAGATTTATTTGTGGATCAGAGCTTGCTCTTTCTACATAGTTTAGTATGTTGGGTCTTAAGATATCTCTGGTATGTGTTTTGGGTAGTGTGGATGATGGATTGTTCAATATTGTATTGTCTTTGATTAACATAACCTTTACACATTTAAAGAAAAACGCTTTTTACCGGATTAAAGTTATGTTTATTATTATAAATTTACAACTATTTGACATAATTTTAAATTTATCCGACGTTTCGCGTGCTTTACAGCGTGCGTGGTCACGGTGACTCCGTCACCGTAAATTTATAATAATAAACATAACTTTAATCCGGTAAAAAGCGTTGTTCAATATTGCTTTCTTGTTAGTTTTCTTTTCTAATGGTTCCTTTGGTGAGTCGGAAGTTTCTCTCTTCCTCTTCTCTCTATTTTCTTTCGGCTTCTTTACAATGAGCTTGTCGTATTTTATATAGGCGATATTTCCTTTCTTTATTTCTTCTTGGACGGATACATGTCCCGGTGTTTAAAAAACTATGTTAGGATTATAAGTTGTATTGGCACTTTACTACAATAAGTAGTGAGCGCCCCTCAGGCCTAAATGCCACGTAAGCCATCGGAATAGGCCCAAGTGTTTTATCCGTGTGAGCAAAAATCTTCCGCGGCGAAACTTTGACGGGCGTTATAATTATATTGGTAAGTAATTTCTATTGAATATTTTTATTACTGATCGTGGTTTCAGTCAACTTTTGTTTCTTTGCATGCATTAGAGTTTAAATTACACTGTTTATCATGTTTTATTGCTAAATAATTTTTATTTATTTCGCAAATAAAAAGGGCAAGTATCCGCATCAAAAAGGATAGTTGCCCTACTTACTGTCGCGGATAGTTGCCCCTAGAGTGACTTAAAATGTCTTAACAAGCAAAGACGGATTTTATTTTTTTGCTGTTTTTTGATGTTTATTCGAATTTACTTTGTCTCTAACTTGTTGTAAATTAAATAAATATCTACTTCACAGTTTTATATATTTATTATAGATAAGCAAAAGCCTCATCAACATCAACTGGACAGAAGATAGCTTAGCACTTGCCTTCGAAAAATTGAGACAAAGTTGGGATTAAAGCACAACTTTATTAATGAGAGTAAAATGGCTGGACCTCAATGGCTTAAAAGCTTTCTTGAAAGAAATCCTGATATAACTTTGAGACAAGCTGAGGGTTTATCAATTGAAAGAGCGTAGGGTCTCAACAGAACAGAAGTTGCAAATTTTTTCAAACTCTTAACAACTATTTTAACTGAGAATAATTTGCTGGATAAGTCAGATAAAATATTTAACATGGATGAAAGCGGTGTCCAACTCAATAATAAAATTGGTAAAGCATTAGCTAAGAAAGGTGCTAAACCAGTTAAATCAGTTACTTTCGGTGAAAAAGGAGAAAAAATTACTGTTGTTTCTTAATATTTCAAATTGTACTTAATAAAAGATCTCAGTAAATTATAAAGACTGTTAAATAAATAATAAAGATTACTCTATTTGATATAAATTTCTTTCTATCCAAAAAAAAAATGCACGAGGCAAGTATCCCCCGAAGCATTTTCTACGCTAGGCTACTATCCGCCATAGTAGGCAACTATCACTTTTCTGAGAGGTGAAATAAAACGGTATTTATTCAAAACCATTGTTAATTATGTATACAAAAATAGGCTTTTATAGAATATAAAAGACCTATGTTGCGAGATACATACTGAATAATTTTCAGCAAGTTCATTTTAAAAAATATAAAGCTTTTTCGAAAAGTGGGGCAACTATCCGGCTTTTCCCCTAATCGGTCCATTTGTACCAAACCAAGTAGGAAAACATCAATTTAGAAACTTTTTTTAGGTATTTTCCTGTGATGTCCCATAGTCTTGGGACTAGCGAGTATATTCGAAAAAGGAGAAAGAAAGAACTTTAATTTTTAATTTAAGCTTTCTTTTCTATCTATCTATCTATTCATGTACTTAATTGACTTATGTTTTCTGTTTCGTAAATTTTGATTAACAATGTAATCTATTTTGGATTTGTATATTGTCTAAGTGTTTTCTTTTATAATATGAATATGTGTAGCTATAAGATTACTTTTGAATAAATAAAATTAACTAAAAACAATTCGTCGGATTTTTGTAAATGTTCCGCAAATGAAGACGAATAAAACTGATCTCCAAATAAACTTTTTTGTTTGTTGGTTGGTCACAATTTTACGGTGACATAAAGAATTATTAAGCCGTAACACAGCCTCGTTTAAGGTAATAACGTCACGGAATGCTAATTCCATTCATTATACATTACTCCGTAAAACAGAGTAGACGAATCAAGTGTAGTGAATAAAAAAAATAGTGTCTTCATAGTACTTTAAAAATTTATAAAATAATATGTATTTAAAATAAAACAATATTTATAATTATAAAAGTTATATAAAAAAATAAAGATGGATCTATTTAATTATAATTTATCTAACTATTCCTTTCCACACATTGGTCTCCGTTCACCGAATTTAACGAACACAACAGTAAGTTTGCAAGATAACTTCGAAATAGATTTGGAAGATACGAATTGGATTTTGACGTCGGCATTTATTATATTTACTATGCAAACTGGTGAGTATTATGAACTCGACTTTGTATTTGCCTGTTGTTCCCACGAGAATGTAAGTGCGTCCTATTTCACCACGCCTCCTGCTGATAGAGGACAAATCTTTGTTTTTATTATTAGTTATTACTTAAGATGTCATGTGGAACATGGTGAAATGGTTGCAGCTGTAAAAACGTTGTGTAAAACAAAAAACTTGGCGATTAAAAAGAGCGACGGAGTTTATTGCCAGTTCTTCTCTTCCGTTTTACGCCCTTGATTTGAGAACTGGCAGTAAACCGTTTCTTTTTTGACGTTCATAAGTGTACATTGTGTTACCTATATGAATAAATGCTTTTCAATTTCTTAAGTTACTTATTAATTAGAAATAAAATAAACTATATTGTCGTTAAAGCTGTTCTAACGCAGCGCTGGATTTTAACCATTGTTAGTTTCGCTTCCGGTATATAAAGTCCTAAAAAAATACGCATATGCGAACGTCAACAATAAAAACATTAATTAATTTTTATTATTAATTATAATAATGTTGATAAAAAATAGGTTTTTGTTTAGCGTCGTATTCTTTACTAAGTATTTAATAAGTGGTAATGACTCCAATCGAAAACTAAATGCACTATCCTTAAATCGGACATTAAGGAATAAGTCATTACTTCGATGAGTTCTTCGTATATTAAAAAATCTTGTTTCTTTAAACTAAAAAAAAAGGTTTTGTCGGAAATAAAATTCAGGACTTAAGCGACGGGAAAGCGAAGGGTAACTTCTACAACACCGTAATAAATTTATTAAAACTTTAAATTTATTATTTAAAAAAAAGAATCTGTTTGTCAACACAAATCGTAACTCCTAACCTGGATAAACAATTGTTTTCAGGTTCAGTTAATCAGAAAATAGTCGGTCAGTTTCGGAATTTCCGCTATGGGACATACACAGGCATGGGTAAAATCAGGGATGGTCATCACAGTCTACGAATAGCCAGAGAATACATAAGGCAAAACAAATATCCTCCCTGATCTGAATAATCTGTTGTATATGTCAGAATAAATTCGTCGTTTAGTTCTATTGGGACGTGGTAACAATTTAAATCCTTTGCGCAATACAAATTCCATGCACTTGTGATGCAACTTTGATATATGCTACATATAATTTATGTAAACCTTTCTCTTGGGTCACTCTGAATGTTTGTGGTTCTCTATTAAAATTCCCTGCGTAGTTAAACATATATAAGCATGATGTCGGACAGCTTTGTATTATACTAGAATAGGAGCAGACAATAGGAGCGACATCTCGCAACAGATAGTCTTTGTCAACCGTTATCTTCGCCGTATTCTGGGTTCTACTGGCCCGTGAAGATGACTAGTAAGCAACTTTGGGAGCGCTGCCGAGAAACGCCGATTAGCCAGCAGATGAAGCCATGCAAGTGGAAATGGATAGGTCATACACTCTGAAGAGATTCCAATTATATCCCCAAGCAGGCGCTTCATTGATAACGCGTGAAGCGTGCCCGTCCCAAGCAAACTAGCTTCGTACAGTTGCAGTTGCAAAGAGAGCCGGAAAGACTTGGAGCCTGGTGAAATACGAGGCTCAAGACCGAACACGATGGAGACTAACTGTGGATGCCCTCTGCCGCATATAGGGATTTTAGGACAAGGAGCACAAATAGCAAAGCTCGTCGACCGTGTCGACCACTCCCTTCCAGCTCAGAAACGAGATGAGAAGATTCACAAAAACATTACAAGTTCCATCACTCCAAGCCGAATCGAAAATAAGATACTTTATATCGCCACTCTGAACTGTCTATCATTGAGAACACACGAAAAACTTACCGAGCTAGAGTTAGCTCTTTTAAAGATAAACTGGGACATATTAGGATTAAGCGAAATAAGAAGAATAGGCGAAAGCATTGAAGATCATAAAGAGTATATCTTCTATTATAAAGGCGAAATAAAAGGATCCCATGGAGTAGGCTTTATGGTTAAAAAATACTTACAGCCAAATATAGAAGAATTTAATGGCATATCAGATAGAATAGCCATTCTTAATATAAATTTTCCAGGTTTCAAGGACAAATGGTCAATTATACAAATTTATGCACCTACTGAAAATCATGAAGAACATATCAAAGATAAGTTTTACAACCAATTGACTACAGTTTTACAAAATACTTTCAAAAACATCATAGTTATGGGCGATTTCAATGGAAGAATAGGACGCAGACGTCCTGGTGAAGAGAACATCATAGGCGACTTCGGCTTCGGCCCAAGGAGCAAAAATGGAGAACGAATGCTCAATCTCGCTCTCGAAAATAATTTAGCATTCATGAACAGTTTCTTCAAAAAAGTTACGGCGAAGAAGTGGACATGGATATCACCGGACGGACGCCACAAAAATGAAATCGACTACATCGGAACCAACAATAGGAAACCCTTCCAGAACGTTAGTGTATTAAATCAACTCAACTTCAACACCAATCATCGATTAGTAAGAGCCACCATAAAATGTATCGAACCAAGGAAAAGTAGAAATAAATACAACACAAAAACAAAGCTAATGATAGTAAAACAAATCCCTGACAATGAAGTCAAAAACCAGATAGAAGGAAAATATATCAATGAAGTAAATGAAATACTTGGAACTCTAATTCGCAATCCCCCCAAAAACTAACAAGAAACAAATTGGAAAAGAAACTCAAAAGCTAATGGAAGAAAGAAAACAGCTCTTAAAACTTGGAAAAAACAAGCAAAATCTAAAATTGATATCAGAAGTAAGTAAGAAAATTAGTAACAATATTAAGAAAGAAAGAACCAAAAGAAGAATAGAAGCACTTAATTACCACATAACCAAGACAGGAGGAGTTAAAAAAGCTCTAAAAGAACTCGTAGAAACAAAACAATGGATACCGAACATTAAGAACTACGTAGGCAAACAACAGACAAAAAGAAAAGATATATTGATAACTGCAATAGACTTCTATAGAAACCTCTACTCACTAGAGACTGATAATACCTCACAGAATTCAGTAAATCTTGAACAAGACGAAGAAGAGGTACCTAAATTTCTCCTTTCAGAAACGGAGCATGCTATCAAAAGCCTAAAAAATGGAAAAGCGCCTGGACCAGATCACATAACTAATGAGATGATCAAAGTATCATCAGCAGCACCAGGGAACCTAAGAAAACTTACTGAACTATTCAACACCATACTAAAAACGGAATACAAACCTTCTCAATGGACGAAGGACATAATTACACTGCTCCACAAAAAGGGTGACAGGAACACAATAGAAAACTATAGACCTATAAGCCTTATGTCCAACATGTATAAAGTTTTCTCCAAAATGATCCTGTGAAGAATAACGAAGGTAATGGATGAACAACAACCCATGGAACAAGCTGGATTCAGATCCGGATTCTCAACTGTAGATCATATACATGTTATAAAACAGCTAATACAAAAGTGCAAAGAATACGGAAAAGCACTATACATCGCTTTTGTAGACTACAGTAAAGCATTCGACTCTATAAAGCACGATTCCCTCTGGAGAGCCTTAATACAACAAGGTATACCAAAAAAATACATACGTATAATTAGAAATATATTATATACAAGTAGCACGGCTTATATCAAACTAGAGACAACGGGTGAAGAATTTCCTATAGCCAGGGGTGTGAGACAGGGCGATCCTTTGTCCCCAAAACTCTTCTCAGCCATTTTGGAGAGTTTATTTAGAAATTTGGAATGGGATAAGGTCGGCATAAACATAAACGGCAGACAACTGAACCACCTAAGATTCGCAGACGATTTAGTGATCATTTCAGATAACGCAAAGACGCTTCAAATTATGCTGCAACAGCTGACAGAAGCAAGCAAGATAGTTGGGCTTTCTATGAACAAATCTAAAACGAAAATAATGACAAATAGAGAAACTATTATGATACAAATAGGAGGAGATGCTATCGAATATGTAGACCACTACGTATATTTAGGGCAAATAATATCATTTCATGACCAAATGGATCTTGAGATAGAAAGAAGAGTGTCTAGCGCCTGGAAGAGATTTTGGTCACTCAAGGAAGTACTTAAAAGTAAAGACTTCCCAATAGTAGCTAAGAAAAAGGTGTTCAATCTATGTATCCTACCATGTGTTACATACGGCTGCGAGACTTGGGCTTTATCTCAGAAACATCTTCTAAAGTTGAGAACATGCCAAAGAGGAATGGAAAGAAGCATGGTGGGTGTAACACTGAGACATCGAAAAAGAGCAGAAGAGATCAGATCAACGACCAAAGTAGAAGACATTATAAAGAAAATAAGGCAGTTGAAATGGCGCTGGACTGGGCACATGACGAGAGATAGCAGGTTGAAATGGACAAAAATAATTACAGAATGGCAACCACGTGATGGAAAAAGGAAAAGAGGAAGACCGACCAAGAGATGGGCAGACGATATTAAGATAATAGGAGGCACAACTTGGACAAGAAGAGCTAATAACAGAAAAGAATGGAAACAGCTGGAAGAGGCCTACGTGTCACAGGACACGCTGATTACCAAAAACGGGTCATATGATGCATTAGATTAAGTTTTATTTTATTTATGTGTTAAAATTAAGTGTTTTTTTATGTAACTTAAATAATTGTATGGGTGTCAGCAATAAAGGCTAATCAATCAATCAATCAATCAATAGCAAAGCAAATTTTACTACCTCATCGAAATGAGTAGACAAAAAGGTCAATATTTTCGTATTTAGAATAGGGTTATTGGCAAGCGGTTTTTATATTGAAAATACCAAACATCATAGTATATAGTCTAAAGAAATATTCACTCAAATCTCGTATAAAATCTAAAATACTTAAAATCTTAAAGCCTAGCTCCAATACTTGAAAATAGTAACGAAATTTTTAAGACTAAAATTCAATTGGAACAAACAAACCTTTTCATTGTAACTCTGATTATGAAAACCGAAAGTAAAGAAAGATAATAGGAGCGGATATTATGGCCATAGAATTATGACTAAATATTTATTTTTCCTTAATTTCACACTTTATTATTTCAACCCGACAGCTCAAGGCGTGGTACAATAGATATCTTTTATCCTTATGTTTTGTAATTTATTTAAGGAAAGTAATATATTTGTTCTGTAAGGTTGCATTTGCATAATAAATATAGTAAATCTACTCTAACCTTTGATTATGCAGCAATTATGAGGCTCGCAGACCATGCCAAAGAAAATCAGATCTTATTGCAGTAAACCTGTATAAATGATTTCCACGAAATTTTAACAGAACAATCTTCACATAATTATTCGCTGAAATTTTTTTTAAATATTAATTTGACCGTGAACATGCACACTTAGTTACATACACATAAATACACTACAGTTTTTGAATAATTTCTCTAGGTTTTGGAATGTTGGAGTCAGGCTGCGTCTCCATAAAGAACGAAGCCAACATCATGATGAAGAACCTAGCTGATATTTCTCTTGGAGGTCAGGACTGTTTTTGATACACTATATTGAAAATTCATTTAAATATATAACATTTTAATTATTAAGAAAAAAAAATCACATTAAAATAGAGGATTATGGATTAAAATATTTATTTATTTAAAAAGCTTGCCCGGCAAACTTTTTTAAATGTATTTTATTGTGCTTGTACATTGATTGATACAAGGAAAATAAAATACAAGATTTAATATAACAAGTACTTATAGGCAAACTTAACAAACACGAAGAGATAAAAAAAATAACCAAAAAAGTAAAAAATAAATAAATCAGTGGCGCTACCTCTTTAGGTCTTGGCCTCTGATTTCTAAATCTGTTTCATGATCAATTTTAAATCTAATAGGCAAGTAGTAGTGAAGTCAAGTGATCAGCCTCCAGTGCCTGGTACACGCCGTCGACTTTTTGGGTCTAAGACATGTCGGTTTCCTCACAATGTTTTCCTTCACCGTTCGATCAAATGTTAAATGCGCCCATAGAAAGAAAGTCCATTGGTGCACAGCCGGGGATAGAACCTACGACCTCAGGTATGAGAGTCGCACACTGAAGCCACAAGGCCAACACTGCACTAACCAAAAAAGTAATTATAAAAACTAAAGGAAAATTTTTTTTCAATGTGTGTGGAGCTACGGATATCCAGACCTAGTTCGTGTATCAGAGTTTCCTCATTGGTGAGTTTTGGCCAAAACGCGTTCTTCTGAAAGTAGGGACAAATGGGGTGATGGGATACCTGGGTTATCTAGAGGGTAGAGGAAATTTAAATGTAGTCAAATGTGTGGTCATCATTACCAGTATTTTCGAGTAGGCTTAGGCTTCCATATTCCTCCAGTATATCCATTAAGTATCATGCGGGATACATGTAAATATGTATGTACCTGGTCAGTCTCTGTGAAAGCAGTCACTAATGCGGGGTTCTCTAGTTATTAGTACTCGCTTTAACAAAAGACGATTTTAAATATGAAATACATATTGTAGGTCTAACGTACTGGATCTTCGGCTACGGCCTGTCATTCGGTCAAGGGGTACTATCCAACCCATTCATTGGAGTCGGAGACTTTCTCGTGGATCCTCCAGTCGGTGACCCGCTGATGGGGCCAGTCTTCGCATCTTTCCTCTTTCAATTGTCATTCGCAACCACTGCTACTACTATTGTTAGTGGGGCAATGGCAGAAAGGTAAGAACGTCATAAGTTTATTCTAACTTAATTGACTAAATAGGGGAGAGATTCAGAAACGAGGTGTACAGCTTGCCAGAAATTGGACTGTTAAATGTGTAGTTAGTTTTATATGTATTAAATTTAAAAAATGCGTGCTTACAAAGTACACATGGCAGAAGTGAAATTTCTTTGAAAAATAATTATTGAGTAATTAAGCAGCCCAAATCCCATAGTGTAATTTTGCCATTCTTTCTATATTAATGAATGATATTCAAGCTCATAAAAACCAGAACTAATATTAGTTGTTGTTATGTATATAGAAATACCACCATAAATATGGTAAAAATTACCAAATAATATAACAAATTCATTACTAAAATAGCCAACTGGCTCTTAGCAAAAAAGGTATTGGCAGAAATGGTAATTTAGTTACTTAATATGTATTACAACACCATCGGTGTTCAAGTATGAATAATTGCACCACAATATTATACTAGCACATCTTTATTAAATAAAAAAATATATATGAGGGGGTGAGATCTAAGAACCTGACAACCCTACGGATCTCTAAGCCCTACAGATGTACCCTAACACATAAATTGTGAATATATAAATAAGTAGGGGGTATCTGCACCAAGAGACCTAAGGTAACAGACGGAGACCGTGTATTGTGATTGTACGTGGCTTGCGTATTCAGTATTTGTTACTTTTTCATTGACACGTTTTTGGTCATCCTTTTCTACCTTTCGATTTATAACATTTCGTCCTAAATCTAATATATTTTTCACTGTTGATAAATAACAATAATTCTATATTACAATTATTGCTTTAATAGCTACCAAGCTACTAAATACTACTAATACTACTAATACTACAAGCTACTATATACACCCTCACGTACACTTCATTTTCATCACACAACACATAATTACGTATTACTTAGTTAAGGTATTACATTTTTTTTCTTTCGTAAATGTTCGAACCTTTTGATATATACAATATGTACTCCATCTTTGGCTATATATTTAAAACAATTGTTTTTGTTATAAATATGTTAGCTGTAGGATTACGAAATAAATAAAATGGAAAAGCGAGTTAGTTTAAAGATATACTTTGTTTCATAAAAACTTCTGCAATGCAATCAGTTATCGACACGACACGACACGTCACGACTACAATCCATAAATGAGGTTAAAAAAGATCGAATTATGTAGTTAAAACATTGTTGACTACCATTTCATAGTCTCGGGTTCAGAAAACGGCGGCGGGGAGCAAAATAAAACACCTCCAAAATTTTGTTAACATTTAAATGATAGCAGTGGCGTAACAATAGGTTGGCAGGGTTGGCAAAATGCCATGGGCCCCCAAACCAAGAGGGCCCCTGCCTAAGAGATATTATGTTCTATGTATGAATGTGAAGTCTCCAATACGCATTGGGCTAGCGTGGGGACTACAAACAATTCCCCCTTGCCTAAGAGAGGAGGCCTTTGGCCACTAGTTGGACATATACAACGTGTAATTGAGTTCACTGAAAATCTCGAAGTTTATTAAAATTAAACTGTGTACAACGTAACGATTTTTACTGATAGGGCCCCATCAAAAGAATTTGCCACGGGCCCCAGATGGTATAGTTACGCCACTGAATGATTGCCCTAAACTTAGTTGACGGTCATAGTCTTCGCAGTCATTTGTTTTTCTTAATATTTGACACTAAAAAATTATCATATTCTCAAGGTTTAACTAATTAGTATAAAAATAAACGAATAAACGTAGTACATTTTTTCCTTTAAGACTAATGTAGAAGATAATAATAGGAAATTTACTGAATAATTAAACATAAAATATTCTTTAGCGGATATTAGTTTCTTATTTCCTTTGATAAAATACATCCGCATCTTTTTAAAACATTAATTATTTTTACGACAGGAATTAACTTAACAAATAGTTTTAGAATTATTTTATTTAGTTCTAAATAAAAGCGACAATTTTACTGCTATTTTTTCAGTTAATACTCTTTTCTTTTACATTTTATTCCTTTTTCTTTACTAGAAGTAGACGCTGGAATTTCCGAGAAATTTTTATGTATCATATAATTAAGATAAACAATATATTATAAAAATAAATCACTGGCGCTACATACAACCTTTTAGGTCTGGGCCTCAGATTTCTGAATCAGTTTCATGATCATTTGTCAATATAATAGGCAAATAGGTGATCAGCTTGTGGCTGACCAAAGCCGTCGACTTGGGTCTAAGGCAAGCCGGTTCCTCTTGATGTTTTCCTTCACCGTTCGAGCGAATGTTAAATGCGCATAGAAAGAAAGTTCATTGGTGCACAGCCGGGTATCGAACCTACGACCTCAGGGATGAGAGTCGCATGCTGAAGCCACTAGGTCAACGCTGCAAGGAGTATTTATTATAAATTATTTATTATAATCTTTCTTTATTTCATAGATGCAACTTCAAAGCATACTGCCTGTTTTCGTTTTTGAACACAATAGTGTACTGTGTCCCAGCTGGGTGGGTTTGGGGCGAACATGGATTCCTTAATAAGCTGGGAGCTGTTGATATAGCTGGTTCTGGACCTGTACATCTTATTGGTAAGTTTTTATTTTATAGGAAATAGTTATATATATTTTTTAATCGTTTTATTTACGCGTATATAAAATATATTTTAACACGTTAACTGCGCCATCATTTTTAAAGAACTTTCAGCTGGTGCGTTGGAGACCTAAAAGATCTCGTAACAAGCCTATCCTCTGGTGCGTTTGAGACCTAATCAGTCTCCTAAAAATACACTTTTGAAAATAATTTATATCTTCCAAAAAACAATGACATATATTTTGATTTTTTTGTGGGTGAAAGAAAGCTAATTGCTTTATATTTTGCTAGGTTCGCACGCAGTTACGACATTTGAATAAACTACAAATAACAAAAAAAAATTAGATATCGATTGTATCTCGTACCGCACCCGAAGATAGTTCAATATGTGTAGTAAGTAGTGATGGGAATAAAATAATATCTCAGTTATCGATTCTAAAAGTTTTATTAATTATGCAAAGTGTTTTTCATTAAAACATAGTAAGCACATTGATTGCTTGCACATTACGCGCAAATGGTAACAATTCGTTTAGTTTTTTTAGAAGCGTCAGTGCTGTTTAACTGCGTGTGCTCCAACGAAAAAGGTTTATCGTTAAATATTTCATAATCAGAATCACTGTCATTATTAGTCAATGGGGGGCAAATTTGAAAATTTTCCAAAACAAATATTTTACTGGACGATGTAGCAGTATAATCCGCCGTTGATTTTTTGTTAGAAACCTATATCATATAAAATAGATTTTTTACACTTTTTTCTTTTAAACTTAATCACTCATTGTTTATCAAAAATAATCAACACGCTGATATATACGCGAGTGTTATTTCCAAAACGTGCCCGCGACTTCCCGAATGTCGATTCTAGGACAACACTAAAAATCCCATCCTCCATCTCTTGCGTCTACGAGGCGTACGATTTCACGAGTACCGACATATCTCGTAACGCAAGGAATTAAAACAATTACAGTACTGTGCGTTAGGGACCTAATCCATCTCTAATTTATTTTTTAATGTCCTTTAATTCAGCTTTAAGTAGGAAGCAAATATATATATTTGTCCTGCTCATACTTAAAGAACTTTACAAGTTAGATCCTCCCGCAAGGAGTGAAAAAACACGATTATGTTCAACGCACAATACAAAAGTCCTGCAAGAGATCTGATGGATCTCGTAATGCAACGAACGTGTTAATACATAGATAATTGAAAAGAGTCTACATCTGAGCTGTCGTTTACAATTCAGTAAAAACTGGTTTTCCAGGTGGATCATCTGCCTTCGCTTCAGCCATGATGCTGGGTCCCCGTTTAGGCCGGTACGCGAAGGGTTACGCGCCATTACCTTTGGGAAACCCGGTCAATGCCGTCATGGGAACCTTTGTGCTGTGGTGGGGATGGCTGGCCTTCAATTCTGGCAGTACTTATGGGGTAATAGCAGTTCGTAGTATAAGTGGAGGCAAATATATGGCAATGTAGGAATTTAATAAAGCCAAAGTAGCAGCAATTTGCTATCATCTTGTGTCTACTGATTTCTCGGCTGGGATTATTAAAAATATCATCTTATACATATGTTGGAGCCATCGCTTTAAATTATAATGACAATGGCAGCTAACACTAAAAAGATTGCTTCGACATAAATAATAGACTATGAAATTACTACAGACTATCAAATAGTCGTTAATTTGTAGATCTATTAATATTAGCTTTTCAAATACCACAGAACAGTAGTTTTTGAACTAATTTGACTTTGATGTTGTATTAAATTATAATAATAACAATGGCAGCTGATACCAGCGGCATTGCTCCGACATATATATGTTAAATAAAAAAGATATCAATCTCAAATTTTAATACATTTACTGTGCGTCTATTATAATTTAATGTTCTTCCAAGTGATTTTATATCATACTAAACAGAACCGCAGTAAAATCAAGTTAAAATAATTAACTTTTTATCCTTCCGTGTGTCAAATGAGAACCATTTTCTCTCATTACAGTAACCAGCACAAATTGAACCCTCATTACACTAATAGCCATTTAAAATGTTTTTCAACGAGAATTTTCCTCGGAGTACGGTTTTCTTTCTGTAATTTTCTAATTTTGCTAATGCGAAAATTTAAATAATAATTAAAAATAGTATATTTTAAATAACTTTTTGTATTTTTCTTCACGTATATATACGTAATACTTTTTTGTAGTTTCTTTCTTATTTAACGTTCATAAGTGTTCATTGTGTTGCCTATATGAATAAATGATTTTGATTGTATACATCCAGTCACAAGACAATCAGTTCAATGACGTTAATACCCTGAAACGCACTAACGAAGTTATCTAGAGTAGGGTTATAATTGTTGTCAAACTTATGGACTAAATACTCGCCCACGCTAGGCACCTCGGCTTTAAAAAATTTATCACCTTCCCCTTGAAAGCATTACACGGCAGTGATATATAACTTCTAGGAAGGTGATTAAATAGTTTGATAGCCATGGCGTAACAATTTTTTATTAAAGAATAAAAAATAAACAAAGCAAATTAATTCTACAGGTACAAAGTGCGACAGTAGTACCCTAATATTGACGCCTGTATGACTAATAAAATGAGATTATTTTATAAATGTGTATCTCTTTTGTATAGTAGAATATCATAGACATAACATTTATTACTAACAAACACACACACACACACATAAACACACAAAATAACAATAACCAAAGAAAAAAAATATATTGAGAGTTGTCAAAAAAAAATTTTTTTTTGAAACTATATATTCGGCCATTGGCGTAAAACTTTTATTTATTTTTACATTTGTCAGGTGAGCGGTGCGAAATGGCAGTACGCGGCGCGGGCTGCAGTTATGACGATGATGGGATCCTTTGGCGGCGGATTCTTTGGTTTGTTGTAAGTTCAATTCTATTCACTATGGATTATTTATTATAGCGGTAAAACTATATTCCAATATTATTTCTATTATATTATTAATTATTATGTTAGATTCGATTAACTGGTAGAAGCTAAAAGATTTATTTACTTGGCGTTGTTGTTGCGTATACAATATCTTGTAAAATGAAATTGTTGGCGATTAAAAGCAGCAGAGTTTCAAAGTACTTCTCGTCCTACGCCTTGATTTAAGAACTGGCAGTGAATGTAAATTTATGATATTTCGATTTGAGTTCAAGCTGGAATCGCAATCGCTGTCTAAAGTTCGCTATGCTCACATAACACGGGGCTGGTCAAATTATTATCGGCCTCTCTAAGTTTTCAAAAACAGTAAGAAAAATAAAAAGGTGTACTTTTGACGCGTTAGGGAAAAATGATGAGAGTAAAATTTACGTAAACGTTTTTTGTACAAATAAGTCAAAATATTAAATTTGAAAATATTTTTATCTTGTTACGCCATAACTTCTAACGCGTGTACACACGTTTTTAATATTTCTATCACCGTTAACCACTTTAAAAATATACATTTTAGATTCACTCTCATCAAGAACAAGGGTCGTGCTGAAGTGCTGGACCTGATTAACAGCATTCTTGGATCTTTGGTTTCTATCACAGGTGGGTTTCAGACATTAAGATTAGGTAAATTTACATTAACTTAAAAATATTTAACAATAAATTCGTGAGTGTAAAGTAATTTTACTATGCCCAGTTTTGCATGTGGTATATGACCATTATTTTCTTTAATTATTTTTAAATAAATAAATCAGACCTTTTTAGGTCTGGGCCTCATGTTTTTGTATCAGGTTCATGATCATTCATATGTCAATCTAAAAGGCAAGAAGATCAGCCTTCTGTGCCTGACACACGCCGTCGACTTTATGGGTCTAAGGCAAGCCAGATTACTCATGATGTTTTTTTCTTCACGCATGCTGAAGCCACTGCTTTAAACTATATCTTCTAAGAAAAATCAAATGAACATAAGCTTTTTTTAAATTATTTCTGGCATTGAGTGTCCATGGGCACTTAACATCAGGTGAGCCTCCGGCCCGTTAGTTCTATAAAAAAAATGTACCTGTTATAGGTGTAGCACTGAACATAACATTTAGCCAGGCTTTTAAGCATATCAACGCATTTAAACTATCACATATTGATAAAAAAATACCTATTTAATATAATATTAATTACACAAAATCAATTTCTTTTACAGCTGGATGTTTTCTATATCGCGCATGGGAGGCACTGCTGATAGGAATGATTGGGGCTCTAATCGCCTCCTTAAGCGCCACTCTCTTTGACAGACTCCATGTGGATGATCCAGTCGGGGCTTCTGCGGTACATGGAGCGTGTGGCTTTTGGGGTAAGTTATTCTCTAAGCGTACGACCAGCCAGACTCCAGAAGATAAACCACTACTTATATGGAAATTGTATTCGTTTTTACTACAAACTCCGAGGCGAAATTGGAGATTTATCACTGAATAAATTTAAAACTCTCGTTAAACGTAAATTAATCAATAAACCTTTTTATAAATTTAACGATTATTTACATGATTTTAATCCTTGGGATTGGTTTACTCCAGTTCAAACAATTTGTGACTCAAAACTTGGCGATTAAAAAGTTGGCGGAGTTTCTTGCCCGCTTTACGCCCTTGACTTGCGAACTGGTAGTAAATGTAAATTTCGCATCAATTTAACATCTTTTCTGACGTTCATAAGTGTACTTGATTATTTATATGAGTAAAGTTATTTTGAGTTTGAGTATTTATTAAAGTTCACCACATCATGTATAGTGCTATATCTACAGTATATGTTACATCTTTTAGGTATGAGATAGGCATTTAACAATGCCTTCTTTAAAGTTGATCAGCCCATTACCGAATATATCCAGCTCTAGTTATAAAAAAATAGGTCAGCTATATAAGGTGACTACCGCCATGGACTATATAGTCAATGGATGTGTTACCGGCATTTGAAGGAATACACTCTCGGAGTAAATATATATATTCTTTGCAGGAGTAATCGCTGTGGGTCTATTTGCTGATAACCCGATACCAATGGAAACTACTAATGGAAGATCTGGATTGTTTAAAGGTTATTTTATTTAAAGATTAAGTAAAAACACTTGCAATAATAAATTCTTATTGTAATTATACTGCTTTTGGCGCGTTAGGGAAAAATTATGAGAGTAAATTTTTACGATGCGCGCGCACACCGTCACAAAAAACCGACACTCTGAAGTTAGCTATAGTCAACATTTGTTTTTTCAATTGTTAGTGTCGTTGTTTCTTCCAACGTAGAATAAAATTTTTGAAAAGATTTTTATCTTATTACGCCAAAGTGTAACTTCTAACGCGTGTACATAAGTACACACATGTTTTTTTTAAATAATTGTAACTAAAAGTAATAAATTTTGTGAAAATGCTTTGAGAGTGAAAAGCCACGAAACTGTGATGTTTAATATAATTTTGAATAAATATAAAAAAAAATGTAGGTGGCGGTTGGTATCTCCTCGGAGTGCAAACTTTGACAGCTTTATGCCTGATGATCTGGGCTGGTCTGGTCACTATGGTACTATTGTGGCTCATAGACAAAGTCCTGCCGATCAGGATGGACCCGTATGAAGAGTTATTAGGCGCTGATTTGACTGAACATAGAATACGTCATGGTCAGGTAAGAACTGAATGTTTTTTAAGGCAGTTGGCCGCGCACCACGACTATGGGGAACCAGCTGCCCACTGAAGAGTATCCGAACCAATTTGACAGAAAAAAGAAATTTAAGGTCCTTCAATAAAAAAGAGTACCTATTCCTTAAAGGCCGGCAACGCATTCGCGAGATATCTGGTATTGAGAGTCCTTGAGAAAGGTTATCAAGGTATCATTAAATTCCCCCCCTGTTCTATTAAAAAAATAACTCTGTATAAATCATATTTTTGTTTGACAATACAAAACATAAAATGTCATCAATGTCATAAGCATAATATTTTTTAATAGGTCGGTGTTTCAAGAGCTGTATCAGCATTACGACCCTTCCACAAGTCCAACAGTATTGAAGAAGTTAGCGGAATTGGAGTTAATACTGGTCACACTATGATCATAGACAAACTTAGTGAGGTAACTCGTGTACTTTAAATATATTTAGATTTAGATGCGCAGAATACAAATTACAACTTTACTTGCTCCTTTAAAAAAAACGTCAATGGCGCTACAACCTTTTTAGCTCTGTATCTGTTTCATGATCATTTGTCTATCTGATAGGCAAGTAGATGATTACAAACGCAATAGTGCGATATCGTATTATCTCTTTTTATCAGCTTTTGGCGTACAACTTGTTAATAATTTTTAACTTCCAACCATTTCAAGTTTTCATTTCAAAGAATATATTTTTAATTAAGTCTTTATATATCAAGTAGATCTTACCTTGTACATTTTCTCAGCTAAAGAAGAGACGAAGCAAAAACAACTTAAAACTATTTACAAACCACGCTTTCGAAGTTGAACCGGGCGAAAATACAATAGAAACCGTTTTCAAAAACGGTTTTTTAAATAAACGACCTGGAAATCCTGAAAATGATTTACATCGCGCTATAGACTCTATGGAAAGTGAGTTAAATGGCGGGAGACCTGTCAATGTTATTAGTAATACAGCTGCCAAAAACATTGAAGATCTAAAAGGGAGAAGATTCAAGGAATTCACACCGGAAGAGTTGAGGGAATGGGGGGAAATTAATGCAAATCAGGATAGATTTAGACATAGAGTAATTGAACAGAATTATATTGACGATGTTAGTCGGAGTGGATTATCGTCACCGAGTTTCAAATGGGCCGAATAATGGTGGACAATGTTTTTAAGTTCTGTTATTTTGTATGGATTTAAAATACAGTAAATTTGAATAATTTATTACAAACTTACAAAAACTAGTAACACAATTCGACGCGTACGTCACAGAACACAATAAATTACTAATTACACTAGATTATTTTTATTAATACATAACACATTTAGCAAAAATTAAAAAAAAATTACAATTTCGCGTGCATTTTTCTAAATACGTGGGTAACACTGAAAATGTTTAGAATTGGCCAGTCGTCGTTCGTAACCTAATGTAGTATATTGCATTCGTCATTTGTTTTTGCGAATCGGCGCCAAATCTAAAACTCTTGTTACATACATCAAGTCATTTTTAATCATTTTTAAATTCGTTTTTATTTCAGATTTGTTTAATTCTCTTTTATAAATAAATAGTTACTTGTCGACCATGTTTTCGGTTTCTTTCTGGTATCTGTTGCAGTAGACTAAGACATTATGGACGATTTTAAATAAATAAAAAATGTATACTATATAAATAAAGCCCTAAACAACAGAATTATTAACCCAATGCTGAATTTCTGTGGGCAGCGCCTTAAACCCTTTGACGGCCTCCTTAATATCGTCTGTGGGTATTGCCAGAGTGTATAATTTATACTCCTTCTGCACTCTATGGGTTGTCGTGTCATTGCCAGATTCCGTGCGAACAGGCAATATTATTTCTAAAGACTGCAAATGCTCAAACGCCTTTAGAATAACAGGGCGTGGTACTGATTGCGTCGATGAGTTTTCGTTTGCGAATTTTGTGTACCTAAAATGAATAAGATTTATGAATAAGTAATAATAATTTTGTTAATTAATTGAGATTGTCCAAATCAAACTGCTCTGGGGGATAGTCACTCCCTGGTACATTCGCAATGATGACCTCCATCGGAAGCTAAATGTAGAGAACTTCACCATAATAATCAAAAAGATTGCTGGAGCCCACGAACAAAGTCTCCACCAACACGTGAATGTCGAATCTATTCAACTTCTTGACACCACGGGGCTGGTGAGAAGATTGGAAAGGACAAAACCATTGGAACTAGTAAATTAGTCCTCGTTAGTCTTAAGTGCTAAACAGTACTAGTGGTAGTTCCCCTTAATAGAGACTGTAAGTAGTGTTATTGGACACTTTTTGTTAAATATCCTTTTTAACTCTAATAGGTAGATAAAATAAGCCTTCAATCATTTAAATAACCCCAATTAGGTGTACATATGTTTGAATTTTTCATAAGGTAAATTGTGTATTTATATAAGATTTTTAATGTTTTAAAAAAGAAAAAAAAAAGTTTTAAGCATTTGCATTTTTAAGCGAATGAGGATTTTAAATTAGTAGGAAACTAAAATTTATAGTTGGAAGTGTAATATTTCTACGATTTTTTTATGAAAAATGTATGTTCACCATAATTGTCATGTATTTTAGAAGCGATAGATCGTAAAATGTTGTGTCCTTTAATAAATAAATAAACGACCATTGAACTTGAAGCAGACATTTTTAAGTATCTAAAATCCAAATCTCAGTGTTGGTCTAGAGGCTTCAGATCACGAACGGTGAAGAAAAACATCGTGAGGAAACCGGCTGGTCTTAGACCCAAGTCGACGCCTTGTGTCAGCCACAAGCTGATCACCTACTTGCCTATTAGATTGACAAATGAATCCCAGATCTGAATTAATACTTACCTATTTAAAATCATTTCAAAATTCATCGGCTGGCCGTCAAATATCTCCAGACCGTGCATCATAGCTATGACCAGAGAAAATTCTAGAATAGATAAAGATTGCAGTAGCTTTACTCTATGCTCCGGCGCCACTGTCTTGTCTATGGTCGTTATAATGTCTTGCGGGTCTATATATGGTTTTTTCGGAGATAATTTCGATACAATTTGAAACTGAAATTAATAAGGTTAAATATTAGTAAACATAAAATGAACCTATAAAAATAATTTTTAAATATTAATTAATAAAAGGTTTAAATTTAAAAAAAAACTATTTTTTTACCGATTTCAATATAAATCTGAAGAAGGTTGTCAATTCGACGTGTATTTTTTGTAATTGTTCAAACTGAAAGGCGGATACGTATAGAGTTTATTCTAGAGATAGTTTTTTTTTTTTTTTTTGTGAAATTAAGAAGTGCTTTTCGATCTAATATATAAATTTCTCGTGTAACGGTGTTTGTAATTAAATGAAAATGAATCGAAATGGCTCAATCGATATCCGTGAAATTTTGACTGCAAATCGGATTTTTCATCCCTCTAAATATTAATGGAGGTCCCACCCCTAAATTTCTAGAAATATCTCTTAAATATTTATATTATATAGCGGAAATTTATTGGATTGGACTGTTCCTTAAGTGCAAAACAGTTTACGAAAAAGATGTGAACAAACATACACATACGAAATTTAGCATATGTGCTTCCACTCCTAAAGATTACATACAATTTTTAGAGGAAGGTAAAAAAATTGCCTAGTTAACAACTTTTTTAAATTGCGCAAACAAACATCATCAAACATCAAACAAATCAAAATCGCAACTAACCTATGTTTGATAAAAAAAAACGTTAAAATAAAAATAAACTTACCAAAACATTCCTAAATATTTGCTCATTAATAATGTAATAGCTAAACTTCTCAAAATAATCCATCACTTTTTCTTCATCCAACAAGCTATGGATGTGTGCATTCCAACTTCTAGTAAAAACCGGATCTAAATCCTGGAATTGCCTGGAATCAATATGGCATTTCTGGAATACTTGATTTGAAATGGAATATTTTGATTCCGTATCGGATTCGGAATCACTTGATGCTGAAATATAATTATAATTTTACTAATATTTTCTGAACTAATTAAAATAAAGTATACAGAACGGAACATAAAATTAATTCATTATATACTTAGGGACATGTAAAAAATCACCTCTGCTCTTTCTACTTCTTTTTGGTTTGACTTTTTCCTTGAAAACTGGCAAGCATAAACACTGAACAAAAACATTCTTTAAGTTTTCCAATGGCAACACTGATTCACAGGGAAATATAAAGATGTGTCGATGGGAAAATCTTGATTTCACCCGTTTTTCTAACAATTCCATCACATCTAATCGGTTGGTCAGACCTGAAAAAATTCAGTCAAATATTCAGCGTGATGTTTCTTAAAAAAAAGAAAATATTTATTCATGTAGAGAACACGAAGTACACTCACAAACAACTATACAAAATAATTAAATGACATTTACTACCAATTCTCAAATCCAGGACATAAAAAAGATGAGAAGCCTGAAACTTCCACCAACCTTTTTGATTTTAAACATTAAATTAATTTCAATATTTCATTTTCCTTTAAGGGATCAACATCAAATGCCTGGACCCACCTATTGATTAAGTTAGTGTTTGCAATATTTATATGGTACTAGCTGACCCAGCTAGGGGCTGATCGTAGAGAGTAGATGAAAATTAAAGGTTGTGTGTATTTTTGTATGCTGTATCATAAAAAAATAAAAACAAAAAAAATGTCTAAAAAATAAAAATAATTATTTTGGGGTAAGGGACACCTCTTATAACTTAGGGGTTTGAAAGGTAAATAGTAGCCGATTCTCAGACTTACTGAATATGCATAAAAATGTCATAAGTATCAGTTGAGCCGTTGTGGAACTGTATGGGAACGAACATTGTGACACAAGAATTTTATATAGTAGATATAGAGATTTGGGAACATGAAAATTGCACCACTGATTTTATAAAACAACAGGTGTTGTTGGTTGATACAGATGTTTGCATCAGCTTAGTTATATATATTGATGTGTTTACACTTTTATTATATTTAAAAACTGAACTGAACTGAACTGTGTATTTGTTAAACAGATTCAGAAAAAAAATATTTACATCAGTTTTAAGCTCTACTAAAGCAAGACAATCCTTACCTAACACACACATAGGTGCCTGCTTATTATGTGTTATATCAAATAAATTATACAATAATGTTTGTGTTCTTCCACTATGGCAGAACAAATCAAACTCCTCTAAAACAAATATCATGGTCCTGCACTTTCTATCAACTCCACTCATGAGACAACTTAGTAGAAAGCTTAGATTTTCAGCAAAGGTACCAAATACCCTATCACCCACAACATTTTCTAATTGCATCTGAAAATAAAATGTTGGTAGAAAGTCTTTGTGTGACTATATCAGAAAATACATATTTGTCAAAATACCATATAGTAAATCTTTGTTTATTCTTCAGTTTTCAAGATAAATTATGAGGAAAACAAATAAAAATAAAAGCTTAGACTCATAGTCCTGCAAGTTCTAGAACTTTGAATTTCTCAATAACCTAAATAATTAGATTAGTTTTACCAAAAAGGTAATCTCTATTTTCATGATTTATTATATATTTTGATCATTTCAATTATATTATACTTTGAATTACCTGAGCAGTAATAGATTTTAAAGCAATCTTTTCATCATGGTGTAAAAGTCCATTCAGTTTTATAATCATAACATCATTATTCATATCAACTTCATTTGATACTTGATGTAATACTGAATTTATTAGCTGAAAAGTAATATTATTAATGAGTTATTTTGTAATTAGCTAACGGACCAATCTAAGAACACCATATTTAGTATTAAAGTTTAGCATTTAGTGGTGTTCAGAATTAGACTATTATACCAAGGTAATCAAACTATCATTTAAGCTTTGAACTTACTGTGGTCTTTCCACAACCCCTTGGACCTAAAATGAGGGCAGAGTGGGACTCCCCTTGCTCTATTGACTTCATAAATAAATCGTAAACATGTTGTCTTTCATTTTCATGTCCTCTGAATTTTACATCATCTTCTATGATTTTCAGTTTCAGATATTTTCGTACCAGCTTTAATTGGTCCTCTATTTCAAACATATTAAAACTTAATAACGTTATTTTAATCAATTCGTAATAAAATACTAAAATAGACTACGTTATAAATAAAAACTTAAAATTAATAAGCTTAAGCTATAAAGAAAACTGCAACTGCGACAGTTTTCGCGGCTCGCGCCATCGTAACATCATCATGTGTCAACTGTCAACTGTCGACTGTGACACTCGAAAGTAATTTTCATTACATTTAACTTTTATTTTATAGTCATTAAATGAAATTCGTCAGTCACACTGATTTACTTAATTCTCTAGATACCATAGAATTATTTGAAATAAAATAATAATGATATTGATATGTATCGGTCTCAATCGCTCTCTCCGACAAAACTCTGCACACCTTCGTGACGTTCTGTAAAAATGTTACCCTCATGCGCCTAAGGAAGTTTCACTTCAAAATCAATTTTTAAAACTTAACAATAATGACAAAACTCTTATGTAGTTTGTGAAAATTAACTTATAATTTAGATTTACTCAATCAAATTAGATTTATTGTTAATGTTTGCCTTGTTTTCAAGTTACAATCATTTAAAATTAAATTGAAGGGCAAAATTGCGCATGTGTTAACACTCCCTTGTGCGCACTGCGTGAAAACGAAATTTGTCGATCAATAATTTGTATGGCACACAGGGGTAAAACATCAAAAGATTTATAAATTTACTTATTAATACATTAAGTTTACTAGATCTTTAAACTGATAGCGTAAAACTCTTTATAATGATTGTTTCGATTATATTACTTATTTTTAATATTAAAAAATCCCAATAAAAAACTTAGATAAAAAATACATTAGGATTTTATCAGTTAATTTTTGATTTCCATAACTGGAATTATATCTTTAAAGTAAATCTGAAATAGTTTTAGGATTTTTATTTGTCTTCGGACTTGTCGTTTAAGTAAGTTCCGTTTCATTAGTACATTCATAGTTTTACTATCTCGCTTTAACTTGTTAAACTTGGCTTACGATATCTCTTTCCTGACCTTAAAACCCCTAGATTTTATGTCATAATACGTATGTGTAAAGCTCCAAAATTTCGGCCGGGTGCTAAGCCAAGATCTAAATTTAGATTTGGAGTAAAAAGTGCTATAGATTTTTATATTATAACATATTCTTTTGAAACGACTGTAGTCATATGTGTAAATAAAAGGTCCAAAAATATGATGAGTGAACTACCTGTACGCACAAGTGATATAATGATGATTATATAGTGTTTTAACGATCAAAATGCTGTTATTTAAGTGATGTGTTTGCTCTATAAGATCAGCAGCAGGTTTTAATTATACAATTATACACACGGATAAAATTGCACATTTCACAAGCAAATTAAATTGCAATGTAATAGTTTTTTTTTAAGCACTGTTGATGAATTGCTTTTTGTGTTGTGTAAAATATACCTACCTACTTCTAATTTTCTATCAGCAATGTTGTATACGATGTTTTCTGAGCGCTGAGAAATTGTAAGTGAGCTTTATATGTTTTTTTTTATTTAAAGAGTATTATAAAAACTATATATCTTATAAAATAACAAGATACTGACTGGGATGATGAAATCTGTACCGAATTAGTTGGAATTAGGTGACCTAGTGAAAATTTTTTATAGATTATGTTTCTATTTAGCAAAAAACATAATAAAAATCACTCTGTCTTTGATAATAACATTAAAAAAATATATAATGAAGCTCATTAGCTATAGCAGTCAATAAGAGTGCTTTCTTAAATGAGCTAATTTAGGGATTAATTGATATTTATTTTTTTGTGTGAGGAATGAAATTAACTCTACGCGAGAGAATTCACATAGATTGTCATTACATAATGATGATGATGATATTAATTTATCCTTAATGGGAAAGGCAAAGGACTTTAGTCCATACAGCCAGGTCTTGCGTCCATTTTTTAACCCTGTCATATATTAAATTTGTCAGTTGTCGAGATAGTTGAAAATTAAAATTGACTTTTGTAGGTTGCCATAACACGCTTATCACCGTAAAATAGGGCACTTAATGGTTGATAATTTAAATTTAAAAGAGTCTATGTCAAATCATGAGTTGCTCAGACCATATTTACTTAAATATATTAGATATCACACAGAATACAATTCATATTCGACGGTCTCAAAGTGTTTTCGAGATTTATAAATTGGTAAAAAAAAAATATAAAGTTAAAATAAATAACAATACAACTTGCAACACTTAAAATCTGGCTATTTTTATTTTGCTTGTAGATTGATTTCTTTGTGTAGATATTTTATCGTAAAATAATCGTTTTAAACATTTATTTTAATCGTATGAAGTTTGCTACATTATTTTAAATAACTTTTGAATGTTATTGGTAACGGTAAACGAATTTCTTCATTCTATTATTTCATTGAAGTTACAACGTAAGTAGTTCCAACTTTCAACATCATTGAATCCACCTAAATAAGATGCAATTTAAAACTACTAGAATCTTATGCTGTAGATGTCCACATATGCCAACTTGACATAAAACCAGTGGCCTATATGGTGATCGCACTTGAAATAGTTACATATTAAACGATAAACATAATTCTCTCTTCCATGCTTCTTTAACACCCTTTGCATACTAAAGTGCAAGTAAATTAAATCTTATTCACTTGTAGCATTAGATTCAAGTTTTAATGTTAGATATAATTAAGTATGTTTATACATAGGATAGGATATAATACTTTAAAGTTTGTGTGATTTAAATAATACTTAAAGCTTAAAATTTTGAAAAATGTTTTTATTTTCCTAGCTATTCTATAAATGATCAAACCTTTTGATTGAAGCTTTATTAAGCTAATAAACCTATGTTTATTTTTGTATACCTAAGTATTACTTCACATGTCAAAAGCAGGTTGCTCATGTATGTAAAGATCAAACTGGCTAATTTAGTTTTTACTTAATAAATGGTTGCCTCTGCCAATATGCCTGACAAGTTAAGAAGTAAACACATAAACTTTAGTTTTTATATTACTTGTTTGCCAAGGCTGTACTTGTATATAAGATAAAAATAATAAAACAGCTATCATCAAATCAGTGCAGTAGATAAAGCTTCATATTTTAGGTGCTTAAATAACATCATGTTTAACTGTTTGTATATTTCAATAAATTATACAAAAAATTCTCACATATAATTGCTGCAATTGTTAAAATTTTGGGTTGTAATCTTCAATTTAAATAGATATTTGACACAATAACATAATGGTATTTATATTTTGTGATGCTATTCTCTCTGTACAGTATGTGCGTGTATCTATTTGCTTTTTATTATACAAAATTTTCCTGTCAACCAGGGCCTGCAATATTTGCAAATTAATAATAAAATTGTATTATAACACATTACAGCTAAAATTTGATATAAGGTTATACCTATATTTTACTGATATCTCTGAGAATGCTAGTATAAATATTTATAATTACATGTTATCAAGTAGAGATATCCTTTGTTTGAGGCCACAACAATTTACTGTATCTGATTTAGAGAACACAATTACTACCGAATTAATTACGTATTTAGTTTGCATATAATCAAATGTTCAGTTTATCAATATTTGCAGTACATAATTATTTTTTTATAATCTTTTTCTGAATTGGATGTGTCAGTGATATTTTTAATAAACCTGCCTATTCATTTTTTGCAATTATATTTAAGGCAATTTTTATGTATAGTTTTGCAACTGTATAGCAGGAATCCCAAAAAAAGTCAATCTTTAATAAGACAGCTTTATAGATAGACATTCATTGTATCTCTAGTTACTGTTATTGTTTTGAATCCTAAGAAATTCCAGTGCTTTAAATGTACATACTAAATGCACCAAACAAGTAAATTTGTTCATTTATGTCTGTTACAGTACATACTACATAAAGAATTGGGTATTTTCATGAATAGTATATTTTATTAATAAATTATTGCTATTTTTATGTCTGGGTAGATTGCCTAAGTATTAAAAGAAAAGCCACCTTGGTTGAATTGGCTATCATCTATGTTCTCTTACTTTACGTACTTATTGCCTTTTAGACACGCTTGTACGATCCCTGATATATTTAAAATTTGACGCTCTCTTTATAAAAAAAATAATTGCAGATGGGAGACCGATTAATTAGCAGTGACAATGGAGGAGCATGCGTGCCTTGTCCGCGCTCGCTCTGACTCTGAGAGTTCTTCGAAACTTGGCAGCTTCGGCTCCATAGCTCACACCATGTCCTATACCGAGGACAGACTCACAGGTATGTGAATTAATAGTAACATAGTTTTAGTTCATGACCAGTACTGAAAAGTAAGTGAAAATGATTTACTTAAAAAAAATATTAACAACTAGCAAGTACAACAAGCAACCATTTTGGATCCTATCCTTGATTCTATTTAACATAATTGTACTTATTCTTTATCTAAATTTATACTTTGAAAATTTCAGAAGGCGGTGGTGATCCTGGCATCACAAATAACATACCACCTCCGCCTGACAACAATGATGTCAATGATAGCGGTGAGCTATTGGACTATAATGATTCAAGTGTACTCGAGCAATTCCATGAAGATGCATTACGACAGGTAAATATATCAACTGCGTTTTTCAGGCACAGAAAGCATATCACCTACAGAGTAAACAAATATAGAAACCTCAGGTCTCTTAGCCAAGGGTTGTAGTGCAGAACGCTTTAGTCTATAAATGCAGCTGCATTCTCTTGGAAATTAATTCCCTTTTCTCCAGGCTTATACATCACAGACTAAATATAGTAAAAATTGTGCTTATAATAATACAAAATAGCCAAATTTGTGAATATTATTATTCCAGGCCGGTTGCGGTTTATCTCAAGGAAAAGTGATCCTGGCCGTTGGATTGGCCGTGGTGGGGTCAGCTTTAGAAATGTCATCCATTCCATTTGTATTGCCATCTGCTGAGATAGAGCTGTGTGTGTTGCCACATGAGAAAAATTGGTTAGGTAAGCTTAAATTAATTCTACATGTTTATGTTAAATTAGATTATATTCAACTTTAAAAATTATCAAATTATTGTCAAATTTTTCATTTTTTAAAAGTTTCTATATTTGCTTGATTATTTTTTTTAAGTTTCTAAAATTTTTTTGTTGTTTGTTAAGTGCTATACAAAGTTATTAGTTTTATTTAACAATATATTGATACTTTTGTTCACAACTGCTAACAAATTATTTAACAGCGATTTTGAACTTTATCACAGTGATTATTAAAGTATTATTAGTTACTAATATTATAAAGAGAAAAGATTTGTATGTAAGTATGTTTGTAAGGAATTGGCTCAAAAAGTACTGGACCGATTTTAAAAATTCTTTCACCATTATATGCTACATTATCAATGATTAATATAGGCTACTAATTTTAATTGCAAGAAAAAATGAGGATCCTACTAAAACTACAATAATGTTACCCATTGTGCAAAATATCTTTCATTGCATGCGCTGCGATAACTATTGATGATAGAACAAAAAAATGTTCAACAATATTAAAGAACATATTAATATCTACAAAAAATTTAGCATGTGTCTAACTATTGTAGTTATGTCACTATAACTACTTTTAAACATTTTAAAATTTAGTAGAAATTCCGACCAAAATGCGACAAAGGCAAAGGTATAAATAACTTATACCTTTGCCTTTGTCCTTACCTAAATAAATGTCTGTATGTCCTGCATTTACTGTAAATTAATGACAAAATGTTTAAAAAATTAATATCCACCCGTGCGAGGCCGGGACGGGCCGCTTTAAATAGAAAGTAAATTACAAGAAATCACTGCTATTATACTATCTGCTACAAACTGCTATTTCAGTGATGATTAGTATAATGGGTGGATCGCTGGGTGCCGTGGGTTGGGGTGCGTTGGGTGAACGCCTCGGCCGTAGAAGGGCGTTGTTATCTGCGCTCGCTGTTAATGCGGTTTTTGCTGCAATTGCTGCCTTCATGCCTACTTATGGGACGTTTATGATGGCCAGGTATGATGTATTAGCTTTTTTGCTAGAGCGGTGTTGGCCTAGTGGCTTCAGGGTGCGACTCTCATACCTGAGGTGGTAGGTTCGATACCCGGCTGTGCACCAATGGACTTTCTATGTGCGCATTTAACATTCGCTCGAACGGTGAAGGAAAACATCGTGAGGAAACCGACACGTCTTAGACCCAAACAGTCGACGGCGTGTGTCAGGCACTGGAGGCTGATCACCTACTTGCCTATTAGATTTAAAATGATCATGAACCAGATTCAGAAATCTGAGGCCCAGACCTAAGGATAATATAAATGTAGATATTTTTTTATATTTTTGCTGTTTTAAGTTTCGGGGTGAACCCTTTGGATTTCAGAGAATTATTTAACTTATCTTTTGACATAAGAAGTATAAAATTAGTATTAATAAAGTAAATAAATTTATATAAAATAATGCAAGGATTTTGCTTTTTAATTTATTTTAAATAAATGTTACTTTTCAGATTTTGTTCAGCCATCGGTTCGGGCGGTATCATTCCCACGGGATATGTGTATACGTCGGAAATGATATCCCGGGTAAAGCGAACAATACCGATGGCCGTGTTCCCCGTTTGTATGGGGGTGGGGATACTGGTGGCGGCTGGACTCGCCCGGGCCATCTTACCTTTGACCGGGGCCGAGACTTTGATAGAGAATAAGGAGCATTTCAGCGCTTGGCATAGGTGAGTTTAACCGACTTCAAAATAATAATAAAAACTTTATTTATGACAAGAGGGTTGTGACAGAATTCATATATCGCTAGTCCCCAAACCAGGGAGGCCCTGTGTTGTGGGTAACTAGAAACGTGGTACGTTTAAAACAGTTAAGAAAAAGTTAAAAAAAAGAAGTGAATGAGTGAGTGTGGAATGGGTGTGTATGCGCATGTATTTGAGAGTGTAGCTGAAAGTTGTTATGATCGTGCACCGTGTGTGTGTTAGTATTTGAAACCTCAAAGTCATACCAAGATATGTAGTAATGCCAAAAAGAAGGTCAGTTTGACTTGTATGCGTAGGATATATTATGTTTTATTAAGGAACGTATAAATTTCGTAAGTATATGTTTGTCCACAAATAGTCACAAACTTAGGGAGCAGTTCAAGTTTCATCAAAATCGCTTCAGTAGTTTTTGAGATATGGATTATTTCAAGTATTTAAGGTCGGTTTTTATTTCTAATTATTGACAATTTATGAAGAATACGACCAAATTATGACGAGTAAAATCGCGGTGCACTGCTTGTTAAAAAAAAAAGAGTAGCGGAAAGTTTATAGCCAGTTCTTCTCTTCCGTTCTACGCCCTTGATTTGAGAACAGGCAGTAAATGTAAAATTAGATGCATTAATATGTATTTCTTTACTGACGAGACATAAGTGTTCATTAAGGCTATGTTCAGATGGCAAAAACTTGACGCGCGTTTTCAAATCACGCGACTAGACATTGTGGTATTTTCATATAACTGTTCACATGAGCGCGCGTTAACGCGGCGCTCAGAGAAAAAGTCTCTAGACGCAGGTGATCGCGCGTTGACGCGCGCTTTGATATTCATGCAATGTCCCGTGTCCGTTTGCTGTTCAGCTGAGCATGTAGTTTTGTTAATTTTCGTAATTATATTTTGTTTTCGCATTTAAAATGAGTGAAATTGAAAATATTGACATCGACTTACTAATCGATGAAGTAGAAAAAAGGCCAGCAATTTGAAATATAGCAAATTTGTATAAAAAATATAATATAATTTGTATTTTTTTTCAAAATTGGATGAACCCAATGTGTACGTTTTCTTTTTCTACATTTTTCTTTACTATATAACTACAAAATAATAGCCTCTTCCACGTCCATTTTCTACGTTCTACCGAACTAGACTGACGAGTACTCTCGCAACGCGCTTTAGCGCTCATCATCTGAACTCTCTTCAAATTTGATCGCGCGTTGACGCGCGTTAACGCGCGTTACACAATGAATAAATGATTTTTGACTATATATAACTTTTCAGGTACCTCCTCCTGTGTGTGTTGCCAATCATTGCGTCGTTAATCAGCCTCATTTGGACGCAGGAGTCTCCCCGGTACCTCCTCGATGTGGGGAGGGAAGTTGACGCTATGATGGTGTACCAGGTAAAATTAGTTTTTTAAGTTTTTGTAAAAAAAACAAAATAATGTTTTTCCCAAATAGCGAGAAAATAAGACTATTTTTTGTCTACATATACTACTAATAAATAGACAATTACACAATACATACAAAAAAATGTGAGCCGTCACGGGACGCCTGGCAGATGTGAAACATCGACATAATTCTGTAAAAGTTATATGCGGAAAAGAACAGATTCTGATAGGAACTAAATATGTCATAATGATAAAATAAAATATTACGATTTTTTTCCAGATAACTATGACTATTTATTTAATAAACATTTATTTTCATTAAAAATTTACGAATTTATTTCAAATCGTCACTACTTAATTCGTTAATCGAAATACACACACCGTACACGCTACTGCATATAGACTGTATATATATACCATCATATAGCGTGGCGTCACCACGGCATGCGTCGCCACGCCAGAAATCGGTTTTACGTGCGGCTATAGATGTTTCACATCAAAAACACACGTTTACGACTAATAAATCATTTATATTTATTATTTGCGGGTAGAATTTTGGTAAATGAGGGTATTTAATAAATTCAGAGCATACACAGCGGCAACCAAATCCGCGTGTGCCGCAAAGTGAGCGTGGGGAACGATGGCGAATATCGTTTGGGCGAACTCTCCCTTCCGGGGAAGAGACGTCCGCCCGCCCTGCATCACGTCAGACATAGCGTCAAAATGGTGAGGAATTTGTTTATTTTATAGAGACTACTTTAATTTTTTACAGCGTGGGTAATTTCAGAATCGATATTTGTTTTTATGGAAATAAATTATTATTATTATTTATTACCTACTCATAACCAAACTTTGAGAATTGGATAAGTGGCATAAAAAGTAGTGCTACAATCTTTTGAAGTCTGTACCTCAGATTTCTGTATATTTCCTGATCATTTCTCTTTAATAGGCCTTCTGTCGCTGATTTCTTTCCTTCACCGTACGAGCGAGTGTTATATACGCACAGAAAGTCTATAGGTGCTCGTGAGGCGAGCACCATGTCCATATAATAATAGTTTCTAGGCTAGGCAGTAGGAAGACAAGGGAAACATCTTCGGGTCTTTAATATGTATATTAAAGTTTACACCGAAGAAACAAAGTTAATAAACGAAGAGAGTTGAAAACACAATAAGAGAAAAGAAAGCGTTAAGACATTAATAAAGTCACAAAGGGAGAATTCGTAACTCGCGCGCACAGGTTTCGCGTTCCAGAGTTCTAATCGCACTATGCGCTGGTCGCGCTGCCACTGGCTGCAGGCTCCACCCACCGCGCCCGTGTCGTCACACAGCGGTAAAATCACCGACTCGGTGCAAAAGAGGAGTGGTATTAATTGTTCGCCACAAGTCCACTGGTGCATAGCCGAGTGCGAACCTTCTTTCTATGTGCGCATTAAACATTCGCTCGAACGGTGAAGGAAAACATCGTGAGGAAACCGACAAGTCTTAGACCCAAACAGTCGACGGCGTGTGTCAGGCACTGGAGGCTGATCGCCTACTGGCCAATTACATTGGCAAACAGATACAGAAATCGGAGGCCCAGACCTCAAAATTTTGTAGCGTCATTACTCATTGATATACACTCGGCGTCAAAAAAATCGCACCTTTCCTAAAATTCGTGTCAAGCGATTATAACTCCGAAGATCCTTCCTGTACCCTATCATTATTAGTATCATTTGAAAGCTAATGTAATCCCTTATTTGAAAACAGTAGGAAACTAGCCACCACCCCCATAGAAAAAGAAAATTCTGGGAAAATGTGAAACAATGTGTATTCTGATCAAAATTAAAAATAAAAGGAACAATACAAAAATTAAAAATAAACAATGACAATCCTTAAAAATTAGTCTTACAACCTAGTGTTGCCTCCTCTATCCCTCCGACCAGCTTCCAAGCGGTCAGCCATGGACCTGATGAGCGTCACGACGTGTTCATGGGGAATGTTGTCCCTTTCCTCGATGACGGCATCTCGAAGCTCATCGAGAGTGGCAGGAGCTGGATTACGGGCCCGAACTCGCCGTTTCAACTCGTCCCAGAGGTGCTCGATAGGATTGAGGTCGGGGCTTCTTACTGGCCAGTCCATAACCTTGATGCCAACTCGACGTAGGTAGTCCTCGACAATCAAGGCTGTGTGGAACCGGGCGTAGTCGTGCATGAACTTGAAGTTGGCGCCGACAAAACCTACACATGGGACCACATGCTACTCCAAAACTTCGGTGATATACCGGTGGGCAGTCAGAGACCCCTGGCCGCGACTTTCTCCAGCTCTGGAGACGCACACGAGGTCTGTCTTGCCGTCGATAGAAATACCGCCCTAGAACATGCAGGATCCTCCTCCATACCCGACGGTTTCCACGGTGCAGGCTGGTGTGAAACGCTCCCCTGGCCGCCTGTAGACTCTCTTACGCATGTTGTTGGTGTACACGTACACTCGGGTTTCGTCGGAGAACAGGACATTCCTCCAATGGTCGAATGTCCACGGCACGTGCGTTTCATAAAATCGCTTCCTTTTCGTCCGGTGGATGGTAGTCAATAGGGGGCCTGTAGCAGCTCTCCGGGGCAGCAAATTCTTCTCTCACAGCCTTCTTCTGATAGTGGAGACGCTGTCAGCTGTCCTTCGAGTAGCTCAAAGCCGCTGATGCAGCTCCACAGCGTTGAAGAAGCGGTTCCGCAGAGACGTTGACACAATGGAGCGATCACCTCTGACGGTAGTGCAGCGACGTCTCCCGGATCCATGTCTCCTGATGTAACCTCCAGTCTCTTTGAACCGTTGGTATACCCGTTGCACTCGAAATCGGCTGATTTTCAGTTGCCGAGCAACTTCAACCTGCCGTAGTCCGATTTGCAGTAGGGCCACCACTTGAGCTGCTTCTTTGCCATGGTATCCATTTTCACTGGGTTTTTTCTTGTTGAAGCTCTTTAGGAGTGACCTCTGTGACGTCTGAATAGCGAATAACCCATCATTGACTTTTACCCCCTCGTTATATACGCGTCCAGGATGGTACAATTAGTGAGCCTCCAAACGCGTACATCGCCACTTTTTAATCAAAGTGCTGATGATTTGTGGTTTTTGATTTTCCGTAAACAAATGATTATTTTTTTGAAAGCTTATTAATTGAGCTTTTAAATGATACTAATAATGATAGGGTACAGGAAGGATCTTAGAAGTTATAATCGCTTGACACGAATTTTAAAGAAGGGTGCGATTTTTTTGACGCCAAGTGTATCTTATAATACAAATTAATGTATGAAATATATTTTATTAATGTGATGATGTAGTGATAAAATAATATAAGAATTCACTATGATATGTTTGGTAATATAATAGGTAACTACTATGTAAAATTCTACCATTTTTTTATGTAAGACAAATTTGCACGTCATTATGTGTGGCGAAGTTTGTACTACTATAATATTTTTGTACCATATTCTTGCAAATAAATTATTATTTTAATTGTGAATTTTGGTCTGAGTATATTCGTTACAAACATACAAAATTACGAATCTTTCTTTAATTAGATGTAGAATATTTACGTTATAATTTATTTTTTTGCTTTTTCCAGTTTTGGCAGACATTTTTCCAATTATTCTCAAACACATACAGAAGTACAACAGTGTCTCTGGGCGGGACTTTGTTATTCTCTATGGCGATATCGGTCAGTACGAATTGTATTTTTAAACCTATTTTAATAATATCTAATTATGTGTCAAATGAAGGATGAAAGAAAGAAAAAGCTTTTTTAGAAACACTAATTTTTGGATTCACGTTTATTTTTAAAAACATTTTTTTTATACAAAAAATAAAAATGTTTTAGTATGATGATTTCGTCTCACGCGCGGCAATTAAAAATATTGACCGCCATTCAAATTCAATCAGATATAGTTCAGGTCGGTTAAACTTTTATTAAAATATGTTCAGTAGGTTTTGCCATATGGGTGTTCATGCTTTTCTATATTTATGACTATAGTCGACGCATTTTAAACTGAGTCTTCGGGCAATAAATGTCACTGTCAGTAGGAATGCGCACGCACTCTGACTCCTGATTGGTCGTTACGACTTACGAGTAAGAGTTGTTGCCTTTCTTATTATATATATAATACTTAGCATAATTAAGAATATCGATCGTACCTATCCCGTTATCGATAAGCACCTCTACAATTCTTTCGCACATCACTACACCTCTCCATAAGACCTGTAAGTGCGAGCGAGACAGACAGATAAATATGATTTATGACCCTCAGTTCATAATTCGTCGACTATAAGTTATACATAATATTCTTTATTCTTGTCAATTTATTTATTTTAAATTGACAGTTCTACCTATCAGCGGCTGTCCCATCGACAGTGCTGAGCATAGAAACGGAGGCCTTCCTCCTTTCGAGGCGTCGGGTAACGAACGTAACGTATGAGAACGAGAATTACAACGAGACGTTGGAGAACGTAGACTTTTATGACGTCACGTTTCGTAACGTGACGTTTCGGGATATGCTCATGTCGCACGTCACCTTCTACAATAACACCTTCCTGAATGTGGCCTTTTCGAATATTAAGACGTCGTACACCAGCTTCAAGGGGTGCCTATTTGTTAATTCAACGTGAGTATTAAATTATTTTAATTTAGGTGATAATTGTAATGCCACAGAGTAGCATAGACAATACAGATTATATTTGGACATTTTGCTTTTTAAAATTAATATTTCATTTATTTATGTTTTAAGTATAAAAAAGATTATTTATGTCGAGATTGGGTAATGCAACACGCATTTGGAATTTGATTATTTGCCAGTTATTTATTAGTTACGCCCTCAATTGTATTTTTTTAGTCAATGTTTGTGGGTATTTTAAAATATTTCAAAGCAAAGTATTAGTTTCTATATTAGTAGTCTAACCCAGGTGACATTATTTGTAATTTCAGTTTTTCATTATGTTTTAAAATCCACTTACTGTGTTTCGTTAACAATTTCCAAGTAATTTTTTCCTAAAACCTATTATTTAAGTTTTTCAAATTAATTTCTTAGCAATGTAATTAAAAATGATGTATATTCTATGGGGGGGGGGGGGGCACATAATAGGTTGGGAAACACTGGTCTAACTAGAACCGTTCCTTGTCGTACGAAGAGCGTATGTCCATCATTCCACTGCGATATTTAAGTATGTTTAATGACACTTTTCAGGATGATAGACACGGATATAGAGATAGGAAAGGAGTTGGACGACTGCACGCTGACCGGCAGTACAGTGCGAGGGGTCAAGGGCGGGTGCAGTAGACACGCGGACCTGACCTCCACGCTGAGCGGTCCGCTGGCCGAGCAGACGTACGGGGCGTACGCGGCTCTATTGGCCTCGGTGCCTGTTGCGGCCCCGCACGCTTTGAGACCGCCTGGTAAGGAATTGCTAATTGCAATAGTATTTCGTTTCTTCAATGAGACATCATGGAAAATTACGATCTAGTCTAACTGTTAAACACTTTGGAGGCGTTCAAGTATTACGTAAGCACTTTAGGGTTGCCCCCCCCCCCCCAAGGTTGGGTTTCTTTGATTTTCTTATTTGGTGATTACATCAACAGTTTTCTTTACTTTTTTTACACATATTACCCACACATTGTCTATGCTTGAAAATGAAATGAATTTTCGAGTATTCCTACAAAAAAATAATACGTTCTTTTATTTTTGAGAGCTTTGCATCCTTTTTTGAAAAGACGGGGGGGGGGGATAAATTGCAGTAAATCTGCTTACGTAATACTTGAACGGACTAACTTAAGACTAACATGCACTAACACTAATTCACTAAAAGACAATACTAATTCACTAGTTCAAATGGTGTCAAGAAGTCGAATAGCCTCGATATAAATAAAATAAATATTCATACCTACTTTTATTTAGATATGGTTTTGTTTTATTTTCATTTAGTACGAGCTAATTTTGTAATAATTTCAGTTCTAATATAATTGTAATCGTATTTTTTTAAATATTTTGTTTTATGACTAGCAACACTAGTAATAACTAGACATATTTTTTTTTAAACATGCTATGATTTTTTTAGCTATGATTCTTCTTTTCTTTTTAAATATAAAAAGATATATACACATCCGAAATAGAAAGATTCAGTGCAATACAAACAGTTCAGTTTATTCGTTACGTTCTATGCTTGAGAGAATAACGTCTATTAAGATATTTAAAACTAAAGAAATTTGAAAGGTTAGGCCATTTCATTCATTGATAAAAGGCTTTTATTATGACATTTAAATAATTGATTAACTTAATTGTAACTATGGTCATGATCGTAGAACAATGTCGGATTTGAAAAAAATTCAAAATCCACTTTTTATCATATTTGGATACTACATTGACTAAATATTACGGCTACATTAAAAAAAATTCAAATTAATCAGCCGGTAAAGTGACGGATTTGATAGAAACATGTGATTTTTCTAGAAAACTGTGTAATTTAATGTTATTATTTTTATTTTGTTTCAAAACAAACCCTTTTGTATGCTTGTATGCCAATTTTCATAATAACAGAATATGAATTAAAGTAGTTATGACAAAAACTAACATGATTATATTATTTTGAAATGGCAGCCCTGTAAAGTTTACTATTTGTCAGATCCGTCACTATTCTACGACTATGACAATATTTCCTACTAAAAGTGTCAAAATCAATGTTAAAATTAGTAGGCGATTAAAGGCTTTTTAATTAAATATTACAGTGATCCTATGCGGCGCGTTAGTGTTGCTATCTCCGACACTCTACTTTGCGCAGATAGAGACAGCGCTATACATAGTCGAGGCGGCTTACAGACTGATCGTTACTGTTATTTTCTTCACCATCAGTATTAAGGTGGTGGATTCGTATCCGGCTAATTTAAGGTAAGTTTAATTAAGAATACGCACAATGTTAATACTCGGAACAAACGCAGGCTGCAATTTCCCCGTACTAGACTATCCGTGATTTTTTTTGGGAAAAGGGATACTCTTCTTTAATAAAATCCCAGAGGCTCTTTTATCTCTGCCTTTTAATAAATTTAAGAAACGTATTAAAGAAAAGCTGTGTAAAAAGGCTTACTATAAAGTCAACGATTATCTAGTTGATAAAAGGGCCTGGGCTAGTGCTATACAGGCTACTTCAAATTAATTTGCGATATTTGTTTTAAATAAGTGTTGTTTGATGATTTGCTATTTTAAAAGAGTACCGAGAGTTTTTTACGCCGGCTTTTTCTCTCGGCTTACACCCTCTGTCTACTTTGCCGATGAGTAGGGATGTCTACAGATTCAAATTTAATAAGTGATACCTGTATCTGATGTTCCATAATAAACATATTTTATTTCTTATATTTTTTTGAACATTTTGTAGGTAGCTACAAAATTGAGGGTATTAAAAAATAACTCTGATAATGTCTAAATTTTTGTTTCATTGTCTGGTATAATTGGCTATATTTATTTTATGTGACCTAAATCGCTAGATCGATTTTGATGGAATTTACTACCTTTATGCTTTCTTTAATGGAAGTTAGAAAAAATCTTTAAAATTAATGAACCGTTGAACGCTCAACTATATAGGATGTATTTTGTTACAGATGCACGGCCCATGGGCTGATATTATCGACAACTTACATGTGGGGTACGGCCGTACGGGGCATGGGGGACTTTGGACTCGTTATAAGTTGTATTTTGTGCGCACTTTTCGCTATCACAGCAACAGCACTCTCCGTAAGAATACGATAGACTGTATCGAAAAATACTATGAGCGTTTGATACAAATTGTAATCTTAAACAATAAATACGTAAATGTAGCCGTACTCACGCGCCCAGTTTCTGAAAAGCAATTGTCAAGTGTCAAATTTCTGTCAGATAGAAATAGCAATTAACAATGGGCTATTGGGCAAGATTTAAAAACAATTTCAGATTTTAATGATTTTAGAATCTATATATTGGTTTTAATTGTGTTTATTAGCTTTTATTTAAATTAAATATTCATTAAATCCATTAAATCCGCCCAAACGCTTCTCTAGACAAGATGGCGTCCAGTACCTATGACGTACAATGCTTGTAAACACTGAACAAATGTCAAGTATGTGAATAATTTACAAGTTTACTCCATTTTATTTGCCAAATAGTCTTTAGGAGATAATTTGATTAAAATGAAGACCTTCAAGAAAATACCGTACCAATTCTTGATAGGCCGGCAACGCACTTCCGGTCCTTCAGGCAATGTGAGTGTCCATGGGCGGCGGTATCACTTAACATCAGGTGTGCCTCCTGTGGTTTTACCTTCTGTTACATTAAAGAAAAACTTGTCAAACACCAATTTAAGTGTTATAACGATTGATTGAATGAAAAAGTCTTAGTAACGATTCACGAACAGGTCAGAAACTGGGCGAGTCAATGAAATTATAGTTTAATAATATTTTTTGTTATAAAATAACGGATAATGAACTTTAATATCTGTTAAGAAAGGTTGTTTGTGAAAATCACCTGTGAATTTTAAATTTGATGAGTTGGCAGTGACTTGAGCTTCCCAAAGATAGTTCTTTATAGCTTAAGTAACGATTACAGACTCTGAGTACGTCTTGCTCTGGTCTATAATATAGTTTTCAAAATATATATGAAGTCTCCTTGGATATGATTGCGGTTGAGTGAAAATCAATCACTATTATACCAGAAAAAAGGTCGTGTTCGCTTGCAAATGGTTCAACGAACAGAATTACGGGCAGTCTATGTTTTAAAGGTTATATTAATTTAAAAGATTATCGCTGGAAAAGGTAGCATTATTTTATTACGTCATTTTTAGATTAAAAGGCTACATTTGAAAGCCTATCTCTAACGAAGTTTCAACAAAATAAAACGCGTTTAATTTAGCGAAAAATTCAAAGATTTTTGGAAGTTCTTGGAAGCTTGTATTCTTCTCTAACATATATAATGATATCACATAAATACTTTGCGAAATGCCTAACCCAAGGTACGGATATGGTCACGTGATCAAGCGTGGACCAAGAGTATTTCTATCTCACATAAACAAGAAAATTATGAGTACCTAAATTTCTCTTACGTTGTCGAAAACTTTCCAAAATTCCGGGTTTTTGAATGAAAAATTTCAGCTTCGTAAACAAAACCCAATGATAAAGAAAGCTTGAATATAAAAGCTATATTATATTTAAAATTATGAATTTGTGTTACATATCATTTTAGATAGCGTAATTTTAGTTAATTTAAATTACCTTGCAATAAAACTAACATAGCAATGATCGTTTAACCAGTGTTGTCAACATTGGTAATTGCCCATATATAGGTCGAAAGGGGCCGTTCAAGTATTACGTAAGCAGATTTACTGCAATTTATCCCCCCCCCCCCCCCGTCTTTTCAGAAAAAGTATGCAAAGCTCTCACAATAGTACATAAACGTATTAATTTTTTGTAGAGTATTCAAGTATAGACAATGTGAGGGTAATATGTGTAAAAGAGTATATAATTACTGTTAACGTAATCAATAAATCAGAAAATCAAAGACCCCCCTCCCCCCTATAGTGCTTACGTAATACTTGAACGGCCCCAAAGGGTCCGAGTTTGTTTTGAAATAAGGGTTTTTTTTAATAAGGGGGCAGTGTAACAATAGCTTAAATATTTATTAATTTAAAAGTTGCTTCCAATGCACGTAATAGCCATTATTTAATACTCACTTAATAACGAGATAAACTAATATTAGAATAACGAAAAAACTTGTAAAATTGTACAGTACCATGAGTTTGCCAAAATACGTAAAATTAATTAGTACGACATCAAGTTTTCAACACAAATATTAGTTGTTTTGTATATTGATCTGTTCCTTTTGTTCATACAAGTGTTCGCGTTATGCACGTGTTAATAGTAAAAAAAAAAAGGTATTTATAAAATTCACGCAACGGATGCTCCAAAATTATGTTTGTACCTTCGACTCAAAGATTAAACAGTACACACGTTTTTTTAATATAAATGAAGCAAACATTGATAGCTTATTATGTAATAAGATATGTTAAGAAAGACGGATCTTTTAAAGGAAGCGTATCAAACGCATATTTAGTCTTACTCATGGTAGAGGTGCAGGGCGAGATTTTTTGATAATCTCTATATTTTAAATTGTTTTAATTTTAAACTGCACTTTTTTGTATAAACTAATCGAATAATATGGATTTTGAAAAAAGTGTGTATATTACCAGTGGATAATGGCAGAGACGGTCAGCAAATTTCATATTGCAACCTAGGAATTAATTGTGAAAACCTTCACACTTACAACACTTGATAGCATTATATCGTCAAGTGATAATCCGTCGATCTTTCTCGGCGAAATTCTGTTATTGTAATTATATCTGTAATGGTGGCTGTACATACAAGCTGGGGAGCGTTCAAGTATTACGTCACGCAATTTTTGGAGATTATTGACCTCCCCTCCCCCCGTGTAACGCGCCGTAACGTTTTTCTGTACCCAAGTACAGTACAACCAAGTATAGAAAAAACGTTTCGTGACCACCTAGTGATTCTTAATACCTAAAAGTTACCATTATGTGGTGTAAAGTACTGGAAAGTCGAAAAATATTGACAATAACGCGTAATTCAATCCCCGCCCCGTATCGTAACGTTTCACAAAAGGACCCCCCTCCCTCCAAAATTCGTTACGTAATACTTGAACGCTCCCTTGACAGCAACTCTCCCGTATGTCAAAAACGTTTTGGATATTGACTGGGGTTTCGATTTAGTTGACCGAGGCTCGTAGATCACTAGAAAGCTAGCGATACCAAAGCTGTATGCACTCGTTTTAGACAAATCTCGTGATATGGACGTGTATGTATAGCCCCTTTATATATAGTTTCCATCGTGTGTTTAGTCCTAATTTTACAACTATGAATGGGGGAGAAGCTTATAGGGTCAGGCGTTCAAGGCCGCATTTGTATGATGTATCCTAATGCTCTACAACTAGAATTTACTAGTCATGTGTGACTGTCATTTGTCGCTAACATTCATTAATATTGTGATGGGCGTGAAGTTCGAAGTAATATTTTATATGCAACTTGTTGGTGAATACTGCTTTATATGACTTAAATGTCAGATTATTTATTGCGATTTGCATTTTCAAAAGCTAGTGAATTTTTTATTTCGATTTTGTAAACGATTTATTATTGTTTTAATCAGAGCACTCTCTCTTCGTCATAGCGATAACACAATTGGGAAGAAAGAGAAGAAAGGAGATGCTTCAGTTGAAAACAGTGCTGTGTCTTAGATAATATGAAAAGCGACCTCTACCGGGCGATTCAGTGTAAAATAATTTGAAAATGCAAACGTATAAAGGTGTGGACATATCGAAGTTGGAGGAGAAAATGGTTGTAATTCTTTTGTACTGTAATTAGTGGGTCAGGTCAATAAATTATTTTGTAATTAATCACAAATATCATGCTAGGTAGGGCATAGTACAATAATATAGGGTAGGATGTTAAAGGACAAACTTTTAAATCAAATTAGTAAAAATACGCCGACATAATACCGTATATTATTGTGCCAGTTTAGTAATTTAGTGTTGCCATATCCTTTGTTTAAGTGATATCATAGAGACTGCTTTTATTTTTATTCTCTAGATAATTATATAAAAGACAATCCTATACATCCTTGCGATTTATTTGAGTGGATGTGTCATTAAATAATTTCAAAAATCATGTTTTTTATTTCTTACCTACCTTGCATATGATCAATAAACAAAACCAAACGCCTGGCGGGCAATGTGAACACGCACTCCCCACTTCTCCGCGCCCGCGCTTTCCAACGTGACAAGTACTTACGGCGAATAAGACGTTGGGTAGACCCCTGAATATAAAATATTATCGGCGATATAGGTAATATTAAATAGTCTGCCAGTCCCTTAATTATATAAGCCGGAATCATATCTGGACCCGGAGCTGTCCTATATTATAGTTTATTTACACTACGCGCAATAACTTCTATTTCGAAACTTTTGATATCAAAATTATTAGAGTATGCTTTTGGGTTACGAGTGGCAGTTATGACCGTACACTGACGACGTCCGCTCAGCTCGATACTAGAACCCTTCTTGAAGGCAGAGTCATCGCCAACAGTGACGCGTACGTCATTCAAAAACGGTTTCTAGAAGTTCATATCGACGTCGAGCGTGCACTCAGCGTGAGGCTAAAACAGCCTAACCCAGCCAGCATTTGGGTCACTCTTTGTAATGCAGGATATAATTTGAACTCTAAGTGCCTGGATCTATTGAACCGATTTTGTAATAATTGTACCAAACCATACTATTGTGATACATATTTAACTGTGATTAAAATGTATAACAATCGGGTATAAATCTTTTAATTAATGAAACACTTTTTACTTCTTATTATTTATTTTCTATGCTACATCCATGAGTCTGGTCACAGCCAAAGCAATAATAATAATATTTTGACAAACAAAATACTTATATAATAAAGTTTTAGACAAGTTTGGCCTGACTAGCGCCATCTATTGTCTGAAGAGTAAATTAAAAGTTAGGATTCTATATGAAGGCATCATTTGGAAGTATTATGTAAATTTCATTTGTGATTCTTTTCGTGGAAAATTATCTCTTCCTCTCTTTAAGTAGTCTGAAAAAGAAAAGTAGGTATTTTTATCTACCCTCATTATTTTGTCTACCTCTCATCAAGTTGTTATGCAATTCCTGACTATAAAGCTAAAATGAAATAATTGAACGCGGCCTCATGGCCATTCCTGGACTGGAAAATTTATCTGTCTGTCTCGCTCGCACTTACCGGTCTTATGAAGAGGTGTCATGTGCGTAAGAATTGTAGAGGTGCATATCGATAACGGGATAGGTACGATCGAAATGCTTAATTATGTGAAGTATTAATAAGAAAAACAACAACCCCTACTCGTAACGACCAATCAGGAGTCAGAGTGCGTGCGCATTCCTACTGACAGTGACATTTATTGCCCGACAGTTTAAAATGCGTCGACTATAGTAATATGAGTAAGTTGAGAACCGGCATCACATGCCAAGACTGTTAGGTGTGTCAGGCACAGAAGGCCGATCTCCCAGCCTATATTACAAAATGATCAATGATACAGACACAATTCTACTGCGTTACTTTAATTTGTTAACTCTTAAAATTAACCATAGCTTAAACAAGCCATACTTACATAGTGGTACCATTGCTGTTCACCCCTAGATTATAACAATGTGTATTGCTGTTGAGGGCTTTTCTTAATTTTTCTGCCGCCTCACTATTATCACTGGGGTCTCCCGAACAAATATCAAAAAATATCCCCACAGCCTCATATTCTGTTTCGTTAAATGACCCCAAAAACCTAAACTCCGAGAAACTGTTATCGTTTACAAAATCAATTAAATATTCAACAACTTTTTCCAACACTTCCATTACCGTAAATGTTTTGTTCGAGACATTTTTTGCTAATTCATCTTTAAAAACTAATTTGTGTTCTTCTTCCGCTAGTTTTTTTCTGAATTTTTTATTGTTTGGAAATTCTGCCTTCTTAAATAACGATTGAAATGAAATTTCTTTATCTGTATTAGTGGTACTATCGTCATTGCACAAATGTATAACTTCTGTATTTTGATTTTTTATTTTATCCGTTGCATCATTAATTTCTCCTTTGGTAACATTTCTGTCAATTGATTTTTCTTCAGAATACGAACTAGATACTTCTTTTCCAACACACTTGAACTCCTCGTTAGTATTTTCCTCTGCTTGTTCTGAATCATCTTTTGATTCATCTATTTTTTCCTTCTCATTATCTCCGATATCTTCTTCTCTTAAATCCTCCGGTATTACCAGAAACATAAAATCTTTTGCGTCTTTGTATACGCCAAGTTGTCTGAAATGATTAGTAAATTCTTAAGAGAAAATAGGCCATTTTTTTCCGTGGCCAGGCCGCGAAGGATAAAGTTTTTAAATACAACAATTTTAAAAGTTTCATTAAAATATCTTTGCTCAAAGGAATAATGTAATATTGGTTCAATACGAATCAGACCTCAATTTAAGATTAATTTTGCTATTAAACGCTATTTTTTACTAAAAGACATCTCACCTATTCGGCTGCTTTCCAGAGCTCTCCGTATGCAAATGGTAGTCATTGTATTCAATTATTTGTTCTATTAACTCCATTTGTGTGATATTTCCAACATCGCAAGTATGCATACAACTGATTTCGTCAATCAAGTTATGAACCGTTTTTCTTTCAACGTTTGTTAAGTTTTTATCAAATAATAATTCTACTTCTCTTTCGTTTTGAACGAAATCTAATATTTGTTCCAGCACGGATGTTGTTAAGATTTCTTTGAGTTGCTTCTTATTGGCTTTGCTGTGCATTTTGGTCGTAAATTGAGAGCGCTTCGGTTTCTGATTTTGTTTCGCTTTAGACTCTTTTCTTAACCGTTGGTTATCTATTGCCTGGAAAAGACATATTAATATTATTTTGAGTACACGCTTGGAATTTATTTATAAATTATAAGGGCAGGCGGTAAGTGAGTTCTAACGATCTATTTCCTACAAACACTATGAAAGTGTATCCATTGTCTATGTATTTCGTTTTTAGCATGATTTCTCGTAAGCATACAACAAGCATAGGAAATTGAGATGTGAAAGGACGCTATCCTTCGTACCATCCTATTTCAAAAGTTACACATTTATTAGAATAAGTTAGTGTTGCAAACAGTTTAAAAAAATTGATATGGAATTAACTATTAAGTTTCTTATGAACGAGCTGGGAACCCTGACACAGGGTTTTATTTCTTAAGAGTTTCCAAATCTTACACATTATAATGAATTGTTTCTAATGAATAAATATTTATTTCTCATAATAAGAAAGTCCACAGGAGGTAGAGGAGTCCATGGTAAATGCAGAAACTCATGTACATAAAGATTAAAATAATAAAAAAACAGTCAGTTACAGACAATCCGCTTTCACAAACATTTAATTCCCTAATTGTATACTAATAAATTTTGAGGTCGGTATATTTTTCAAAATACATGTTGTACAAAATGCTATATTGCCTGAGCCTTGATAAAACACAATAGTAATAATTGCGGAATTAAAGCAATGCCCACAGTGAATACATTACAGTGTGATTGTAATGTAGGCTGTGGCTTCCCAACGAACAGAAATTCTCGGAGCAGTGAGGTCACTCCGTCTGCGAAGGGCCCAGGAAACTTCTGGAAGAAGCTAGGCTGGCTTACACAACGGACCTAATGAGCGTCTAAGTGCAGAAATTGAGTCCACACTACTACTTCTACTATTGGTAATGAAGGCTACATTAAATGTCTTACTTTAGGTCCATACGAGTGCTTGAATGTTTTCGAAACGGCGCAGCCACGTTTGTCGAAAGTCTCTTGGATTTCTGCTTTTCCCAAACCTTGTTTATTTGTTGCCTAAAATACCACAATACCAATGTTATATTTGGATAATAACTTTCTTACATAAACATAAAATTTATAAAATCGTAGTTTTTTTTTATATTTTTTGGATCCGTTCCAGCATCTTTTTTTTTTGGTTCTTCATCAGCAAAACAATGGGAGTTTTTGTTGTAGGAGCAAAATTTACCATTTTTACCTTTGGGGCCGTTCAATTATTAGGTAATCACTTTTGTGGGGGTCTTTGATTTTTTTCTTCTTTCTATCGAGGGTTCTTATTTTAAATGACATGGGGGCTGGGGGGATTCAGATGGTGATTACTTCAGGAGTAACCATTTACAATTTTACTCATATGGCATAATACCATTTAAGAGCTTTGCTAACTTTTGCTGACAAGGGGGTAAGGGAGCGTTCAAGTATAACATAACGCAATTTTTGGAGATTATTGACCCCCCCCCCCATGTATCTCGCCGTAACGTTTTTCAGTACCCTAGTATAGTAAAACGTTTCGTGACCACCTTGTCTCTTTAGTTACTATTATGTGGTGTAAGTCGAAAATAATATTAACAATAACGCGTACTTCAATCCCCGCCCCGCATCGTAACGTTTTACAAAAGGACCAAAAAACGCGTTACGTAATACTTGAACGCTCCCTAAGGGGGATCAATGTAGTAAATCTGCTTACGTAATAATTGAATGGCCCCTTTACAAAATCCTTTATCTTAATCTTCCATCGTAAAAATGTACCCCGAAATAAATCCAATTTATCGATTAGAACCTTATTATTATATATTTAGTTAATATCGGATATTTAGCATTTCACCCCTTTCCAAAAATCTCCAAGATCGGCAAGTGTACGAGTATGTCCCAAATTCTAATTACGAAATTTACACTTCTCTAATGAAGATTAGGTCCCATACCATCATATTTTGTGACTATCGTGTCTTATTTCTGTCACCAGAAATCCTAGATACATGGATATTTCGTAACGTTACATTTAAACCAATCTTCTAAAGTGGTGTTAAATGGATCAGTGGAGTTCTTAATTTTAAAATGTCTTGAAACTCAAAGTAGCTGTAAAATCGCTTTTGGTGTCTCATTCATGGTCAATAGAGAATACTATTTTAAAACCGTTGCGCACTTTGCTATTAAAGTCTCCAAGCCTCAGTGTTTGAGCCCTCGTTTTGTACCCCTAATAAATACAGGGCTTCATCTATTGTCTTTGCTTCTTGTTGTGGTATGCAAACAATAACCATAATTCCATTTAGCGGATTATGTACTATTTTTTTTTAAACGATCAGTTGTGGAACGCCGGACGTCGAGGTGATACGGATGGTATATCATATTCTGCCTTGACGCCCGATGATGAAACTCAGCTTAATGAATAAAGTAAGAAAACATCAAATTGACCTTATCTTTATATGAATTTTTAATAAAATCTAAATTTTTAGGATTGCAGTCATCATGCTGCCATATTGGCATACGTTTTTTGGGATAATGATAGACAATTTGGAAAGTACTACGTCTTTCAAAAAACCATCTTCATTATAAGTATTAGGACAGTCTTCAAAATAGTGGTTGTCCTTATGGGAAAAATTACGGTTCTCAAAGTATCTTTAGTCGTTACGTGAAGAATATTGTTCCTCAATATTAGAAAACTGTTGATTTACAGAATATTGGTTATTATAGCCACAAATATTATATTTCAGTGGATTATTACCATTGCCGTGATGATTAAAGGAGCACAGCAACAGCTTTACAGACTTCTTCTAAGAGCTTTTTTAGTCGGCTAGCCACCACTCCGTACAAACTATCTGTACTAATGTTACGATTACATTTATGTGGACTTACATATGCAGCATTTGGTGCGATGGGTTCCACAATACCTTCTCCAGACCTGCCCAACCCTCCACCAGACCAGCCCATTTTCTTCATCATACTGGAACATATTTATATATACCATTTTTATAATAATTCTATAAACATTTATTTATAGAATGTTTTGCCCCTTAAGAGTGACACTTTTGTGTTTCTGTAATGATAATATTTGGATGTTGTTTCGTATACACAATTAAAAATAAGCAAAAGCCTGTGCTTTCCCAGTTGCTTTTCTGTAATCCACACACTTGGCTTTACTAATATTATAAAGAGGTAAAGGTTGTAAGGGGGTAATCTATCTATCTACAAAACTGATTTTCAAAATTCTTTTACCAATAGAAATTTTAAAATTGGTTCACATTATTTGTGTCATAGGCTATATGCTACTCCATAAAAATTTTCATGGTATGCAAAAATGATTCATGAGCAAGGTTTAGGGATATCAAATTTATCATGAAGAATCACCTCTCTCCTTTTCCCAAATCAACTGGCTGCTGTAGTGCCTGATTCAATCTCTTCTCAATTGCATTCTGTCTTGGTCCTTGTCCGTGAATTTGTCTATTTCTACAATTGCATTTCCAAACATAATAATAAAATAAATATTCTTTTTTATAAAAATATTTCTTTCCTATTTAATACACAATACTAACATACATATAACATAATTAATAATTTAGAAGATTAAATGTTTTCAGGTAATTATGACCGTATTAACAGTTTGACGATTGAACAACTAAATTGATTGGTAGCATAAAGAAGTTGTTATGTGAGTAGTACTTGGGTGCCGACCCAACTTGTGAAACACCAGAGCCATCTCTACAGTTGTGAAAAAATATCTCGCTTTATAGATGAGGTTTTAAGAAATAAACAACTTACTGAAAATCTCTTGGACCACCCATATCATCAATTCGATGGTCATTTGTATTCTCAGCTGATCTAAAAAACTGATTATAATTCGGGACAGACGACATCAGTGGTGGTAGACCTCGGTTTTTACTCATTTTCTGTTATTGTAAAATGCTCTTCAAGGTATCTTTTCATTTAAACCTGTGCACTGTAATTTAGACACAAGTTTCTGAAGAAAAAATTTAAAATACTACACAACTAATACAAACCGATTTTAATTAAAAATTATGTTTTTTTTTTTTTTTTTTAAATAGCCTCACGCAGAGCGTATTGCCACAGACAAAGGTAAGGAAAACGGAATAGTAAAGAAAAATAATTTTACACCGAATGAACATTACATCGATAAAGGATAGGATCAGCAGGATATAAAACTATCTCTAATACAAAGTACTACATTATGGAAAGGAACAGTAATTAATAAAATATATATCATACAAAATACGATTTGTATACATATGTATGTACATATTTATAATTTTATATTATTTAGAGTAAGAAATAAACATAACTTTTTATATATATTATTATTTAAAGATGAAAGCAGAACAGGAACAGATGTAGGTAACGGGATACTAGAAGAAGGATGAGAATGATCGAATAACATGGAGTGGTTATACCGAGGACAGGACAGAATGATATGGTTTAAATCACCAATATTCAGCCCACACTCACACATTTCACTATCAATAATATGAAATCTGGAAAGGTGGGCTGGGGTACACACATGGCCCAATCTCATACGAATGAGAGACGATGTTTCCTTTTTATTAAATTTCATTTTAAAAACCATGGCTTTAGTGGTATTGTGGGCTGTATACATGAAAAATATTTACCCTTAATTAAACTGCTCTGAATCCAAAGGTCAGTCCAAGATTGTCGAAGAAAAGAAGCAGGAAGTGAGGCCAAATCATGATAATAATTTTTATACGAGTTAGAATCGCCATCCTTAACAGCTTCATTTGCTAGTTGGTCTGCTATGTCGTTACCAAATATACCAGAATGTCCAGGTATCCAACCAAATGACACAGACAACCCCAATTGCTCACATTCATACAACAAACTCCTAATCTCAATAATGATAGGAAAAATTAATTTGTTTTTTAATGGATATTTTTGGAGAGCTTGAAGAGCACTAAGTGAATCTGTGAATATGATGGATTTCTTAAGTTTCTTACTCAAAACTAATTTTAAAGCTTTAAAGATACCGTAACATTCCCTGTGAAGATTGAGGACTCTGGAGGAAACATTATTTTTATTGTAGTTTTACTTTGTAAGTGAAATACTCCTATGCCTACATTACCAGACGAACCGTGTTTAGAGGCATCTGTAAATATGTAATTGTACTCATGGCAGTGTTGTTCACAGAAATAATTAAAAGTAATCCTTGCGTGGGAATCGCCCTTGTTTATACCAATATTGAATCTAATGTCTGGAGAAATAATTAGAGATTCAAAGTTGGTTCCAAATAAAGGGTAAGTTGGTAAGGTATGAGTTGGAGCTTGAATATTGATAAATTTATTGAAGCTGACGATGAGACAAGGTGAAGATTTATTTGACCAGTACTTGGAAGATGTCAACAATTGAGATAGTTCTTGCAGCTTAGAACGGAGAGGATGGTTGGCATATTGAAGGGAGCGAAATATGAATTTATCAGATAAATATTGTCGTCTAAGATGTAATGGGGCTTCAACACATTCTACTTGTAAAGCATTAATTGGACTAGTTTTCATAGCTCCTGTGATTAATCTTAATGCCTTAGACTGTATATTATCTAATTTTTTTAAACGGGTTGCATTTCCAGGAGATAATAAAAAGGTACCATAGTCTAAAATACTTCGGATTAAAGCATTGTACATGAGTTTCATACAAAAGGGATGGGCACCCCACCATACACCGGATAAACATCTAAGAATGTTCAGGTTTCGCTCACACCTATTAAAAATGTAGTCACAATGATTTACACCAGAGAGCTTAGAATCTAAAAACACACCAAGGAACTTCACAGAGTTTTTAACAGGGATAATATTATTATCAAAATACACGTTGATTGGAGGAGGGAGACGCATTCTAGAAAAAAGCATGGCAACACTTTTAGTGGGGGATATTTCAAGGCCATTAGTATCAAGCCAAGTTTTTAATAAATTAAGAGAATGAGACAGTAATGAGCAAGCAATGGCCGGTGATTGATGAATGGAATAAATTAAAAGGTCATCAGCATACTGGAGAATACAAATCCGATTACCCAAAGAAGCTTTCAAATCATGGGTATAAATATTATATAAGATGGGACTTAAGACTGATCCTTGAGGAAGACCTCTCCATAAGGTTCTGGTTACAACAGTGGAGTCTTGTGAAATTAGAGTGATGTGTCTTTCGTATAAAGTATTTATGATAAAATTTGATAACATTACAGGTACATTCAAATACTGTAGCTTTTTATGAAGAACTGACAACACTACATTGTCATAAGCGGATTGTACATCTAAAAATGTGGCAACAACAGAATCGTTCCTTGAAAATGCTAAAAAAATGTCAGTTATAAAGATGGCAATACTGTCCATCGTACTCTTCCCTCGACGGAAACCAAATTGACTGTCACAAAGTAATTTATTGCTTTCTACAAACCATTCAAGACGAGTTTTCACTAAATGTTCACAGAGTTTTATCAAGACCGAGGATAATGCAATAGGACGATATGAATTTGCGTTAGAGGGATTTTTATTAGATTTTAGAATTGGTATAATGATCTGGTTTTTCCAGCGTGGAGGGATAGAACCGGTTAACATAAGTGTATTTATCAATTTCAGGAAATATTCAAGAGTTTGGTCACCTAAATGAGAGATGAAGGAATATGGGATTCCATCGTCACCAGGAGCAGAGTCTATAACTGAAGATAGTATTCCTTTAATTTCATACATAGAAAATGGACTATTGAGACCAGAGGGGTTCAATGGCATCAGAGGTATAATTATTGTTTCAGGAACTGTAGTAGGAGCAAGTCTGTCGAGGAATTGATTTGTTAATGAATCGGGAGAGAACCAGAAGTTTCAGTAAATGCACACCTGAATCTTCTAATATTACGCCATACCACAGAAGGACGGACATTAGGGGAGATGGAGAGACAAAAAGATTTCCAGCTATCTGTTTTTTTCTTTTGAATAATAAACTAGTGGCCTTGAAAGCATCTGTAACCAGATCAAAATTTTCAGATGTACAATTCTCACAATATTGGAGCTCAACTTGTTTTCTTTTTTAATTGCATCTGAACATTCTTGATCCCACCAAGGTGGAGATGGAATAAAGCCCAGAGCACCGTTTTTTAAGCGGAAAGGTTTTGTCTGCTACTTCTATAAATAATTTAGTTAATGCATCAGCACAAATTGATTCTGAACCATGTGAGATATTAGGAAGGGAAGTCATCTTTTGTTCTATACGGGATTTAAAGGTATCCCAATCAGCATTATTAAGTCGATGTTTTAATCTAGGTGAATGACTAAATGTAAAATTAATGTGAAAAGGAAATCTAAGAAGTAAAGGGAAGTGGTCACTACCATATGAAGAAGAAAGTGTAGACCATGAAATAGTGGAAGCTAAACTAGGAGTACAAATGCTTAAATCAGGGACACTTGTGCCTTCATTGGGAGAGGTCCGCCGGGTCACAGAACCATCGTTAAGAAAGCAAAGATTATGAGAGTTTAACAGTTCCATCAATGAAACTCCGTATGTATTGGTTGTTGAACTGCCCCAAGAATTATGTTGACTGTTAAAGTCGCCTAATAAGATAAAAGGCTTAGGAAGAGTAGAAATGATAGAGTCAATTTCAACAAAGATAGAAGAACTAGGATGAGGAATATATATTGAAACATAGCAGATATTATTAACAATAGCAGCAATAATTGAAAAATCATTACTATGAGAAGGAATAGGAAAGTGAGAAAAAGGAAGATGATGTTTGACTAGTAAGGCAACTCCGCCATACCCGTCAATACGATCCTCACGGAGACAGGCATAGCCTGAGTACCTACAAGGAGCACCTGGTTTCAACCAGGTTTCCTGTAGAGCGAAGATAAAAGGTTTATATTTATTTATAAGATAAATAATATCACTTTTCTTAGACGAAGCACTTCTACAGTTCCACTGTAGAGCTTTGGCTTGCTTGTCCATTATTAATATAATTTGGTAAGCTAACAATAGTGTCAATTAAAGGAGCAGCGTTGGACGGTGAAAGAATATTTGACTGTGATAAAGTGTTAATGAGAATTTTTATTAGGTCTGCAATTGATTGTAATGTCAAATCATTATTGTTGTTTAAGTTTAATCCACAACCATTTCTGGGTGAGGGCATATCATAATCTTTAATTAATTGTTGTTGTGTATTTCTGTCATAACCTTTGGAAAGTTTAGGAATAGATTTAGGTTTGAGAAAAAAAGTCTTTTTGTAAGAGTTACTCAAAGACTGTTTATGAGACTGTTCATTTTGAGGAGTAGAAATAGTAGAAGCACCTACATTGGAAGAAGAAAGTAAAGCATCAGCATAAGATATTTTTGAGATAGGTGCATGAATTTTAGATGCTTCAGCGTACGAAATACAGCTTTTGGCCATAGATTCTTTGATGGCTTTTTGGCGATCAAATTCTAAACATCTTTTACTTGTGGCAAAATGGGATCCTTGACATAAACAACAGTATGCATCTTCCTCTAGGATAGAGCACTGATCAGCCGAATGGTCTTGGCCACACTTGAAACACTTTGGTTTTGATCTACATAATGATTTAACATGACCAAATCTGCAACAATTATAGCACTGTATTGTGGGGAAAATGTAAAGATCAACTGGGAGGGAAGTGTAGCAAATAAAAATTCGCTTAGGTAGTATTTGTCCATCAAATGTAAGAACCACAGTTTCAGTAGGCTTAAACTCACTGCCATTACTAGTAATGATACGCCGTCTCATTCTTCTTATTTTTAAAATTGGACCGCATCCAACAGGTAAATTAATATTTTCCGTAACTTCTTCATCTGACCACTCAGCAGGTATGCCTCTTACAACACCCATACGGGTAACAGTAAATGTTGGGATAAAAACCTTATACTCGACTGATTGTAAAGCAGAGTTATTTAGGAAAGAATTTGCGTCCTGGTAATTATTAAAAGACAGAGACAGTCTATTACGACCAATTCGTTTTAGGCTTCCGTTAACAATATTGTGTATAGAATTTCTTTTTAAGAAACGACCAAAAGCAATTGGGTGGACTGAAACGCTATCATTTGGAGTTTGCTGTACTCTTTGTATGTGAACAACATATGGTGCTGCATCACTTGGCTGGTATCTTAAACGTGCTACTGATTCTGGCTTTTTATATTCATTAGAGGAATTAAGTTGTGACGGGTTGGATTGTGACTCATTGAACAAGGGAGCAGTGCTAATTTGGGTATTGGTTAAAGGAATGCAATGACATTCGTTTGGTTTGATTTCCTTGCCCTCATGTTTCCGACTACGTCTCTTTTTATTACAGTGGGTGCAATGTTTATGCACAGTGGCTCTCCGTTTTCGAGCACCACTGCTAGATTTTATAGATCCATCTGTTTCCATTCCAGACTCATCATTTGAAATCGTTACTATACAGCCCACCCCAGGGACTTCTCCGCCCCCAGGGTCATCAGGCGGCTCCATAAGGAGCAAAAGTATATTAAAATAACTTACCAATAAATCTTCTCTTTAATACACTATTAAATAAAACTAAGAAATAACAAAAATATATACATTAACTACACTAGACTACTGATCCAAACCCTAGAAATAAAATAAAATTTAATTAAATCGAAAAACGCGTCAGTCTACGATCGTATTTCCCGCGCTTCCAAAAAAAAAAAAAAAAAAAAAAAAAAAAAAAAAATTATGTTTATAATCAAGGCCAAGGCAGTGATGCCAACTTCTATGGCACGATCCCCCTAGGACCAACTTTAAAAAAACCCCTTAACTTTTTATTGTAGACTCGGTTTGTGTGGTAATTTCTAAGATGAATTGTAAATACATTCAAGTACTATAAAATAGTTACGTGAACATGCTGTTGTAGTTATTCGGGTGCATTTTACACATTTATCATAATTTTTCCTAACTTTTCTTTGTTTAAATAATTTTTTTCCTAACTCTTCGTCATATATTTTTGCTTTTTTCTCATTTACTTTTAATACAATATTTTAGAGCTTACTGCATTTTTCTAACCATTGAACTATTATTTCAATCTTGGGGTATAAGTTATAGCCACGCTTACAATTTAAACCTATATTTGGTTTAGTTTGTTCTAGCAATAATATAAATTGTATAGAAACCTGGATCTAAAAAACAAAGTACATGCCTCTAAATGTCCCGATACCCTTAAATTTAAGGGGAAATCTTCCAAGTTGGCATCACTGTGTCAAGAAAGTTCTTTCCAAAGACTATAATATTCTTTGATCTTTACAACAATCCAACCACAGACTCTTATACTTACGGACTTTTTAACGTTACGTAGAGGCAATAACGTAAACAATGAGATTTACCCGATGTGCGATTATTGCTATTTGTTGAAAACCCCTAAGGGAAGAATATTGACAAAAGATTATGGATTAATATCGACGCCACTGCCATTTTTACCGTTACCACTTAATAACATCACTGATTTTTATTATACTTAGACCGTGTTTTAGTTTACACTACGTTCTACTTAGGGTATGCAAGTCGCGTCAACTGTAATTATTCCGGAACCCCCCTAAATAATACAATCATCAGATATAAAAATAAATACTTAATATTTTGGCGACATATTGTAAATAAAAATGATGTATTTTCAATTTTAAGTAAAAATATGAGGAACTGTATCATTTCTATTCAACTATACAACTTGGACTTAATGTCCTATAACCTCTAGATGGGGCAGAGAGCGTCCACAGTGAGTCTCCATCGTTCGGTCTTGAGCCTCGTATTTCACCTCGCTCCAAGTCTCTCCGGCTCTCCTTGCGTCTGCGACTGTACGCCGCCAGGTTTGCTTGGGACGGCCACGCTTCCGCTTTCCTTGCGGGTCCACCCCAATGGCGGATGTACAAGCAGTTTACAATACTTTAAAAGTTGGTCATAATATATCAAATACTTGAGTAATTTTAACCTAGAGGTGCTAAAGATAGATATTTACCATTATGGAAAATATGTAAAAATATTAAACAATTAAATTGCACAGGAGCAGTGATAAAAAATAATATACTTACTTACAAGGATTAAAAAAAACAACAATTAGAAAATTTCAACAGATTTAATTAACTACAATTAAATATTATACTGAATGAAAATAAAGTAACACATCAAAAAAACTACGCTTAGAATTACGGCTATTGATCTTTTGTGTTTTATCACTGAGTTACTCGTTCATTTTAGTTTTCAAACAGAATAATAAAAACTACATATCACCTATTTGTCAGACAAAAAAAAAAGTTCTACAAACACTTGATATTGTAAAGACTTTTATTATTCTGATCAAATTTGGTATTTATTCGGTCATCCAGTAGAAGCGGCTGCCAAATCGAGGAGGTTTCTTCTCTGCATTTTCTGGTAGAGCTGGGGTTGCATCTGGGTATACAGCTTTTCCTTCAATAGAAGGCTTGGGTCTGTAAAAATGGTAGTAAGAATTTTAATTGGCTTGTGGATTTGTTACACCTTAAAAAAGGTTTATAAATCTAGCTAGCATCATTATACTTTTTTCAATGCCTAAAGGAACTTATTAGAAAATATACTTAAATGGATTTTTTACATTGATATAGGACTAATCTTGATTTAAGCTCATGTTCCTTTCATGCTCGTGAATTTTTTAACAATAATTTAATGACTATTTGTTAATAATTATATTATACTTATTAGTTTGAATGAGTTAAATTTTGATAAACAAAAAAGAATTTTTACCTCTTAGTAGCATGAACTCTAACTTCAGTGAAGTACCCAAATGGTGGACGCTCCAAATTCAAGTTTTCCAACATGCATTGGTCAAATACACCCTGTGTCTTGCGACACCTAAAGAATAAAGGCTGTTGATTATCTAATACACACAATTAAATACTGATTACATTAAAAATTTTGTGAATCAGCAGCAATCATAAACAGCCAGTTCACTGTTATTAAATACTTTCAACTCCAATCTCTAGCACATGTACATATGTTTCTAATATTAAAATTTTATAATTATTTATCTTTAGTAACTTATTTTTATATGCCTCAATTTCCATCTGATTCCTATACTAAGGCCATGCAATATTTGTAACAAATAAAAGTAACAAAGAACATAATATAAAATTGAATGAATATAAAATGTTGCTGAACAAAATTTGCAATGTTATAGATACAAGAGATGAATATGTACGATGTACACACAGAAAGTTGTATACATTACTACAAAAAGGTGATGTGTATTACTATTTATTAATAATGTTATTAGCAAATCAAAACTTACTGTTGAAGTGACATATCTCCAGAACTCTTGTCAATGCAATGGGCATATTGATTAAACTCAGCTAGACAGGTTTTCTTCACTTTCCTAAAGAACTCAAGAGTGCAAGCCGTGACAGCTTTGCCCTCATTTATACATTTTCTAGGATCTTTCTCTTCAAAGCGACATAGCATGAATTCCTGAAATACATATATTAATAATTATTTCCTATATTATTAATTTATTATCTGGAATTTACTAAACCACACTATTCATTTATATGTAATATTTAATAGGAATATAACACACACAAAATGACAATACGTAAACAAATTAATACAATATAACAATACTAAACAGCTTATAAATATGTTGAAAATTCAGCACTACTAATCTCTACTCTTTAGGTACAAAGCATATATATGTCTACACGCAGCTACACAATAAATTGGAAAGTACCTTGTAAATGTACAAAACTATTTTATTATAAACAAAACATAACCTATGTGGTTATGCAATCAATATAAACTATTAACCATTAGTATATGTCAAATAACTTTCAAAACCTAAGTTAAAGTATTTTATAATAAATTTACTCACATTATTCACTTCTTCACAATATTTTCCTAAATGGAAAGAGCCTGCATGTAATGTTGGAGTCGATAAATTAATTTCTTGCACAGTTAACTCCGATTCTTCCGGCAGAACTACATCGTTGGTAATGGTCATGTTGTTTTGTTGCAAATTTCACTTGAGAATTTAGATAATTTACCGAAAAATTAATAGATTTCTTCCACAAAACCAGTGGAAGAAATTTTTTAGTTGATAATACTCTTTAATAAGAGATATTTACGTAACTCCCTGTGCGAACAAGAGAGTAGTAATCATATATGGTAATACAGAGCGTGCGAAAGAAACAAAAAATACTTTTACAAACTTTTTAATTTGTATCATTTATAATATAGACATCTACTTGAATTGTGACAATGGACAACTTTTGATAGTTGTGACACCAAACACACTGACACTGACGTCACATATATATTTTTTATTTATGTCTAGGGTATGCAGACCACGGATCACCACTTGCTACGGTCCTGATATACCTCTCTCGCTTCATGCACTTTTGTAAAGGTGCGTATAAATTAAGCGCGGCAAACCATCGAACATTGGCGCGCGCGGCGGCGCGCTCTATGTAGAGATAATAAATTGCTTATAGTGTCTTCAACGGCTTCATATCTTATATCTTTCAGAAGTTTCACGCCATAAAGCGATCTATTTAGATATAATTTCTTCATCCACCAACGCCTTTTTCTTTTATTTTTTTACAAATAAGATGGTGAATCTCAATGAAAGCGGCAGCCGCCCGACCACGCGCGTCCATACTCGCAGGTTTACAAGAGTGAACTGGTCTGCCGTCTGACTATCCGCCGCGGTCTGTTCGTGATGGATCGCCAACCGCGCGCGGCTGTCACGTCCAACTAAATTTATATCTACATATTGGCTCGCGCGGCAAATGAACGTCAACTCTGGTCGAACATTGGCTCGCGCGGCTGCCGCGCTTAATTTATACGCAGCTTGACATTCACCATGCATGCTCGTCAGTTATGGGTATTTTTAACTTGTCCCTTCTCAAGAAGGTCAGTGATTTGGTCCAGATATGTACGACAAGGCCTCTTTTAACCCACACTGCTCACGTATCTTACTATTTCTTATCCTATCACGCATTGTTACACCACACATACGTCTTAACGCCCTTATTTCCACGACATTTATTCTACATTCTTTCTTTCTCTGCCGCACCTAACAGAATGTCAAGTGAAGCAGAGAAATATTACTACCTTATGTTAACGTCGAGATAAGCACTCCCCTATGTACGACCAGTTGAGCCTCGTTTGAGATTTTTTGGCTACACATAAAGGAATGCAACGCACCGTTTACTATATTCCCAGCGTTCACTCGTCTTTCTATATCGTCGTCATACTTTTCATCCGGAGTAAACATACAGCTGAGTAGGTACACGAACTTGTCCATTTGTTCTACAGTTTCTCTTATCTTAGATTTTTTCTTATGTTCTTTCATCCTCTTAACAGTCAAAGTGTTTTTCAAAATTGTCACCGGCTCCTGCAGTTCAGCGTATAAGAGACAATTCACTAGTAACTGGCCCATTTTTTATCCCCGTTCACTCTCTTTCATACCTCATGTTAATTTCACCAGACTAAATTCAAAGAAGTCTGTAGTTTCCGAAATTAACGTTAATATAATAACAAATATGTTTTAGTCTGTTTTTTGGATTTCGTAATCTTCTTAGTTTAATATAAATATAATAATAATTCTTAAATATTGTAAAAAATACATTATAAGTAATTGATTCCTTAAAATTGTTTAGCAGTTATAATTTCAAATAAATGTGTTTTAAAACTTATAGGGTATATTAAGTAGGAGGTGGTAAGCATTAAAAGGTTTATGTAATCATGCAATTTTTATTGTGATAATAATAATTAAAAACTATGACTAGAATTTAGGTTCTGCAGCATCCATGGAATGAGTCTTATTTGTTTTGATAAAGTTCAACCTCCTGCTCACCATTATCTGAAAATAAAAAACCATATACAGTCAAAACCGGTTATAACGACATTGAAGGGACCGTATAGTTGCCGACGTTATATCCGATAGTCGTTATAAGCAATGTCATATACTCAAGTACAGTACATATGTATGTACATAGTTATCGATCTAGAATAGGTAGGTATGGGTTATAATATGGTATGTTAATATTATAATATGTAAACGAGTCAAAAAAGAAACAAAAATATTTATTACGAAATAATTATGTACAAAAGTAATCAGTCAGTCTGTTTTTTTTTTTAGCCCAGTCTCAAATATTTTTTGCATTTTACGTTTCATACTCCTTAAGGTATGAGTTCAAACTGTTCGTTAAAGGCAACAAATTTTTACTAAATCGTTACAGCGTTAAGAGCCTCGGAAATCGTTGTTGGCTGAAACTGTTCGTTGGGAGAAAGTGCGTAGGTAATACATAATATGCCTAAATATTCATTCAATTCTTATAAATAAAATTTAAAATCGTTTGTATTGTTTTGTTTTGCTGAGACAAGAAGCGGTTGGTCGTTATAGCCGATGAATATCGATAAACTTTCGTCGTTGTAAGCGATATGTCGCTGTATCCGATGTTGTTATAAGCGGTTTCTTGACTGAATAGTTTACTAGGGATTCGGACGGGACCATACAATCTGGTTGTAATAACCGATAGGTCGTTGTAAACGATGTCGTTATAAACGGTTTTGACTGTATTACCAGAAAGTTACTTATACTATGTAATATGTATGCACTCCTGAGTCAAATAATCTAAGTTCCATTTAATAATTAGGTATATTATTTGTAACTTAGATTAAAGGAACCAACTGTCACATTGATAATATTCTGTCATTTGAGTAGTTAGAGACGCAATTATTATTGACTTTCCTATAATTGAATATATATGTAACGTTTGAATGTACTGGGTGTACCCCTGAACAACTGTACCACTTAAATTTACATACCTGCATAAGTTTGCGTGTCGTCATCGGAAATCTGGTACAGCTTAGGTATATCGTAACGACTAGTCTGTAATGCAAAAAAGTTACTCTGGTTTAATATTTTTGCTTAAGAATTTATATTATGTTAGTAATTTTATCGGCAACATAACTTTTGCTTTCTGTAATCTATGACGTGGTTTGCTCAGAGTTACTGCATTTCCAAGGAAACTAAGTGTGAGATTCAGAAACGAGACTCTCGTATATCATAATCCATTACATTTTCGACGTACCTACGTGAGACAGACAGCGCAAAATCACGTTTCTGAATAACACTACAAATATGCTTAGATTTTAAAGGTAGAGGATGATATGCCTGACTCCAACTCCATGTCTCATTTTTTTTAGTTTTATGACGGAGTCTATAATTAATAATTTACTTACAGAGTCAAAATTTCTTCTGCCCATCCGCGGTATATTTTTGCTAGGAATAGTTTTTATAACGTATCCCATCATTCCCTGATCGAATAAACCATCGGCTTCGTTGCTTCTACCAACTCTTGGCACATTATTAGGCTTAATAAATGAACTTTCAACATTAACCAAAAGATATATTAAACAGAAAGTAGCTACTGCGATGTTTAATTTTCCCGCCATGTCAAATGCTTAAAGTGTCGATTGTCAAAACTTTTTAGAACTGTGTTGAGTATTTGAAAATCCTGCATTTTATACTGTTTTGGAAGATTTTATCCTGATCCCGCATTGTTTAGGGCAGAATACTAAGTAGATGTAGTATCTGATTGATACTTATCAGAGATAGGGGTAGGTGATGATTGTACATTAAATAGTATGTTACATTTATAGCCCTCCACTAACTCACACGTGTGGTAAATATGCAACGCATAGTGTAATGTTTATGTACTCAAAGATGTCTGATGTGTGTTCATAGTTAATTTATTTCTCCGTCCTTTGTTTTTTTATTGTTTGTACTCTGTACCTTACAATAGCGATAATGAAAGCAACTCCGATGTTTTTATGTGTACTTTCTGCCGAAACAATTAAGTCGGAGTCGGAGTCGCAAACTTAAATTTGAGGGTTATACCTACGCTGTATAGGTTTAGGTGTCCCTGAAATCATTTCCATTCCTGTAGATCTAGTATCTACAGTAGGTATATTGGGTTAATACCAAATGGTGTTGCCATTTTTCTTTTTTTCAGTGAGTTAAGTAGTATCTTATAGATACTAAATTTAGAGGTATGAAATTATAATTATTTTGTGATTAAAATGTATTTGAAATGAAATAAACATTATATAAAAATAGTTTATTTTGTAAGAAATTTCAAAATTATACTCTACAAATTATTTACTTCTATACGATTTTTTTTAAATTTTAAGTTTCAAAATATTGCTATGAATTTTTATAGGACAGAAATGTAAAATTTGTCAGTAAAGACAGAGTTCAAATTCTTATTTCCTTAGATGTTATCGCAGTATCGAAGTCTATTATCTATGTTCTATTGAGGCAGGTATGTAGACTGTATATTTAGGGGTTGAACCCCCCTTTTCTACAACAGCTTCAACTGTTGAAAATACATTAAACTTTTTCTTTACGACCAGGAATCTGAAAAAAATTACAATAAAATATCAAGGAATCAATTGAAATTTAGTAATAACATGGCAACATTTAGTAAAGCGATCCCTTCTGGGCAAACAGAAAAAATCATCAAATGTTCAAATTCAAGTTTTATTATAAGTTTTACGGCTATACAAATGTTCTAACTATATGCTCAATAGACTATTTGACACTATGAAAAATACCGAGTTATTGAGACTAATTTGTATAAAAATTGCATAATTTAAATTATATCAGATATAAATGGTCACAAATGACTTCGCCTGTCTAATTCTATTACGGTCTAAATAATTTCGTTGCAGACTGTTTTTGATTGAAATATATATATTTCTGTAATTTATTAATGATAAATTAACAAGTAAATAGTGACACTTGTTTACGTGTTCACTTATGCGACGCCATCTTGTTTACAGAAGCGTTTTAGAGGGTTCTTGAAATTATATTTGATTTGGATTTTAAACCCTATACTAAAAAGAATTAAAAGTAGCAATTTGTGTAGGTTCTATAATCATTAATAAATAATCTGAAATCGTTTCTAAATCTTATAACGTTCGTATGATTTAAAAAACAAACAACTTGTCTATAAAGATTATTAAGAAAAACATCTGAGTCCGAGACCATGCATTTTTCCCTCGGTCCGCGCAACACTTTAGCAAGGGTAAAAATAACTTTATTTAAACAAAAATAAATATACAATTTAGTATGCATTAAGCCACTTTCGCTAATTCGGTTCTGAAGAGGACTCCATAATATGATTTTTCATTATAATTTCATTGATATATTATATGAAAAGTCTTCAACTATTTCCCTCATACAGTAACATTTATTTGTGAAGATTAAATTTGGACTAGAAATTTAGCCAATTTGGGCACATGGCGAACGTTTAAATTTCGTAAGTGTATGTACTTTTTCCACAATTTTTCTGAGACTTAAAAAAGACAGTCCAAGATTCATCAAATTCGGTTCAGTCGTTTTTGAGATGTGGGTGAGAGATGTGATATTTATAGGTACTTATTATGTGCTTTTATTATTACTAAAATCTTTACCTATCAGCATCCACTCCATAACTTCTAGAAACGAGACCAGCTTTCCTCGCACAGAGATGTAACGCACTCCTTTCTTCAGAGCTAAACTCATTGCTGAACACCAGGTCCACATCGAGCTGTTCTGATGCTGCGAACCTCTTCATCATCTCCATACCCTTGCGTCGTAATTGGTGTATATCGGAGCTGATACTGCCAAGGCCTGCGCGGTTCACCTGAAATTTAAATTAAATATTTTAGAAATATAAAATTTGTTTTAATATAGAATGAACACATTTCCAGAAATCTTTAATTCAATTGCAATTGTAATATTAGAACATTATTTAGATTATTCATTTAAAACAAAATTCAGATTAAATACAAAATCATAATATAAAAGCGGTAATCAAATTATATAGATGTATATATAAAGGGGTATAGATTTCTGAATCTGTTTCATGATAATTTGTAAATCTAATAAGCAAGTAGGTGATCAGCCTCCTGTGCCTGACACAAGCCATCGACTTTTTGTGTCTTAGGCAGGCCGCTTTCCTTACGATGTTTTCCTTTTCCATTCGAGCGAAAAATTTGAAAGAAAGTACATTGGTACACAGCCGGTGATCGAACCTACGACCTCACCATAAAGTCTAAAAAATTTAAATACATGTTCATCCAGTATAAGAAGATTGGTTTAATGAATATTGCATACCATTTGTAAGGTAGGTTTGATGGGTTCTGCAATCCCTTGTGCGTCGGCGCCTAAACCGCCCCCCTTCCAACCCATTAGCTTCATCATTCTAAAAATCAATTAATAATACGATTTTGATCTTTTCAAATTGGTAAGGTCATCTATAGCTACAATATAGTCGACGCATTATGAACTGAGGCTTCGGGTCATAAATCATATTTATCTGCTGTCTCGCTCGCACTTACAGGACTCATGGATAGTGATGTGTGTAAGAATTGTAGAGGTGCATGTCGATAACGTGATAGGTACGATAGATATGCTTAAACAACGACTATTCCTCGTAACGACCAATCAGGAGTCAGAGTGCGTGCACAGGTAGCTGTGATCAGCTATATTCCTACTTTCAGTTTAAAATGCGTCGACCATAATATTATAAAGGATATGATTCTTTCGCCATTAGCCTACATTATTCCTGATGAACATAGATTTTTTTTAACATTAATTGATCATGAGGTTTCTGGGTAGACAATTCAAAGAATATGTTAAATAAACTTACTTGGTAGCAACACTGCTATCAATAGGAGTGCCAAATTCATACTGTTTCTTTCCGGAAACTTCACTCATCGATATCTGTCGATCCTCGTGAGCTATCCACTGCTCTTTTACAAACAAAATTATTGCTTCTTCACATAGTTTCTTAAAACAAAAAAACATAATTTAATACTTGATGTTTCCTGCTGATTTAGTTGCCTTTAGCCTTCTGTAATAAAAGAACTATCCGGCACAAATAATTTTCATTTCAAACACATATTATTTATAATTAGTTGACACACTAATTGCAGCAGAACAATAATTAGGTTTACTTTATAAATAAGGGTCTTAAAGCGATGTAAAATATATGTTATCAAAAATACACTAAGTTCTGTCTAGAGAATAAAAGTCTTACATTGTACATACATTCCATGCAATTGTTTCAACATTTTTTCTGGCAATTGTCTTTACTGAGCTGGATGCTTGAGCCAAGAATTTACCATTTAATGTTACGGTCAATATATTATTTTCATATGTGGACTGTAATTGGAGATGGCTGGCAACACTGCTACCTAGAATTAATGAAAACATTATTTTACATAATTTAATTAATTTAAAAAGGTATTCTTTCGTCACTTCAATTCCACATTGCTTAAAATTATATTTTAATTACTTTCAACCATTCTAAAATATACTTTTACATTACACTCACCTTGTATATTACTCATTTTTGGTGCCCACGACCGTATGAGAAGTACAAATTTACCAAATGATGTCATAAACATATTTCTATTAAAACATCTGATGTCTAAACATCTTATTTTTGAGATTTCTTCTACATATGTATTGAAAAGAGCTGTCTTTAAATCCTCTTTAGAGACATCATTACTAACTTTTTCATCACTGACCTCAGTAGATTCCTTACCATTTTCATTTTCAATGATTTCTGATAATTCATTATCTGAATTGGCTATCTCATCAGTTTTTGGTATATCTTCTAAGTTCTTAGATTCACCTTGTTTGACAAATTCTATTTTCTTTGATTTTGAACTTGGAGCATCTTTAATCACACCACCTTCTCTTTTGATGCCTTTTGCTCGATCTTCTGCAGCATCAGAGGCTGATACAAATGTCCTTTGTAGTTTTGTCTTTTTTTCTTTTCTATATTTAGTTGCTATCTGAAAAACAAAAGTTTTTTCTATGTTACCTTGCTTGACCAAAATTTATATTAATCTTCTAAATTCAGGAAAAGGTAAATAGGTACTTGACGATAGCTTGCATTTACAATTGTGTGAGTTTAAGCTATGGGTATAATATGTTAAACAAAATTATTCTTCAGGTATTGTTCAGTTTAGACTAGGGTTCCAACTGTAACAAATATAAAAACAAAATGTTCCATATAGCTTGTATTTAAAATACTCAACATTCAGCAATAGTATAATAAAACAATAGATGTAGTCTTATTTTTTACAAAAAAATTTAACATGTTCAAACAGCCACAATACTATCTACTTGCCGAAGTGTAAGTAGTGATATTAGGAACATTATTAAAACAGAAACCGAAACAAATTCGGGAGTTAAGTTTATAAGCAAGTAAAACATACATCCTGTGATAACCGGGCAACTTCCTGCATGGTTTCTAGAGGGTATCTACATCCCATAAACTCAATATTGGCGAAAACTTGCGCCAAACAAACTAATCTCTCCTCGGGATAGTCATCTTTCCATCTTTTAATAAACGCTCGTCTTAAATTCCAATGCTCTTCGCTTTCATACTCTTCTCGGTATTTATCAACATCCCATGACACATCAACCGACATTATTATGTAAATTTAAAGTGGTTATATTTTTAGGAAAAAAATTATTTATTTTGATTTCTAGTTTCTACCATTTCATGCTTAACGCTTCTAACCTCCTACCAATTCAACACAGATGTCAGTCGTCAGATAGTAGATATACATGCATAGTAAACAGTTTATTGTAAAAGAATGATAAATTATTATGAAGAAACAATTTATATATATTTTTTCAAGTTTCAACTGACTTCAAACAAGTAAAAAACAGAACGACGACGGTCGACTAGGTGGATATTTATTTTGGGTTTATATTAATTGGAAGTTGGAACCACCAGATATAAACTATAAAGTATAAACTATAAACGTTCGCGGATCCACGATCCAGAATCGGTTGTTTATTTGCGTCTTTCCCTTTATAAAAATGGCTTTTTAATAAGCTAGAAATATTTATTGTATACTGATATACCATAATACGAATTATTCAATCATTTATTGAGTATTAAATAATACTTTTACCCATAAATATTTAGATTAATACGTATTTTCAATAACTTCAATCTTCATTACTTTCTTTCTAAAGTACTTTTATTAGAAAATTTGGATGCAAAAAGTTTCAGTCATTTAAGGTTTGAATAAACGTTCAACAAAATTAGTTAAGCTATCATCATGCTCTTATGTTTAATTTTAACTTTTTTCAGATATAATGGATTCTACAAAAAAATCTAGGTAAGTCATAAGCGTTAATTTTCCACTTATCAGATAAAATATTACTATACTACGTACTATTTGAGACTGATTGCAAGTTCTTTGTTAATACCTATAATGTTTTCAGTAACTTAAACAATATTTTATTAAGATTTAGTAAATTTAACATCACTTCAATACCTATACAAATAATAAATTTAATAAGCTTCCATTTCCTTGTGAATCCTGATTACAGGATGAATTATAAAAATAAGATTGACTTGTTATTGAATTTCGTGTAAGATACAGCCTGCACTTTTTGGAGAAAAAAATATAAAAACACTTCTGCTCATCTAACAAGTACTATTTAGAAGAACAACTATTGGCTTAGTAATTAACTGTTAAGATGTTAATTATAAATAAAATAATATTTTTTCTGTGATTTTATTGGTAGTTCTACAAAACTGTTGGAGGAGGACATACCCACTGATTTTAAAGTACTATGGCTGAACACAACATTGAAATTTGTAAAAAATGATAAACAATCACTTTTTAAATATCCAGAAATGCCTGCTAACAGAATAAAATTTCTTAAAGCTATGATAACAACATCAAATACAAACGGATTGTTTTCTCCACTTTGGGAAGCATTGAAAATAATGAGCTTAAAGTATGATTTTCGAATGTATGTTGAACGTACAGGGTCTGAGCAAGGGTAAGTTACTTATTAAGAATGATAGTAAAAAAAATAATATATAGTTAGGTAGTAGAAATTATATGTGGGCTATATAAAAGTCAAATTTTAATGATTTTTCTTATTGGAAAAGTGTGTTCAATGCAATAACCCAATTATCCATAATATTCCATAAGTATTTTGAGTTTTAAAACACAAGATCTCCTTGTCAACACACATTATTTAATTATTATATATTAGAGTAGGATAATTCATGAAGGATTCTTTAAATTCTTGACAGTGGTAAAGAACACATTTTAAAGAGATGTAATATATATTATATAAACATTTGTGATTTTGTTTGCAGACATTTGTTTTTGGAGAAAATACCAAAGAAAGAAGTTGTTTACGACGATGGGTAAGAAACTAATTATCTTATTTATTGCCTAGTATTTAAGATTGAACTTGACACCACTACTGCTATTAGAGGTATGTTTGAATGTCACCTGATGGTGTAAAAAATTTCTACTTATTCCGGACCTAAGTTTGAATTTTCTGGTAACAAAAAATGTTTCAGTTGCCACAGATGGCTACCAAGTCTGTGATGAGGTCTGACCCTTAAACTTCCACCTTCTAACCCAACTTTTCTAGTCTATTCTAAGGTCCATAGGAAACGAAGATGCTGACTTCCGACTTAAGTGTAGGATCTTCGAGCAGTCTTACCACAGTGGCTGATATTGAGAATTTGTGCAGTGATTGTAGAAGTAGATTGTGTGTACACTACAATTTGACATAAAATTTTAATTCAAGGCACGTACGCCATCTTTCTAACCCACTTTCCAGAGAGAGCAAACCAGAATCATGCGCAATATCCAAAGGACAGAAGAAGAAGGAAAAAAAGAAACGCAATAAAAAGAATTTTATGCAAACAGTTAGAGAACAATTGGATTCGATAACGCCTGTATTTGTTAAGAATTCATTGAAATCGATTTTCGACTTTGTCGAAGATGAGGCACAGGCTAGTTTGCCGTTTGACAGCTTGTCGCGAGTCCAGGCGGAGTTTATATATAATTTAAATGGTAAATATTATTTTAAACTCTTGTATAAAATATAGCGGCTCACTCCTTTTATCGATTTTGAGTCATGTGTTAAATTGGGGCTGCACTAGTTCTCAGGTCCTTATAACTACATGTTACTCTTCTAATAGATGCTCTTTGGAAATTCCATCTCACAGCTCATACTTTTAAGGGAGCGTTCAAGTATTACGTCACGCAATTTTTAGAGATTATTGACCCCCCCCATGTAACGCGCGTAACGTTTTTCTGTACCTCAATAATAAAACGTTTCGTGACCACCCAGTGACTCCTTATACCTAAAAGTTACCATTATGTGGTGTAAAGTACTGGAAAGTCGAAAATAATATTAACAATAACGCGTAATTTAATCCTCGCCCCGCATCGTAACGTTTTATAAGAGGACCCTCCCCTCTCATTTTTGTAATCAATTAATTTCTTATTCTTTGTGTTGTTAATTCATGAACCATGAGATTAGCTTTTGGTTCATTTTATTCATTTTTTGTATTATTTTAAATCGTAATTTTATAACTACATAACTTATATTAGATTTTTTTCCTTTCTAGGGTTGCCTGGAGTAGATCGCTTGTGATTCCTAATAATTTATGTTATTTGTTTTTTTTTATGTAACAAAGTGTAAATAAATAAATAATAGGGTTTTAGGTAGAGTAGGCAAACATCGTGAGAAAATTGTCTTGATTTAGTTATGAACCCCAAATTGTATAATTATGCGTATTCTTTTGGTGTAAAATAATAATAATTTTGTTCATTTTTAGGTATTTTAAAGCGAAAAGACGCAATGCAGGAACTATTCTCCCCAGTTTCTAATATATTATGGAAGAAAATACATGATACGTTGCAAGCATCTCATTTTAAACTAGAAATGTCCAGCATCAATGTTGATCCTGATACACGTAGGAGGTAAATATTACACTCAATAATAATTTACTATTACTTAGAGCAGTGTTTGCCAAGTGGCTTCAGCGTGCTCTCATTCCTGAAGTCTATGCGCGCATTTAACATTCGCTCGGTGAAGGAAAACATTGCGTGGAGACCGGCTTGCCTTGCGAAAAAGTCGAAGGCGTGTCAGGCACAGGAGGCTGATCACCTACTTGCTTATTAGATTGACAATGATCATAAAACAGATACAGAAATCTGAGGTTTAGATAAATAGGTTTTATTAAATTTATTTTTTAATGATATTAAGTTAACAATATTTAAATTAATAACATTTGAGTGCAGAATAAAGTTCTCAAACTGCAAATGTCTAGACACTGGCCTTTATTCCTTTCCTTGCTTTAAGGTACACCTTAAAAATACATTTTGTATCCATTGTAAGTGTAAACATTATGCGGGTATATCATAAACTCTTTTGCTTGATTTATAATTTGATACATTTTAGTATATAGTTATTTTGGGCTGGCGTGAGTGAGTTGTTGCCCCACATATTTTTATGGTGCCACTGGCGGTATTGCTGTGTACCGGGTTGTGCAGCTCCCTCAAAAATGGTTGAGCTGCATGAGCTATTCGGGGCATGCTTGCCGTCTGCTGGCACAGGCTTGCTCAGATCGATCTGGTTCTTTCTTCCAAAGACCAGTCCAGTAAATACTCTGCATTTGTTTACACCAATTTATTAATTTATTATTGTATTATCTCGACTATAAAAGAGACTAAGACCCCCGAGTTTGTTTCGAAATTTCTTCTCAGGGCAGTCAGTTAGGAAATGTCGACTTCATCTAGTTTAGGAAGACATTGTAAAAGTGATTTATATAGTCCTACTTGCAAGAATAAACTATTTCATTTCATTTCATTTCATTATGTAGGATATAATGTAACATACATTCAAATATTAGTAATGTCGGAAATTGGTCTTTTCCCACCCGGGTTTCGAACCCGAGACCACATAGAACCATACTATTACAAGCAATAATAGTTTAAATATATTCTAATGTTGTACGTGAGTGGTTAATAAAGAGTAAATCTAAAATCCAGATGGCCCAGTAACCGTACAATAATGTTGTTGTTATTTCGATCTTGGAGTATTATAGCTTTTTGTTAATTCGGTTGGAGTTGGACCAGCGCTGTGGAACATTCTGCTCCTTAGCATAATGCTGAGCCAGGGCCAATTACAGCCACAGCACACACGCATTACACACTTGAAACGAACCGAATGGGAAAAGGGAAATTTAAAACATTTTTTTAAATTGTTTTTGATATCACTAATTTTATTTTTTTCTTTGATTTTTGTTATTTTGTGTGTAATAAATGTTATGTCTATGATTTTATTTAGTTTATTTATTTATCTATACTTCGTTACATTAAAATTATCTGAATTCTAAATTTTCAGACAGATAACGTTGTTTAAAACACCCAAGTTTAATAATAAGAAAACTGAAGAAATGTAAGTATCATATTTTATTAATATAAATATTTTTTTATATTTTATTTAATTTGATACTTAAATTATAATTGGAGTAAGTAATCCTTCAATACGAATGATGGGCTACACAAATTCACACACGCATTCACATACTTATACACACTTACCTATTCGACTTTGTTTAATTACATTTAACATTAAGACTACATTTTCTTAACAATATTTTTATAAATAGCTTATACTCATTAAACATGCACCACGGAAAAGCTACTCATAAAAACGGGTAATCTTGTTTTTTAGTTTTGAGAAGTTTTTTATTACGAAAGACTTTATAATGAAGAAAGAAAAAAATCATAACGGTACGTAGTTTATTACACTGTGTTAATTGAGGCTTTTGTCTCCTTCTGCCAAGTTGTGGTCACGCTGTGTTACAAAGAGATACATTCGATTGAAGATGAGCAGGTCACCGCTTCCCCACGTAGTCCCCACGCCCCACAGGTGGGCAATTTGTTTTGTTAATAATTTCCTAAAACCTATCATTCAAGTTTCTTAAGTTTGTCTCAATTTTTTAATATTAAAAATTATTATATTACATGAGGGGTGAATTTTAGAAAGGCGAAGTTGGGACATGGTGCAAACAAAAACGCTGGGGTAACATTGCTCTATACCATTGTTAAAACAGAGTTATGTCTGATTAAAAAAAACAAAAAGTGTACTTATGTAAACGCGTTAGAAGTTATACTTCTTTAGCGTAACAATTTTTATCTTTGGCCTTATTCTACGTTTGTAGAAAAAACGTCACTAACAATAGAATAAAGGTGTTAAATACATTGAAAGTTTTATTATAACGCATTATCTAGTTAAATAAAATTTATTTAAATATCACAAGAAAACTAAAATGTTGACTGGCTAACTTCAGGGTGTCGGGTTTTTGTGACAGTGTGCGCGCATCGTAAAAAAATATTCTCTTCATTTTTCCCTAAAAAAAAACATAAAGAAGTACATATAACTTCAAAAATCTTGTTTTTTTAGTTTCACATATTGCATTTGGTATATCGGTGATAAAAAAAATTATCAAAAAGTTATTTATTTATTCCACCTCATCATTCTATCTTTACATTTATTACTAATGCGATACAACGACACATTAATTATCCCCACATCAATTAACCACATTTATATACCTAAATCTTATAACTAATAACATAGGAAGCAACTCTTGTGAACTCAGCCAGTGTACAAACAAATAAGTCTACCTCGATAGAAGTATTATATAAGTACAAGCCGTCGGAAATATCTGCGAACCTCGCTGGAATGCGCTTCCCCTGGCGCCCCCGCACCCCGCCCCGTTTTCGCCTATCCAGTACCGTTGCCAACGCAATCGCCGATGCCGCACGTGTATTATTCTTGCTTTCGTAATCGCATTTTAGTGTTTATTGTTTCTCTGTTTGGTGAAATATTACATAAACTACCTATTTAGTGCTGTATGTAAGATGGGTAGGTACGAGTATCAATAAAAATAAGTACACAAATAAAATATTTTTTATTTTTACATCTTCAATTTTTTTGCTATCTCTCCAGTTTGTATGACGTCATTAAGCCAGGTTCGCAGATATTTCCGACGACTTGTATGTATTGCACGGGTGAGTGGCGCTTCGCTAACCAAGTTGGAACGGCGCGCGGTATATCCAAAAGTTTTTTCAATCCAAATCTAGTTCACGATTTGGATTAGAAAAAACTAATATTTAAAAATATATATTTATTTCAGAAATGAAAGTACAGACTCTGACATTGAAAATGAGAGTCCTCCGAATATGGAGAGAGATGTATCCGATGTTAACAGGTTGAAATTATTGCAATCCATAGAAAATTGTGTAAAGAAGTAAGTATATAGACTATGTATGTAAGAAGTATATATATATATAGCTGACCCGGCAAACATTTGTTTTGCCATGTATATTATTTCTAAGAAAAACATTTTTAGTTTAATAAAAATAACTATCTACTATAATAAAATAGGGTTTGAGTATCAAACTACACTAGAGGGGTAAAAATTTCGGGTTGTATGTATTTTTGTATGCTCTATCATAAAAAATAAAAACAAAAAAATTGTCTAAAAAATTAAAAATAAATGTTGGGGTGGACACCCCTTATAACTTAGGGGTTGGAAAGATATATAGTAGCCGATACTCAGACTTATTGAAAGTGCATATCTTACACGTTGTAATGCAATGAATAAACACATTTAATTTATTAAATATATATTTTTGTCGCTAACAATGGAAAGACTCTGTTGGCGAAGGTGGTTATATAAGTTCTAATAGGGTTCTAGACCTTTCTAGCACCACTTTTGTATTAAAGTTTATCGGATTTTTATATGTGGATTGTGGAACCAGTTGGTCACTGAAGTATTTTCGAACCAATTTGACTTCAAGAACAGAGCGTACTAATTATTTAAAGGCCGGCAACATACTCGTTTCTTCAGTTTAAGCATAGGACAGGTTGAGAAGAAATGAAGTTTTAATTACTAACGTAAAAATTTTCAGAGACTCAACACACCAATCAGCACATATTAATAGCGTTAATAGCGGTAATATGCTTCTAGCAAGTAAGAACTTACTTAACGAATCAACGAATAGCAGGGAATTAGAACTAAATAATACGAAACCAGTAACAAATACTAAAGAGCCAATAATAGATAAGAAATCAGCAACAAATAAAGAACCAGCAACAAATAAAGAAACAGCAACAAATAAAGAAACAGCAACAAATAAAGAAACAGCAACAAATAAAGAAACAGCAACAAATAAAGAACCAGCAACAAATAGAAAACCAGCATTAACTAGTAATCCAGTTCTAGATAAAGAATCCGTGATTGATAATATTGATAGAGAAATATCTAAGTTAGAAATAAATTCAAATAAAGTACCGACCGTAGAAAAGACTGTTGTTGGAAGAAAGAGAAGTAAAACTATACAAGTGCCGACTGTGTCAAGGTGAGTATTTACGAATGCAATTATAATTAACTGATATCGCTTCGTAAAGCACCACTGTTTAAATGCTTTTGATGATGGGTGATGTACCAATTACTGTAATTTTTGTTTAGAATTTTATGAATTAATAAGCAACAACCATAAAGGGGCCGTAAGCTATATGGGGGGGTGTATTGTTTGTTTTTTTTCTTATTTGGTGAAGACTTCACATTATTTTTGTTTTTACACATATTACCCACACATTGACGTTTGACTTTTGCTTTGTTTACTTTTGTTGGCAATAGGAAAAAGGGGGGAATTGCAGTAAATCTGCTTTTCTGCAGACACTTCAGACACTACAGACTTTTCTGTTCTAGACATTCTTCAAAATTACCGTCGTAATGTGAGGTTAGTGTGTCGTCCGAAATTATGTGTAAACCGTGAAAAATTCGTGAAACCCAGCAAGCAAGAGGGAAGATCTCAAACATACCGAGATTTCGCCACATTTTAATTCTTAATTCCCACGAGATCCCGAATTACGTAATCGAGATCGCATTCATTACATTAGATAGGCCAAGACATTATTTTCAAGCATTCTACGTTTTGTGTCACGTGACTGAGGTAAAAATTTCTTTACAGCGCATTAAACGAAATGATGAACACATCAAGGCTGCCCCAGCCTAAGGTGAAATTAATTGAAGGCTTATCGAAGCCTTTAGAAAGTGAAAAGGGTTTAAGGTGCGTTTTTCTAAATACCTAAACTTATATTATAATATATAACGCTTTGATCTTTGAGTTATAGCAGTGTCAGTTTTTTTTAGATATTAGAGTTCAGAAGGAAGTCTAAGCAATAGGACTTTTATACTATTTATTGTCAAATATATATAATTTGCGTATTTTTTTTTCATAAATTTCAGATAGCTGATGTTTTGTTTAAATCAGTCATGTAACTAAATATTAAAAATACAAATGAATCTTTAAAATACCAATGACTTATAGTTGTAATAATATCTAAGTTAACAATACTTCCGTAAGAAATAATTGAAATAATTTCAGAATGATGCGTTGTATGGGATGGGATGGCGGTGCTTTAGGGACGCGGGAGGGAGGGATAACCGAACCGATAATGCCGGCTTTACATCTCGTGAGTTTTATGTAGAATTATTATCATATCTAGAACTAAACCTCAAAATATATTCTTAAAGGGTGATCAGCTTATGAGTCGAGAGGGTAATATTCAGAATCGAGTGATTTCTGTATGTCAAAAATGTACTGTATTTTAATATTCTAAGCTTGCGTTTCTGAATGTCACCTGATATGCCGGTTTTATTATATTTATTCTTCAGTGATCTCAAACTCAAAATAACTTTATTCATATAGGTAAACAAGTACACTTATGAACGTCAACAGAAAAGACGTTAAATTGATTCTAAATTAAAAAGAGTACGAGCAAGTACAGTCATACTTCCTATAACGCGAGATATGTGTTCCTATAACGCGAGATATGTGTTCTATCTCCCCTAAAATACGGAGATTTATCAAGTTATATTTCTGTAGTGGGAAATTTATAATGTTTTAATAATTAGTTTTGCGTACGTTTGCAGCTGTTTCAATTGCGTCATTGTAAAATGAAACTAAATAAATATTCACAAAACAATATTCTTGTTCCTAGTTTTAGAATTGTTCAAAAATATTCGTACTACTACAACGCAATTTCCTATTACGCCGGGACTACCGCGTTAGTATACAGTAATTGAGTTCGGGTCTACCGCGTTATAGGAAATTGCGTTGTAGAAGTATTAGATTCAAACATCGAAACATCATTTTAGAATTAAACATTTTCAGACAGCCAAAGCTGGCCTCGGCCACGTCGGTACCCACAAAGTCGTGAAGGTCAAAAATAGCCAGGAATATCGCGTACACGTCTTAGAAAATATACTAAATCTATTGAATAGTAGTTCAACGGAATTGGTGATTGACTTCTGTGACCAATTGAACAAAAAGGAGATAAATTTCCTTGGTAATGTCGGTCGTGCATTGAAGAGCGGAAAACGTATCGGAGTCAATAGTAAGAGTGAGGAAAAGCTGAATAAGAAAATTTCAGCTTTTTTGTCCTCGAAACGAGATTTGATGGTCGATGTACAGGTTGTTAATAAAAGGTGAGGAAATTTTCGTTATTTATAGTCGGGCTTGTTATAACTTTTAAAACTATAGTCGAAGCATTTTAAACTAAATCGTCGGGCACTAAATGTCACTGATAGTAGGAATGTGCACGCAATGCAACTCAATCCCCGCCCCGTATCGTAACGTTTTACAAAAGGACCCCCTCCCCCCAAAATTAGTTACGTAATACTTGAACGCTCCCTTATCGACACGACTAAGGGTTGTTATTTTTCTATAAATATAAGATTTTTTTTGGGCCAAATTACGATCTGTACAGTTTCTCTATGATTACAAGTCCGAAACAAAAAAAAAGGGTGCGTGTACTTATGTACACGCGTAAGAAGTTATACTTCTTTGGCATTATTAAAAATAGTTTTTGATTGCATGCAAATAATTAATTACAATTAAATAATCAAAGACTGGAAAAGGAGTCATTATAGTCAATTAAGTTCAGTTTACATTTGAAAAATTAAATAAATAATTATTTATTATTATTCTCTTACATTAAGTGTAACATAAATTATATTTAGTTAAAAGTATATATTATTATATATTTAGAACATCTCTACCAAACACTAAGAAGTATGTTGTAGCTTTGGCAGTATTGCACAATATAAAATTAATAAATTTCTTTGAAAAAATAATCAAAACTCCTTTATTTGTTTAAAAGGTAAATGACAAATGTCATTATGGTCATTCAAAATTCTTGGCATACGAACTTCACGCATATTCTATTTCTTTTTACTTGTAGATTGTCTTATTCCTATCGCGCTCGCGCACGCTATAATCACACTCCCAATTTTGTGTCACAGGTGCGCGCGCATCGTAAAATTTCACTCTCATAAATTTTTCATAACGCGCCTAAAGAAGTATAACTTCAAAAATATTCATATTAATACTTCAGCATATCGATCTTACCTATCTCGTTATAGACCTGTAAGTAAAAATTGTTCTACGGGAGGTCGTTCAGCTCAACCCCTGCAGAGTTATAATTTATTTTGCGTTTTTATTGAATTTTTCTAATTCTTATTAAAATTCGAAAAATCTACCTCCTGTATCTTTTTCATAATATCCACTAGATTGGTACTGACGAGTCTTTGCGCTAGACATGCTATTTATGGTTGCTTATTGGGTGTATTGAAGATAATATCCTCCCGTGACTTTTTGGCCATCCTGTATATATAACAGGGGGCCAACGGACAGGAAGCTCATCTGATAGCCCAATGCCCATGGACATTGACATCGTCAGGAGGCTTGCAAGTTCTTGATATATTACACTACCACATGTGGTGTTGCCAGTAGTTAATTTAGCGCCTCTAAAGGTGTTCATTGTATTGGTCGATTTTGATATGATAAAGATTTTATTTTTCAGACAAGTTAAATTAGAAAAGAAATCAATTTTAAACGTACACAACGAAACAAAACGAAAGCAAAGTGCTTTTGTATTAGAAAAACCTCTTGAAAACACCAATAGTTTACCAAATGCTGGTAAAGAAAAAGCGAATAAAGCTGTTCGCGGAGAACCTGCATATCTAACAAATGAAGAGATACTTTCTCTGTTAGATCTGAAAGAGCAGGTGAAAATCTCAAAGAAATCTCTGAATAAACTTAAGATACGCTTGTTTATAATAAAGTCGTTCATGGACTTTTTGAAAAGTGACTCTGATACTGTGACCTTGAATTGTCAATTGTCGTCACCTATGAGGAAATATATACATGGATTGTGCTCAGCCATAAATAGCAGAACAGAACACAAATTTCGTTTCAGTATTGAGACGTTTGTTTGGTTGGATATAGTGCAGTATTTGAAGGGGAGAGACCTTTATGTCATGGTCCAAATGGATTCTAGGTATGTTTTGCTTGTCAATTGTCAAAAGTTGCATTTTGGCAATTGATTTATTTACAGTTTCGAATCCCCCTTTGACTTTTCAGAGTCAAGCCAAAGAAGTCATCCTTTGTCAAATCTGTCAAATGGTCATTTGAATTTGATAGATACTTCATTTATGATTCTTCATTCTGAAGTGTTCCCTTTATTCATAAAAAATAATCAGTCGGCACCGATTTAAGTGAAGTACTCATCTGTCTCTTTTTATCATAACGTAAATACAATTTGACAGAAAGAGTTAAAAGAGTAATTTGGTATAACAATTAGGGTTGCCACCCTTTTTGCAATTCAAGACCATTAATTGGTAGCACAAGAAAAAAGTAAAGAACAATTTCATTTTTTTTATGAAATAATTTTGAAATGTTTTTTTATTAAATAACGAGCACTGAATGAGGCTAGTAGTGGCGAGTGGCAACATCGATTCAGCCCCAATCGATAAATTCCGTTTAACAAAAAAATTTACGACTGAAGAAAGCACATCATGCGAAATAAATGTATTTTCGTGTAATTTAATGTACTCATAAAGTATAGAGTACAATATTTATTATAAAGTGGCAACCCTAATAACAATGCAATTATACTAATTTAGTTATTTTTACTAAGAGACCATGTTTATAGTAAACGTTGAATATCAAGAATCAAACTTAACATTAAATTCATTAATGCGATTTTAGGTCCTTTGGTTTGAATAAAATATCAAAAAGCAGTCCAAACTTCACGACTTATGAAAATCATGAAGAGTCCTCTGGAAGCAGTGACACCAGTTTCTCAAGTGTACAAAGTTCTAAAGATAGCGAGGAACAAAAAAATCAACAAAGTGATGTTGAAAATATATTTTATTTTGGTAATAATATAAATAATGTGTCCAATAATATGTCTGAAAATTCTAAATTTAAAATAGATGACAACACAAACAGCTCGGTGATAAACGTGAGAATTATTCAACGAATCGGCAAACCGATGACAATTGACACGGTTAAGGAAATTCAAACTCGAATTTCGAACGCGATTGTCTCCCCGCCATTTCCAATGTTGAAATGTCACGGTGTCAAAAGTGACAGTTTGATCTACAGTTGTTATGACAGAAGCAGTTTCGAATTCTTAAAGGAGGTTTTAAAAGATTTTCAAATTGTCGAGTACGAGATCAGTAGCCTTTTCAAAATGGCGGCTACATTCAAATCTAACGCGTCGTTATCAAAAGTGTTAAACTGGTTACAGTTATATCATAATTTGGATGTTTTCAGTTGGGATATCTTAAGTACCTCAATAAACAGTAATTTAAGTTTTACGGTGTCTATGGATTTTGATTCTTTTCAGTACATTTGTATGAAAAAATTTACATTGCTTGCGGGTGTTGACGAGTTAACATTTGAGATCATTATATAGTTCCTATTTGTGTTTAAATTAGTAACTATTAACGAATGGCTAATGTAGGCGTTTTAGCATATTTCTTGGGAAACAGATTTTTTTTAAGAATTGGTATTGGTATATTTTCGGACTATTAAGCCTTTACAATGGCCAAGGGAATAGTTGCAGAGATACTTCTACTAAATATTTGTCTAACGCCCGGTTTCTATAACAGCTGTCAAATAGGATTAATTGAAAATCTACTTTCAATATAGAATAATAATTAAGCGTCATTTATTCCTTGAAACATTTACTAAATATATGTAATACACTTTAAAATAAATAATTGATATATGTATATCTATATTTTTTTTCTAATTTTTAATGAACGTTTGAAATATGCCTCTTTCGAGTGTCGCTGTGCTTCATGCAGTATTGAGTAATGAAAATTATTACTTTTTTCAATCTCAAGCATTTCTTGAAGCAGTCTTTTGTAAGTCAGTCTTTATCAATACCAAAAATACTTAGTTAAAATACGTATAAAGAAGACTAAAGACATTTTTGCAATATATCTTAGATTTAACGGAAGGGAGATAACATATTAGGTTGGGGAAAAAGTCTTTTCGCATTATAGTATGTATGAACTTGTAATAAAATCTCTTTGGCTATACTATATGTATCTGGCTGGTTTTGTTATCAAGGAAATTCAGTCTTTTCAGAATTCTTTAGGCAATGTCAGGTTAACATCACGAGAGGACTGCCAAAACCAATTGTCGCGGTATTTTGATCAGAAGCCCCAAAATTTTATAGCAATGGGATCATGTCCCTACCTAATTATGGCAAAAAGTTATCGAACAAAATGGTACCTACATACTTTAGTTAAATGTAAATAAACTATATTAAAAAATGTTTGGAATTTTCTTAAAAATGCGAAGAAACTTTTTCCCCAACCTATTATCATCCGAATAGTATTCGCGTAGTAAACTATGAAATCAACGCGTTAGACATAAACTGATAATTGTATTGATGACAATACTTGACCGTTAATCGAAAATGAGCGCTGTCAAAATGTTAAAAACGTCATAGTCGTCGAATTGTGACGGATCTGACAAATAGTAAACTTTATAGGGCTGCCATTTCAAAATAATATAATCATGTTAGTTTTTGTCATAACTATTTTAATTCATATTCTTTTTTTATGAAAATTGGCATACAAGCAAACAAAAAGGTTTGTTTTGAAACAAAATAAAAATAATAACATTAAATTACACAGTTTTTTAGAAAAATCACGTTTCTATCAAATCCGTCACTTTACCGGCTAATTAATTTGAAATTTAAAACACATGGAAATTTTTAATGCAGCAGTAATATTTAGACAATGTAGTATCCAAATATGATAAAGTGGATTTTAGATTTTTCAAATCCGACATTGTTCTACGATCATGACAAAATTGTACCTATATTTAAGAGACCATTAGCACTCCTATAGACAAGTATAGTCTATACGTCAATGTCAGTTTTTTTTTAGTTTTAAACATGGAGCTATGCTCGCTCTCTATTTTTATAACTATTTTATGTTACCTATAGCTAAGATTACTTCATATGTAATGAAAAATCAATTTAAGTTTCAGTTATTATATCATTATATGCTTACGTTTAAATTGCTGAACTTATTGTGAAGGAATTCGTTATATATCTTTGTTAACCTTTAGCAAACAAAGTCGAGGGTTTATTAAGGTTTTTCATAAAAACGTAAAATTAGATTTTTTACAAAGTTTTTATCTTCTGTTAGAAGTAAGTTTTGTTTTTGTATTTATAAGAATAAATATTTAAGTTTCTTATGTCTTTTCACTTAGATAAGAGAATATGGTTCTATTTTTTTTCATAATCTTCCCTTTCACCCCCTTATAACGACTCCTGTTTATGCTTCCCGTTATGAGCATCCCTTTGCTGCTTCAAAACATTACTCCGCCAATAAGTATTTTAAATATTAATTTAAACGTCACTTCCTACTTTACATGCTTATCTTTCCACGGCGATAGCTGCTGCAAATATTTTATCAAATTAATCGTTGCACGATGGACTAATGATATGGTTTTAATTGATGAAATAAAAATTGTTTTAAAACTAATTACAAGATAGTGTAATAATGAAAGTGAACCAATGGGGCTTTAATGTCTACATTCTTATCGCGGGTGTTAATTATAACCTGATAAGTAATAATAATTGGGGTGCGAGGTCCTTCCGAAGTCGTAGGTTCGAACGCCGGATGTGCAGCAATGGACTCTCTAGTACGGTGAAGGAAATCGTGAGGAAACGTGCAATGAAATCCATTATTAATAGCCAGCTCCTGAGATAGCTTGAGGGCTAATGAGGCTTTTATTCGAGGACACACAGGCTCTCAGCCTATGGGCTCCCCGAGAAATCATGCAATTGGATTTCTACCTGTCTCTCTGATTATCAGAATTGTTATTGACGGAGCATGTTCCGACCTTAAGCCCGTGTCCTATCGCCGTCCCTGTTTCAACATTCATTGCTATTCGGACGATAGCATTGGGGATGCTTTTGGGCCGTGCACAAAACTTCATTACGATTTTATTACCCTACTCGTGTTGTTCATTAAAAAAATAATAGTTATGTTCTGTTAAACACGCTATTTGTAACGGTTTTAATTGACTGCAATGATTTATTGTCGCTTTTACACCCCTTCTTCATACAATATATATATGAAGAATAATATATATTCATACAATATATTTGTGCCCACTGAAGTATTTACGAACCAATTTTGACTTAGGGTCCTTCAAACAACGAGCGTACCAATGTTAAAAAGATCGGCAACGCACTTGCGCGCGCTCTGGCAATGAGTGTCCATGGGCATGTTATCACTTAACATCAGATGAGCCACCTGCCCGTTTATAAAAAAAACACTTTCCATTCAAATAAACTATGGATTTGCGTTTATATATATTCTATATGTATCTACAAGTATGTTAATAAGTATATCGATAACGGTTAAACTCTGCTATTTTTTTATCAGCCGGTGTGTTTTTTTATCAAAAGTAATTAACACTTGCATGGCCCAATTACTAAATTACGATAATATAAATTAAAATTCGTGTTGTAATATATTCAAACATATCATTTTTAAATATTATACAAATAAAAACACATTTCATTAGTATCAAAGTTCTATTTGACAATAGTTATGTAGGGATAGATCCTTTAAATCTCTACAGTACAAACTTACCTGTCCACATCGTATCCTTTACTTTCGTGACTAAACTGATCTAAAATTATAGTGATTCATGTGCACTTATTGTTTTTAGTTTAGTTTTTTGTTCCTGTTTTGTTTGAGTTTTGCCTAAATAACTATATATATTATGTATTTCACTTCTTGCTTATCTAATTTTTTTTTCCTCACAGTGGCTGCCCGGAAAAGATCGCTCGAAAGCGATAAGGCCGCCAGTTTCCCTTCTTTTCATTTAATTATGTTTCTTGTATTATATTTTTGTATGCAACGAAGTGTTAATAAATAAATAACAAAAAATTTATTAACATTTTAATTTAAATGTACGTAAGAAATAAATTATTTTAAACTGAAATATTTTTATTGTTTCTTCCTCCTCTGTAACGCTAAAGGCAAACCACCCAACACGTTCTGTATGATGGTGGAACTTGGGTCGATTGGTGGATAACGTTTGGTACTCTTAGATGGCGCCACTGAGAATACATGAAGTACGGCAGCTACACCGGCCAAAGACTGCATGATACCAAGACGTTCACCTAAAAAGGTCACATTATAAAAACGTCTATTATTCAAATTCAGCTCAAATAAGCCATTTTTTGTTTCGGGTGCACAGTTTTTGACGAGTTGTATAGAGAACGAAAATTGCGGTGTGAAAGATAAGGTAAAATTCAAATAACCCATAGGCCCATATGTATCTATATAACCCAAAGTATATAGATACCTATAGTAAGACCTTTTGTATGGTTTTATAGGGTAAAATAATTACAACGACATTGAGATAAAATCGGTAAAATTCTACGAATTTTCTAATGAATCAGTCATAGACTATTCTAGTACCTATAATGACAACAAATATGTAGTATAAAATAAATCAGTGGCTATACAACCTTTTTAGATCTGGGTTTCGGACTTCTGTATCTGTTTCATGATCATATTTTGTCAATCTAAAAGGTGATCAGCCTGTGCCTGACACACGCCGTCGACTTTTTGGACCTAAGGCTAGCCGGTTTCCTCACGATGTTTTCCTTCACCGCTTGAGCTAATGTTAAATGCGCACATAGACAGAAAGTGCATTGATGCACAGCCGGGATCGAACCTACGACCTGAGGGATGAGAGTCAAACTTACCTATACAAGCTCTCGGTCCATCCCCAAACGGTAAGTACACATTCTTATTCATCTTATGTATATTATCAGGGTGGAATCTCATCGGCTTAAAGGTCTTCGGATCATCGAAATATCTTTCGTCAGCGTACAAAGCCTGTGTTGATATAACCACGCCAGTTCTATCGTCCAACGTTAAATCTGTTCCGGGCAAAGTATATTTTCCAACTGTTTTGCGGACCAGAAAACCGGGAGAAGCAAAGACGCGATTGCTTTCTCTGTAATTAAAGAAAATACATATATATACATTTAGTCCTCATAATCTCTCTTCTTTTGTATATAACTGGTTCGTTTGTCTCAAAAGAAGATTAGTTACTGAAATGTTATACTTACTTGAATGCCATTTCCAGATATTTCATGTCCTTGACGGCATCATAGGAAAGTTTTCCATCATATTTAGCTAACACCTCATCGATTTCCTTCTGAACTAGCTTTTGTTCTTCGGGATGGTAAGCCAGCTGGTGTAGAAGAAAACTACTGGAAGATGACGATGTTTCAAAACCAGCAGCAAAGAAAACGAATACCTGTGCGGCTATCAACTCGTCTTTTAATTCGAGTTCCACAATTTTAGGCGATCCATCTGGATTCACCTTTTCTATGGACTCACCCACCATTTTTCCTTTTTGTTTCAATTCTAACATCATGTCGATAAAATCATTTCTCCCCGATGGTTTGTAATCGCGCTGGCTCATAATTTGTCTCACCAATGATAAGTTTTTTCTTTCAACTTCAGGAGAGAAGAAATGTATATATTTGAAAAGTTCCACATTAGAGAACGTGCGTTTCAACAAATTAACTAAGATATCGCGTTTAGTTACTGTGAAAATACGTCTTCCTAACTGACGAAAATCATTTGTGTCATCATCTAACGTTTTCGAGTCAATACCAAATCCACATGCACCAATAAAATCGGTTGTGTATCTCGCCATAAGATTTCTAACATCAACTTCTTCTCCGGAATCGGCAACTTTCTTTGCAATCGTTATGAGCTTTTCAGTTCTCTCAACAATTAAAGGAAACATTGCTTTCAGCTTAGCACTAGAGAAAGCTGTAGTCATCCTTTGTCGCAAGAGTTTCCAGGCGTCTCCATCTACCGTAAATAGATTCTTCATTAGAGGTTCAATGTCTTCCTTATGGGGGCTTACTCCTCTTCGGTAGAAATGTTTGAAGTCAGTGACAAGAATGGTTTTAATTAACTCGGGGTCTCTAACCAGCAGTGCCGGCTTGTTCGCCTCGAAGTAGCCCACATATTTTTCGTTAGGAAATCTGTTGTGAAGCTCGGCAAATCTTTCTGATAAGCTGTGTTTCTTGATGATATGGGTTAGGTTGCTTCCAAAGAAGATAATGGGTTCGTCGTATTTAACTCCCCGCTTCTTCCAATAGTCGAAATTTTTGGTCCCAACATAGTAAAGGACGACCAAAAGAAGTGCGACCACGAGCAACCACATTTTGAAAGTGATCGATTTAGGTTAAATACGGTCGATATGATATCTTAGTGATTTTTAATTCTGATTAGTTATCAATTAGATTTTAATTTTATTTGCTCAAATTATAACGTCTGTGCATTTAGCGTTCTTAAAACTCTAGTTTTTTTTTATTAAATAGGTTGTAATAATGAAAAATTATTCTTATTAAGCACGTTAAATGCTGAATTTTGCGCGTAATCATACAACTGTAGATATCACTATCGTACAGGTTTTTGAATATTTTTGAATGTACATGACATTAAATTGTAATAATCTTATATTTATATATAATATTATCATTGCCTTCACATAATGTTATTATGTTATTACCATATATGAAAGATATGTATATGTCGCAGCCAACTTGCTTAATTAGCTGTTCAATTAACAGCCTAGCCGTTTAACTAAACGGCGCTAAAACGATCTATTGTTTGCACTATTTAAAACATATTGAGTGAAATGTTGTAATACCATTTGAGTAGAGAATAGAGCGTAGAACATTTCACTCAAACAAAACTTTGTTTAGGTATAGTAAGTATATTATATAAAAGTAGTAACTTTTTGATTCTTAGTTTGATTCTAGGCTTAGGCAAGCGTGTTTTTTAATGTATGTCCTCTCTTCGTTGCCGTCTGCTAACGGTGAAGGAACTTTACCCTTTAGATCGTGTTAATAAGTCCACTTTAATATGAAATAGGCATATTTAGGTGAAATGCGGTATTTGGTATTCTATATATATATTTACGGGCACAAGGCTCCGACGTCTGTAGTTCATGACTGTGTGTGGTCCGTTGGAATAAGAGAAGATAAATAATATGACTGAACTCACAAACTCGTAAACAGTTTACCCGTCGTATACGTCTTTACTATAAATTTTATTTAATACTAAAATTTTACTACTATTTTATTGTTATTTAATACAATACTGATATTCGTACAGTTAAGGACAATAATAGATCGGTATATTACGTACGTTTTGATAATTTTTACCTAAAATTTGCGTATTTTTAGGAAACTTCCCGGCGGTTACCTCTTTCACCTATTTGACCAGCCTTCTGTTCCTGACAGCGTCGTGTGTTGTATCGTATTACTCATATACAGGGATATAACGCAGTAATGTGTCGGGCAACTGGGAGATAAGGGGACAAAATTGTCGCTTCTCGTAATATATTCGTAATAATAATTATTATGAGGCATTGTATTGGTGACAAGAACAAGGATTTTGATAAATCTATGTTGATAATATATATAATCTATAATTATAATTAATTAATTTTATTAGCAACTGTTTTTATCATACGATAAAAATTGATTGTTTTAATTCTGTCTGTATTATAATTTATAGTTTTTTTTATTTATTTAATAGTGTCACCAAAGCATTAAATTTGAAATAAAAAATAAACAAAAAAAGAAACGGAAAAACTGAAGTGAAAAAGACTATAAAACAGAAACAAGAATACGTAATGATCGTGTATAGTAAGTCAGAAATTGATGAGTGAAGATTTTGAGACCGACTTTGTTGAGGTTGGAAAATAAATGCATTATTTTCGAGGGAAGAACAACGAGATGTACTACTCAGAGCTCATTTTGATTATTTTTTTGCATACGATTTTCTTTTAAAATCTACGACTTAACAAAGCTTCATCAGAATTATCTGCCATGGAGTTGAATACCAAAGTCTTTTATAAACAATTTACAAATTTGTATGAAATAAGTTTAACAGATCTCAGTTAGATTCTGTGACGCTTTACTAGATTTCTTTAAGTTATCAAATGAAAAATAATAATAAATAAATATTGATTACTATGCGACCCATTCAGTAAGTTACCGTTAAAACTAAGATTCAAAATAGCATTCAGTTCATAACTATAAATAAAATAAAAAATAAATCAGTGGCGCTACCGCCTATTTAGGTCTTGGCCTCAGATTTCTGAATCTGTTTTATGATGATTTTTAAATCTAATAGGCAAGTAGGTGATAAGCCTCCTGTGCCTTACACACGCCGTTGACTTTTTTGGGTCTAAGACATGTCGGTTTCCTCACGATGTTTTCCTTCACCGTTCGAGCAAATGTTAAATGCGCATATATAAAGAAAGTCCATTGGTGCACAGCCGGAGATCGAACCTACGACCTCAGGTATAAGAGTCTTTCGCTGAAGCCACTAGGCCAACACTGCTCTTTCGGTTCATAACTATGCCTCTTTTAAACTGACTTCATTAAACCCTTAAAAAAAACAGTAGAATTTCTGTGGTATGACGTGAAATTGTTTTTGTTAGGTTTAGAATACAGCAAGATGGAATCGTTTTAATGTTATATTGTATTTTTTCCTTCTTGCTTTCTTTATTTCTCGAGCTCATTTTTCTGTAGAAAACTCGGTACTCGGTACATTGCCGAGGCCGAAACTTCTACCTCGGGGATGAGTTTCGCATGCTCAAGCCACTAGGCCAATACTGTACTTTAGGGATTGTAAAAAAAACACAAATCTTCTTAGTCAGTTTATTTGTTAAAAATTCGTAATACATAGCGATACAGTTCCAGAACCCCATTGTAATATACACAATCAATGGAGTGTATGAAACTTATATCGAAAATTCGTTGCATAAATCTATAATATACATTTGTAAACATTTAACTCAATTCTAAAGCTCTAGTCTATACACACAGTCCAAAATCCAACAACAATAATTCAAAAGTCGATATAGACTGAATTCAGCATTATTTAATTTATTGCCTACTTGCGTTCTCTGTTAATAAAATAGACTTAAATTACTATTCAATACTAATTTGAAGAACTACTGAGAATATTTAAAAATGTTTACAAATGTACCTATCTTAAAGCAAAAGCGGTATTAAATATAGCACCGACGTTGGACGGATTAAGTATGGCAATACAATAAATTTGATTAATGACCTACCAACAAAATAGTAAAAACAAGGCGGGAAATATATTGTTTCACCACAAAGTATGTTAAACTTTATGTATAATGTCAAATATGGGTTTCAAAGCATTAAAACTAAAACTAAAACGCAATTAAAGTTCAATTGAATATAAATGGAGAAATTTTATTATTCTTATTGATTAACTTTTGACAAAGATTTCTTAAGTGAAAATCTTGGACATTTTATAAGTCAAAAAGGAACTTTCTTTTTCAATAATTGTATTCCCTTCACCAGAATGAAGCTTTAGTTTTGGTGTAAAACAATATGAATTGCTTAAAATAGTTTATTAAGTAGAGTAACTTCAATTATAGAGATTAAATTCTCTAAGAGATCTATGTTGAAGAGATAATGCCCGATTAGTTATTTTTTTAGTTATCCATTGGTACACATTATTTTTTTAAAGACATTTTCTGCAGTTTTTAAAATTAAGTTACTCTACATAATAATAGCACAAACTTAAAAAAGACATCACAAAAACTGCTTCATTAATAAATGATCATTTTAATATAATTACGTAATGCAAGGTCACCATCTATTGAACTTATTCTATACTTAACGGACGGATAATTATCACAAATTATCTATATAGATATTAAGGTTCTCGTACACATGGTATTTTAATTCATCTGAATTTAAAAATTGAAAGTTATAGTCAACTAGATTTTACGATATTTTTTAAATAATTGTCATTTTCCTAATCAGAAAAATCTGTGAATGATAATAAAAATAAACCTTAATTTCAAACAACAGAATTAACTATTATACCTGATAAATGGTAAACTCCACCGAATTAAATAAATTGGGCAATTAGACAATTATTATAAAAATACCATGTGTAATACTTAAATTTAACTTAAATTATGACTGTTTCGTTGTGAATGAACACAACAATTACACAGAAATGGCCCATGGCACTGAGTGCAATGTTATTCGTTGTTTAACACTAACTAACCAATAAATATTGTCAACTTGACATTGGCAGCTAAACAAAATGGACGGACATCTGTAGAGAACTTTAGAGGTTTTTCAAAGTATTTTTTATATAAATATATAGCAGTAAGACACTAGAAATGGCGCCAAGTCTTATAGAGCACTTTATGTCATGTATACGTCAATTTCTTTACGATAATGTCAGTTTTTGACAGATCGAAAGCATTTGACATTTGACAGGTCCCTAATACTGCTCAAGTTTTCCGTATAAAAATATCGTTAAGTTTTCTTTAACATTTTGATTCAGGGTAAGAATAAAACAAGAGGGGCTTGAGACAAAATCTTTTCGACACGAGGCGAACTGTGACTCGCAGCCACTTCTAGAGTCTTAGTGATTCTATGGTTCATTATGGATTTAACTTGTATGCGAATAGCCAGTGTTGGTATACGGGCCACTGTATAGGGAACTGCCAGTTCTTGAATAAGTTTTTGGGTTCCTTCGTCGTGCTAGAATAAAGGCTATAGCTGCTATGACGCAAATCATTAAAATCACACCGGCTATACATATTCCAATGGCAAAGTTGCGTTGGGAAATGCATATTTCGTCTTCTTTCTGTAAAAAAAAAGATCTTTCAGTCAACCCCAGTGAGGAAAAGGCGTTATATTTTTTATAAGGCGTTATATTTTCGTAACGTATTAAGTTAATAAAAATGCCTGGAGAACGAATTCTAGTGGAGATTTTACATTCGGAAAGGAAAAAAAATGAGAAGAAAGATCAGATATGTACTTTAAAGTCGGCAGCGCACAATCCAACTGGTGAAGCAGGGTGTCCATGGGCGGCGGGAAGAACTTAACTGTAAGTAACCCGGCTGCTCTTTTCCCTCCTGTCCCATTAAAAATATGTGATTAGTTCATAAATCTGAAACATGCTTATAACTGTCAATATATTTCTACTTTTTTACGCCCTTTGTCGTCGTTACCGTCAAATAAATTTGAAGTTTGACATTTGACAGTGCACAAACGATTGTGAACTGTCAAATGGGGTATTATGGATGACACATTGATGAGTCAATACCAACCTTCTCGCTAACAACGTCATCGTTGTCCAGCGAATCTGCTTCGTTGACGTAAAGTCCGGAGAAAACTTCGACTGTTGCGGGCGATCCTTCCTCCGTGTCACGACGCACGCGCTTCTTATGCGAACATGGCTCCTAAAGTCAATACAACGTGAAATTTCAGTATACTCTTTATACTTTATGGCAACCCAAGTGTGCTCCAAGAACTCGGACGCACGCACGCACACACCTAGTGAGAGTCTAAGTGCGGAAACTGAGCCCACCAACCATACCCGTTATCAAAGAAGTTGCGCCTACTGAATGCTATCTCCGACACTATCGACATATTTATATGTTCGCAGAGTGAATTCACAGTAGCGATATTGTGTAAATTATGTATTATATACTGCTCAAAACAATTAGCGGAACAAGATTTTTCTCCTTTCTATTGCTTAAACTAAAATTAGATTTAAATTAACTTGTACGCTATTTTTTACCTTGTTAATTTGTTAACTACTACAATTAATAAAAAAATCAATTTGTATTTTTTTTATTAAAAAAAAATTAAAATGTGCATTGTAGACGAAAAACAAAGTGACGTCTTTGAATTTTCATTACTTTCTAATCACAGAAAACACATTTTAAGTAGGTTTTTTCAATCTTTTAAGTATTAATAGAAATTGAAGTGAGCCTTTTGAGTATTGTTATTCATTGAAGCGAGTGAGTTTAGGTCATAATGCCAGATCTGACTGAATTGCATGTCTCCTGAGCTATCGCTTTGCTTGAAGAGGGTCGAACTATGCGTTATGTAGGAAATGATCTAGGAGTAGCCCCTTCTGTTATCTACAGACTTTGGAAGCGATACCGTGAGACGGGAGAATACTCACGAAGGCGTGGTCAAGGTCGAAAGAGAAAAACTACACGTTTGCAAGATCGCTACATCGTCAACTGTGCTTTACGTAACCGCACCACAACTGCAAGAGATCTACAAAATACACTAAGGACGGCTACTGGTGTAGAAATTTCCGACCAGACGGTAAGAAATAGGTTGTTGGAAGCCAATTTGAGATCACGCCGACCAGTTCGGGCTGTGCGTCTAACAATTCAACATAGACAAGCTCGCTGACAGTTCGCGCAAAATCACGTTAATTGGCAACTTCGACATTGGAGGCCAGTGCTTTTTACTGACGAATCACGATTCCGTCTAACACGTTGCGATGGTCGTCTCCGTGTTTACAGACGCCCAGGCGAGCGATACAGTGCAGCAGCAGTCCAGGAATATGACAAATTTGGATGTGGCTCTGTGATGGTTTGGGGCGGAGTTAGTTTGGACGAGCGCACAGATCTCGTCGTTGTTCCCGGGCGCTTGTGTGCTCAAACTTACATTGAAAATGTGCACGAAGATCATGTTGGCCCGCAGCATATGGTATGGGCCCAGATTTTCTTTTGATGCAAGATAATGCCAGGCCGCATACTGCAGCCATCACGTCAGATTACTTACGACAGCAGGAAATCCGTTTAATGGAGTGGCCTTCCATGAGCCCTGACCTAAATCCAATTGAACACATTTGGGACTTGCTTGACAGGCGCATCCGGAAGCGTCCGATTGCACCTCAACCACTGCAGCAGCTCACTGAAGCGTTGATTGAAGAATGGGAGCGAATTCCACAAGAAGATATTCGGAGGATCATACGAAGCATGCCGCGTCGTTGTCAAGCCGTGATTAGGGCTCATGGAGGCCACACACGTTACTGAAAGTCACTAAAGACGAATATTCAAACGATATAAGAATATTTCTTTGATGGACCTTTTTTATCACCAATTAGTTTCTCGTCTACAATGCACATTTTAATTTTTTTTTAATAAAAAAAAATACAAATTGATTTTTTTTATTAATTGTAGTAATTAACAAATTAACAAGGTAAAAAATAGCGTACAAGTTAATTTAAAGGATGATTCACGGTACACCGTGTCGCGACCGGGCCGGGCCTCGGCCGGGACACGTCCACCGTGCGCCGGCCGGGACAGTGGTTCATGTTACACCGGGCTGTTTGGGTGTACGCACGTACGTGTTTGGACGACTATATCTGTTTTTGTCAAAAAAAAAACAAAAAAAAATTTAACCTCACTAAGATTTGACGTTGACTGCTCTGCAGCGCCCGGGCGCCTACGTTCATGTTACGACGTGCCGGGGCCGGACCGTGCCGGAGCCGGGAAACAATACCCACCGACATTACAACGCCGTGCCCCGGCCGTGCCCCGGCCGAGCCACGGTCAGGCATGAATTACTTCATACAAAAGTATATCATTAATGTTAGACCGTGCCCCGGCCGGGGCACGGCCCGGTCGAGACACGGTGTAGCGTGAATCAGCCTTTAATCTAATTTTAGTTTAAGCAATAGAAAGGAGAAAAATCTTGTTCCGCTAATTGTTTTGTGCAGTATATATTTTATTCTAATTTTATTTTTTTTTCGACATTATCGTATTAATCGTAAGGATAGTGAAAGTATTTTAGTGAATAAATAACTTTTCACGACTTGATCGATTAATAAAATTAACGTACAGAACGAACGGATTTTTGTACAGTTGTACGGTTGTAAATTGACTGAAATATAATGATTATTGGTTGAAGAAAATAATTATGAAACTTACACAATCTGTGGGATGATTGAGATCGCACAGTTTGACCTCACACGTGTAGTAGACGCTGGCCGTGTAAGGGAACTTGTGAGCTGGGAATGAAACCTTCGCCTCTTGCTTCTCCACGCTGTACTGGAAGAGGCCCATTATTTCGCCGTCTAATGGGCAGCTGGAAATTATTTCTCATTAAGACTTCCACCTGCGCTAAACATCGTATTCAAAAAATCAATGGCGCTAGAACCTTTTTAGGTCTGGGCTTCAGATTTCTGTATCTGATTCATGATCATTTGTTAATCTAATAGGCAAGTAGATGATCAGCCTTCTTCGTGCTTGACATACACCGTCGACTCTTTGGGTCTAAGGCAAGCCGGTTTCCTCACGATGTTTTCCTTCGTACGAGCGAATGTTAAATGCGCACATAGAGATTCCATTGGTGTACAGCCGGGGATCGAACCTACAACCTCAGGAATGAGAGTCGCACGATGAAGCCACTAGGCCAACACTGCTGCTAAGTATCGTATGCAGACCACAAAATTTTCAAAAACTAGCAGTCATATCGAGATGATCCATTTCTTCGAATCAGGTATATTAGAATATAGGGAACAACCCATAAAAATCGATTCAGTAGTTTTTGAGATATGGATATATTTATCCAGATGCTATAATGGCGTCGTGTTTATTACAGCACACTAAAAGAGCTATACAAAAAAGCAATCGGTCCGATTCATTTTTGTATCAAATGAGTATCTTCCAATTTCTGGCCTTCAGCTGCAGCAGGTCCTCCACTCAGTCGATCCAGTGGTACTAAGTACTGGCTACTAGGCCGGCCCAGGTAAGCCATCACCGCCCGATCTTGGCCCATTGCCCCAACCAACGTATTGATACCGGCAAACATCTTGAACAAATGTCCTTGCCTGCGCAGAAGCAATTTTTAGGTGTCGCTGGGAGGGATGCTGACGTGTCGATCGCGTGATTGATAAATCAGTTGACATTTGTATGTGTACGATGCGCAAACCTTCCCCCTCTCCCTTGTTTAATGCTCAAGAAATTTGCCGGTATCTATAGTGGATGGAATTTGGAGAAAAACCTTAAAACTAATAAATATATAATATTTATACCCATCATCAGCGATCAAACTCTGTTCAGCCCATCCCAGTCCGTCCCGCACCGAGCACTCGGAGACCAGAAGGCCGTACTTCCTCTGTTTTTCTAATGACACAACTAACGTGAGCGTGTCACCTATGCGAACGTTTGACGCCACCTGAAATGTACAAAAAAATTTAGGCATTTCTTTACAAAAACCGATTTAGATTAAGGTTCTATATTTTTTTATATAACATTTCGTTCTGCACTTCTTGCACTCATCATGTTTCTTTTTTTAGTTTTTCTCTTACTAGGGTTGCCTGGAAGAGATCACTGATTAGTGATAAGGCCGCCCGTTGCATCCCTTTTTATGTATTGTGTTTCTTTTATTTTTATTGCTGCGAAATGTGAATAAATAAATAATTAAAACTGTAGTTGCACTACGATGTTTAAGGTCTGGGCTTCAGCTATCTTTCTTGGTTTTTCTAATAGGCAAGTAGGTGATCTATGTCTATGATCAGCCTCCTGTATCTGATACACGTTCTAAGGCATGGCGGTTTTCGAATGTTGTTTTCCTCCACGTAAGAGCGGCTGTTTAACCTACATATAAACGAAAGGTCGATTGGTGCACAGCCGAGGTTCAAACCTATCACAGGGACGAGAGTGGAAAGCTGAAACCACTAGGCCAACACCTAGAGAGGTGTAATTCTTTTATGGATAGAAACAATTCGCTTGATGGTCTTAATTCTCCAACTTCATTCATAAAAACCAATTCCTCCTACAAAGTACTCCTTTGTCTCTTTAGAGATAGACTTTTTTAAATTAATAATGGGTCCTTTCTCCAATTTCGATTAAAACTTAATTTCTCGGTAATTATTACAATGTATTTATTAAAGCACAAAATTGCTTAATGAACGTTGTAAACTCTTTAATCTTTCTAAAAGATTTCGTTTTGAGCGAGAATACCAATTGTATATAAATTTTAATGATAAATTTATTTAATAAAGATATAAGGATTGTAAAATACCTGTTTTTCTTCGGGGTCACCCTTAAAGATTTTCATAGTTACAGAGGGTAATAAACCGGATTCCTCGTCGTACTCATCTCTGAAATAAAACAAATAAAATAGAACCACTTCTAATATAAAATTAAAAAAAAATTAGAAGAAAATTATTAAATAACAATATTTCTTAACAATTTGTCATGTGATACTAAGATTTACTATTGAAGATCATAATAGGCTATGTTTCCGAACTCCGCTATGAGACATATTTGCTGCAACCGAATAATTTTACACCTCGATTATCTAGATTTGTACTCGAACGGCGCAGCTATCAACCTTCATTATTTAATAATATTGTTATATATACTTATTTTACCCTATATTATATACTTTTTTTAACCCCATATTATATACTTTTTTTACCCTATATTATATACTTTTTTTAACCCCATATTATATACTTTTTTAACCTCATATTATGTACTTATTTACCCCAAATAATATACTTTTTAAACCCCATATTATATACTTATTTTACCCCATATTATATACATATTTAACCCCACACTACATACTTTTTAAACCCCCTATTTTATATACTTATCAGTTATCGGGTGGCCAAAGCATTTTTTTTTCTAGGAATAATTTGTTAGTTACTTCGACAAACATACATCTTCTTGAACTTAGATACTGGGCGTATCAGTTATCAGTGATAGAATAGTCGAAGATCCACTACCGGATGAGGAGTAGCATACTTTTCAATTACGTAAATTAATTCTATAATGTGCCTTTATGTGCCACTTACCGTATATCAGTCCTGGAAGTGAGTCTGTCAGCGTGTGGTCTGTGCAGATGGAAAAGCGTGAGGTCTCGCCTACGGTAGCGACACCTGACGTGGTAGCCCCGACCTTGACCAGTCACAAGGCGCAAATGAGGTTGCACTATTATATTGTTGTAGTATTCCACTGTTCCGTCCTCCTGGAAATTAGTTTTAAATTTGAACAACAATGGCAGGTCGGATCTTAATAAGTACGGCATAAAAGATCTTGTCGGTCCTTTATGTCTTCCAAACCAAGCATAGTTACTCATAGAAATAAGTCCAAAACACGATCAATGTTGATAAAAGTGAAACCAAATGGGCCATGGGCGCCATACAGATGATGTGGACAGAGTCTTTGGATACAAATTCTAAAGTTTCCATACATTTTATAACTGGAAGAAAACTTAAATTCTACACGATACTGTTACACTTAGTATAGATAGGTGTGCGCATTATTATTATTAATAATTTAACAAAGAGTTTGAAGAGGGTGCTCTAATTACAATTTCCGAAAGCCTATTCCACTGAGCCACTATTGTTTGGGAGAAGGTTCGTTTGGGAAATTGTATTATATTGAGTGGTCTTCTGATTTAAAGAATCTCTTAAATGTATGTTTTCACTTAGAATGAAGAGCTTCTCAATTCACCTATCAAGTCGTTTCAGACGCTCAATATGTTTTGTTCCTAAGAGCTCTGACCATTTTCGTGGCTTTTCCTTGCTTTCTTTTCATGCTCGAATTTACTTAGTAGAAATATTTTGTCAATTAGGCAACAATTTAATAGCACTTAACCGATAGACATAAGAAACATATGCAAAAAGTGCATTATAACGCTCGAAGAAATAACTAACTAATAATACTCCATTAGGGTCAATTTCGGGTCCTAACAATGAGGGGAGATGACGTCACGTCCGGTTCCAAGTATTTGGTCGGAAATGGCGGGCTGATGTGAATTTGTAATGTAGATATTGATCTTTAAGTGAATGGTATAGATTCGAGTGGAGATAGTGTAACATTATATAATAAATGTTTAATACGAAAAATTAATTTATTTACACCTTAAAAATCTCTCTAGCGCACTCACAATGTTGATTAACACAGTTGAAAGATTTGTTTACAGTTTCGTAAAGGTCTATAAAATCAAAATCAAGACGAAATTTTTTTTTTTAATAAAACTAAAAGCATTTTATTATTTTATGAGCAGTGTTGGCCTAGTGGCTTTAGCGTGCGAATCTCATCCCTGAGTTCGTAGGTTCGAGCTATGCACCAATGGACGTTCTTCGCACGCATGTAACATTCGCTCGAACGGTGAAGGAAAACATCGTGAGGAATCCGACATGTCTTAGACCCAAAAAGTCGACGCCGTGTGTCAGCCACAGGAGGCTGATCACCTACTTGCCTATTAGATTGACAAATGATCATGAAACAGACAAACAGGCCCAGACCTAAAGAGGTTGTAGCGCTACTGATTTATTTTATTTTTTTTAAACATTTTAAAATTTAATAAACGAAGATTTAGTTAGCCCAACAAGTTTAGGTATTTGGGTCCCCAGTAACCCCAATTTTAAAACTACATTACAGAAAATTTTAACGTTCCAAGAGACCTTTAGTATAACCTTGCTTCACAGCGGAGGCGGGCCCAATGGTCACAATAAATAACCAGTTTGGGCTTTCAATGTGATTAAATAATACTTTTTAGAATGGTGAACCCGACTTTCCGATTTGAAATGTTTAAAGCTGAAATATGAAGGTTTAAAGAGAATTTCTGTTCGTTTGTGGAATAATTTAATTTCTCGTAGGATAAGATTCAAAATTTGAGTGACTCCTGAGCGTCAAAAATGTATTTTTTTCACCTGATGTTAAGTGATACCGCCGCCCATGAACACACACTGCCAGAAGGCTCGCAAGTGCGTTGCCGGCCTATCAAGAATTGGTATGCCGGCCTTTGAAGAATTGGTACAACATACGAATATCATGTTTGTGACTTTATTTAAGGTAACAAACACCAGTATTTGGCCTATCAATGAATCGACAGAGTGGAGGACCTGCTGCAGCTAAAATCCAGCAGTTGGCGGGTTGCACAGGACTTTGGAAACTCAAACTCAAATACAAAATATCTTTATTCATGTACGTAAACAAGTACACTTATGAACGTCAGAAAAGAAGCTAAATTAATTGTAAATTTGCATTTACTACCAGTTCCCAAGTCAAGGGCTACTGCAGCAAATAAATCCCAAGGATTTGGAACTTTTAAATAATCGTCAAATTTATAAAAAGCTTTATTGATTAGTTTACGTTTAACTAGGGCTTTAAATTTATTTTAGTGATAATTCTCTAAAATTAACGAACACTGTACTTGGATTAAACCACGTTTAGTAATGAGATTTTAAGCCGAAGTATTCTATCTAAGCTAGGTACATATTTTAGTTTCTCTAGATTTTTTTTTAGGTTTTAATGTAACAAGTGCAGTATCGTCCCTATAACGCGGTACCCCTATAACGCGTTTTCGTATGAAGCGATTTCCGTTACGGGAAAATTTTCTAATGTTATATTTCTGTAGTGTTAAATTTATTATGATTTGTAGTCCATAATTTGTTTTGCGTACCATTACACTGTCTCAATTGTATATAAAATTAAACTAAATAACTTTATTAAATTCGTGTTCCCAGTTTTTGAATAGAATATTACTTACAACACGATTTCATATAACGCGGTCCGGGTCTACCGCATTATAGGGAGGTTACTGTACACTCTAAGTATATTAATTTCAAGCGTGTAATTAGGTTACCTTTAATTGAGGTCGCATTGCGTCTAATCAATCTGAATTTTATTATTCCATTTATAGCTATGCACACACATACCATACTTATTAAACCTTTGGCCCGAACTTCCTAAAACGAAAGATTTCTCGCGTCTCAATTGACTGCAATCGGTGAATATAGTTTCACGTCAAATCACAGACTCCTGGTCTCTTTGTTTGACCAATCAAAATCGAGCCAAGAACGTTATTCCTTGAAAATTTTTCTTGGACATTTTCCTGCATATTTTATAACCACTGCACGGGTCTGCAATAGCTTGCTTAAAAGGTTTTTATTTAATCAAACGTGAAGATTTATGGCAACAAACATTGAAAGTTGTTTGTTTAGGATCAACCTTCTCAACACAACACACCTTACAAAGAGGTGTTACGTAAATATTTAAGAAAGGACAATACAAAAACAAATATCCCATAAAGAAGTATACTTTTTCTTTTTCCTTACCAATATTTCGATGAAATAGCATCGAATATTCCTATACATATTGGTAAAGATGATTTTGAAAAATTTTATTGGAGAATTTTTGAAGAGTTTCCAATCTATAAATAAAAATAATATCTAATAATAGATAGTACCGGTGACCCCAGAGCTGGTGCTTTCCTCGCTCAACGAATAAGTATCGCAATACAGCAAGGAAATGGTGCCAACGTTAAAGGTACATTGCCACAGGGACCAAACTTTTTAAATTTGTTTTAATTATTTATTTTTTTTTAGATTGGACAATTCACACCAATTGACCTAGTTCCATGCTAAGCTGGTGAAGCTTGTGTTATGGGTACTAGGCAACGGATATACATACATATTATACATAGATAGACCTAAGCACAACACCAAATGCTCATCACATCGATGTTTGTCTCAGCCGGGATCGAACCCGGGACCCATGGATCCGCAGTCAGGGGTACTAACCACTAGACCAATGAGCCGTCAATTATCTTTTTATACATTTTTAATTATTTTAATTATTACTTTGTAGGTTAAAAAAATTGTAAATACAAATTATACGTATAAGGTACTAAATAAATTTACTAAACAATAATATTAGAAAAGGTTAAAATGTAATAGAATATTGAAATGACATAAAAAATGTCAGACATTTTATTTCAAGAATGTGTGTACAATTATAGACAATATAGATTGAGATGATATTGGACAGCACCGTCAAGAGACATTGCGCAAACGCACAAGGAAACGCGTGATATGAATGAATAATGTTCGTCTGTCAGTCAAGGAAATCGGCGGTCCTAATAAACCAATATTAGTAACGGTACTCTTTTGCTAAGGTACCATTTTACCTGGGACTTAATAGAAGTTATATTAACTATTTTCGAGTGTTTTTTTTGTAAAAATTCTTTGCAATTCCTCTGTTCCTCTAACAGACACGTGAATAATTTCAATAGTAGGTACGTGCGTTATTTTATAGTGATTTCCAATACCTATATATGTATACCAATGGTACTAAATTATTTGTTATGTCTGGAAATCGGATTTCTGTATCTATTTCGTGTTCGGACACACACCGTCGACTCTGGGTCATGGTCAAGGCATGCCGGTTTCCTCGCGATATTTTCCTTCTCGGTACGAGTGAGTGTTAAATGCGCATATAGACAGTAAGTCCGTTGGTGTACAGCCGGGGATCGAACCTACGACCCCAGGGATGAGAGTCGCACGCTAAAGCCACTAGGCCATCACTGCTCTTCTTCTGACTATTACTTATAATTTATTATAATTAATAGTTACCAGACCCCAGAGCTGGTGCTTTCCTCGCTTAACGAATTAGTATCGCAATACAACGAGGAATTGCTAAGGGGCAACACACACTACACAGTACACACACATACACTGCCACAAGGGCTTTATAAAATATGTTTAAAGTTTCTATTTATAATTTTTTATATTTAATTTATGAATGCACTATCAAGGAGGTAAATGTTCTGCGTCGACAAAACTGAATTGTTTTGTGTACTCACATTATCAGTAGACATTGTGTTACAGCCCTTCAGTGGAAGCGTGTACTGGAGATCACCTCGGGCGGAAACGAATTCTCGGAGACATGTTGAGTTGCTGCCCAGCCCAGCTGGGTAGACTATGCCGTTGAATGAGTCGTAGACACTGGAAATAAGAACCAAATATTGGAATTTTTTTTTTATAGAACAGGGGAAGAAGTCTCACCTGATGTTAAGTGATACAGCCGCCTATGGACACTCTCAATGCCAGAGTACACTGCCGGCCTTTTAGGAATTGGTACGCTCCTTTCTTGAAGGACCCTAAGTCTTTTATAGTGCTAGATATTATGGCCAAGTACGAATTGACACATTACCTACATCAACTTCCACTATTATTAATTACCTACTTTGCTTTTCATACATGTTACAATGAAAAGCAAAGTAATTATAATTTTATAAGGGTTATAATTTCGAGAACAGAACGAGATCCTAAGAGCAGTTGCAAAAGTACCAACCAACAACGAAGTTCATGAACACCTTAAAATGAGAACTATCATAGAAGAAATACTGAGACTGGCAGCTAAATACAAAGAGCGGTTAAGCCGAACGAGCTTGCTCGCCAACTCACGATAAGACAGTATATGAGTTGACTAAAACGTCACCATATTCGAGAGCTAGAAGACCGGCAGTAGCTCTAGGCAGAAGATGAGTAGATGCTTCCAATGGGAAGTCCCTCCACATGACAGCACCACAGAACAAATAGCCTTAGGGCTGATTGCAAATAGCCGCAGAAAAAAAAGGGTTATAATTTTTAGATTAGGTAAAAAAATTGACTTTGAAAAATGATCACTGAAGGAGAAATGAACCTTTATGGGGATTATAAAAAATAATAAATTACCTGTTAGCATGACTAGTTGAGAGCGATATAGTGACGTGCATGTTGTCCCTCTCGCACGCGACGGCGAGGGTGTCAAGTGGTGCGAGCGCTTCCGGCCATTCCGAGTCGGATTCGGTGACTGTAGCCACCGCTGTATTTGGTAAATCTGAAAATTGGTAATGACCAGTATAATTATAAGTTTCTGTTTCTAAACATAGTCGTACTAAATTAACTACTAGTACGACTATGTTTAAAACGCAGAGACACAATTTGGTAACAAAAGTACCCACGTCTTGGGTATGTTTAACACAGGTTAAATGGATATTGAAAAAATCAGTGGAAAAAGAGTGCCTGACACACGACGTCGACTTTTTGGGTCTAAGGCAAGTCGGTTTCCTCACGATGTTTCCCTTCACCATATTAAATGCGCGAAAATAATTTTCATTGGTGCACAGCCGGGATTGAACCTACGACCTCAGGGATGAGAGTCTCACGCTGTAGCCACTAGGCCAACATAGCTCTTCAAATGGTTGGTTGGTATAATTAACCAAATATTTGACAAAATTAACCACGGATGCGAAAGGAATTCGAAGCCCAATTCAATGAAAACATAGCAAGTTTTGCTTTATTTAAACCTTCGTTAAAAGGCTTACTAACTAATAGCGTAACTATTAATTACGGGTCTGATACACACTAGTTAGTACAAATAAAAAGAAATCCTTTTACGATCCTTCCGTGGTACCGCATTTAGTCTTAATTAGAATCTGTTTTAAATTTATTAGTATAGAACATCCATATAAAAGTTGAATGCACTAATATAATTACGGGCAAGCGCCCTACAGGATCGGTCAACGGTACAACCAGTATGCTGCGTATGCGCATAAAACGATTTCAAGTCGTGATAAACAAAAATACAAGGCGGGAATATGAAATAGCCATGTCTGGATTTGGGAAGGGTCACGTTGATTTTGTAAGCGATTTTTGAACTTATAGCGACTACATATCTTAATATATATAAACTACGCGTCACCTTGTTTGTCCGCTATGGACTCCTAAACTACCGATATCAATCAAATTTGCACACCGTGTGTAGTTTGATCCAACTTAAAAGATAGGATAGCATCTCAATTTATACCCGCAATATTATTTTATTGCAAAATATTTGTTTATTATTTGATAGTCATAATTCTAACAGATGGTGCTGTGTTGAAAGTACCAACGTTTCACATAAGCTACAATTTAATGGCATAACCACCAAAAAACGCATGGTGGTCCCCATGACTGGTGTTTTCCTACCGTTTCCCTTGAATAGTTTGCTACTATGTAATATAACAAAAACCTTAGCCACAGCAACGCTTGGCCGGTCTGCTAGTTTATATATATTTAAGAAACTATTATATTTTGAATACGCAGGGCCCACTTGTCTAATAAAACGTTAACCGACTTTAAAAATCCTATTTTTATAGCAAACATTTCTCTTTTGTAAAGTGACAGAAAATGTATGTGCTTGACATAGTTCTATAGTTACCTAAATTATATGATTTGACACCCAAATATCTTAATTGCCCGTAAGCACTTAAGAGACGCTGTGAGATTTTTCATACGCCCAGCGATACTTTATGAGTTTAAACAATCGTTGGTTTTAACTGTTGGAGTTTCAATATGTAAATAATGGCAGGCAACGCTTGTCACATATTAAGAAAAAGTTTTAGTTTCGAATACTGTGGAATGCCTGTTTAAACTTTATATAAAATGATTGTTTTCTGTTATGAAATTATACTTCTCTTCAAGACGCGGACAGTGAATCATCCTAATGATATTTAAACATAAATTATTGTCAATATGTAAAAGTGTGTAATCTTTCTAATATATATATTAACCATGAAGAAAGTGTTTTTAAAATAGCCCCTCCCCTCAAAATAAGAAACGTCCAACATTAACAATTATCGCGATTCCGCTCCGCGTATCTAAAACCGAGCCCGATAAATTCTTGGCGCCTCGGGTTCATCGGCCTCGCGTCCAGCTATTGGAATATCACAATGAGGGCTTTTTGTGTCTATTTGTGTATAATAGACCATTTTGTCTAGAAGAAACAGGTTGAGTTTGTTTGAGACGACATTCAAATTAGGTAACAACATAAACGCTGTGACAATGTATTTGAGAGCTTTGGTTTAAACCAGTGATTATAAAATAAAAAATAAATAGGGGGTCCATAAAATGAAAATGGGGGTCCACGATAGTGGATCTCAACACATACACTGATAGTACCTATTTACTTACATCATACTATCTTATAATATCAAAACATATACATTTCAAACAAACGGATACAAAATTTTATTTTGAGTAATTTTAATTTAAATTCAATTAATAAATGTATAAATTAACATGTGTTTTTAGTTTTTAACACTAAACTTCACTACAGTTAGAAATTTACAGGAAATCAATATCAGGTAAGTAGGGGGGGTAGGGGGTCTACCCAACACGTAAAAACATGGCAAGGGGTCTACGACACAAAAAAGTTTGGGGAACTCTGGTTTAAACATTGGTTTTTACATACTTTAAATATATTCTATTGGAATCTAACTTACAGTGGCGGATTTACCAGCAGGCTGAGGGGGCTGGAGCCTAGGGCGGAAGAAATTTGGGGCGGCATTTGGGAACCGAATTTTTTTGTTACTTCATAGAAATCAAAAAGATTTCTGCATGACGGTTTTTTGATGTTTTATTTGCCGATGACTTTCCCCTCTTACTTGTCATTGTATATTCAGAGTAGCAAACTTCCATATTCTATAGTAAACCAGCTTGTGCGCAACCAGTAATCGACGTCTGCGCCCTCAGCACACACTTTGTATGAGTGAGAATGCAGAAAATGTTTTTCCATCTTCTCCCTTCTCCTATCACCCCATACATGTCAGTCCTTGTACTGGTTGGATGCTGCGAACTGGATGGTTTGTGTAATCAAACCCAAAATTATGTAACGTGCAATTTCAACGAAATTCTTGGATTGTACAGGCAAGGGTTAACATCACAGCCTATACCTTGAAAATGTGTAAATCTCCCATAATCGCGAGGTAAGGAAGAGCACCCGTAATGTGCCTCCAAATAGCGCCCGACCTTTTTTAAAGTTGGATGTAATTCTCTCAATTACGGTTATTGATGTCGCAACTTTGGGATGGAGTACAAAAACTCATTATTGTGACTCCTATTACAGGGATACAGAGTAAACACATCCATAAACATAGAGGTTACCCAAATTATACAGGTTCACTTTTTGCTTTTAATACAGTATGAAGTTTGGAAGACCATAGATGTTGCAATGCGTCTGAGTTGACCACAGACGGATTATTAATATAAACATTATGAAATTACCTGCATTGTGTGGTAATTGCTTGGACCGCGCGGTCGCGAACAATGCCGCTACCACCACAAGGGACCACATCTGAAACAATAAAATTGAAGTTTATTAATAAAAAAACAGTAATATCTTCAGATTTCCGTATCTGTTTCGTGATTTATTTTTCTAATAGGAGCAAGTAGGAGACCCAGCTTGTGCCTGACAGACACCGTCAATTTTTCATTCGGCATTTCGGTCTCCTCACGATGTTTTCTTTTACAATACGAGCGAGTGTTAAATGCACCCATAGACAGAAGTAGGTACAGGGGTTCGAACCTACTATTTCAGGGCTGAGAGTAAAATAAAATATGGTTATTATAGAAGATACCTATAATGAACATATATATATTGATAGTTATCTTCTATAATAAACATATTTTTTATTATTCCACGTCATTAGAGACTTATTCCACGTCATTAAATTTGTATCGGTAGACATCCCTACTCATCGGCAAAGAAGACAGAAGGTGTAGACCGAGAGAAAAAGCCGCCGGAAACAGAAAATTTTGGTACTCTTTTAAAATATCAAATCATCATAAAGAATAACTATGGTATTGTCTTTGATTAACATAACTTTTATTCATTTAATAAAACACTTATAACCTAACATATATAAACTTTTGACCGGATTGAAGTTATAATAATACATAACTTCAATCCGGTCAAAATAGTGTTTTATTAAAAGAATAACTATGGCAAACATAGCTAGAAGAAACCAGAAGGAGGGAGTCGCACGTGAAATTCACTTGATCAATACTGCTGATGATACGATATTGTTTATTTAACAGTAATAAAAACGGTATAAAGAGGATTGAAATATCTCCAGTAATTTTCACCAGCAAATGAGTCAAATAAAAATAGAAAATAATTATTCAAATAAGCCGTATTGTTTTATAAATTCTTTAACAACAAGAGAAGATACCTCGCAACATTTCAATTGATACACGCACACACAAACACTTTTCACTGTTTACTGCCCATAGACACCCATGGTCTTATTGGCAAAACCAGGAGGTCTGCAAGTGTTTTGCCTATTAATTACCGCGTTGTTAATGTTCATAATTTTCTAATACTATTTGCTCGTAAACCATGTTAGGTGATAAACTGGCGGCACGGCAGTGTGTCCGCCAAGTCGAGTTAAAAAGCGGCCGTACTCTCTTTTTCTCGAAACAAATCAGGCCTTCGTTGTGGATAAAAGTCAGTGTATTTATTTAAAACAAAAGATTTGTATTATTGATATGGTCTCAATGACATGTTGTTAGGTTAGTTAATTACGTAATAACTTTACACAGAAGGTCCTTAAGTAGAAACTGAATAAATTGACCGACTTGGTATTGCATGGATCTCACAACTTTTTACGGTAGAAGAACTGCGTTGCGTGTATTGTTTTTTTTACAAGTTATGTTTAAATGGCATTATTTTTATACATAGTCTTTATTGTTAGACCGTAGACACTATACGGGCGATTACATATGACCTTGGTAAAAGGCCGTGTTAAATATATCGTTACATATTACTTAAGTCTATTTGCATATGTTCTTTATCAACAATTTACTTTAATTTCGAAGGGCTATGGTTGAGATGGAATTATCATTCAACAGATTAATGTTTACACTACTAATTAATGTAATTATTTTTACTCTGTGTGAATTTTATACTTCCTAGAATTTCAAATCGGTATCATGACATCGAATGGCCATATGACATCATCGCAAGTCGAGGCAGAATACGAAATACCACCCGTATCACCTCGACATCCGTCGGTCCACAACTGGGCGATTTTTAAGGCATTTTTTGCAACGCACCACCACTACGTTTGAATAAACTAGCCAATGAATTACTTCCGAACCAACTTTCGTACGTCCTTCAAGATACGACCGTACTAATTCGACTTAGGGTCCTTCAAGATAGGACCGTACCAATTCGACTTAGGGTCCTTCAAGATAGGACCGTACCAATTCGACTTAGGGTCCTTTAAGATAGGACCGTACCAATTCGACTTAGGGTCCTTCAAGATAGGACCGTACCAATTCGACTTAGGGTCCTTCAAGATAGGACCGTACCAATTCTTAAAATGCTGGCAAGGCAGCCTTCTGGTACTGTAAGTGTCCTGCCCACCCCTGCCAAATTTAGGGTATTAGCACAGGTATTTAAGGGTCTACTTTCTCAGCTCATAGTTATAAGTAAAGTCACGTGTCAGTCCTAGTGATGACATAATGAGTTAATTAGAATCGAGAAAACTAGAAATCCTTCACATGTTCTTTGCATTACGAGGAAGTGAAGTCATCTGTGAATAAATATTAGACAAGGTCTTCGTCCACAATAATTTATTAAATGATTATGATTATTATAAAATAGTTTTTTTTTTATTTTTCTTTTATTTATTGAGAAAGATTTACAGCTTATTACTAACTTACTTACTAAATATAATGTTCTAAATGACTGCATGAAATGGTAATGTATATTTAGAATATTCTAGTTTGTTATATTGATTTTTATAACTATGTATCCGGCCTCCCTCAAAGGCCTGTAACGCACTCACTAAAATGGGTGTCTATGAGCTGCGAGTGCTCTTTTTGTAGCCAAATGTAAAAAAGCGCAGCCCATGTTGTTGCGCAGGGTGTGTTGCCGGCCTTAGGCGAAAATAAAAGATCTATACTTATAATTAAATAATGCTTATTTAAAAATTTTAAACAAAATCATTTATATATAACCTATATTTAATGTCTTTACACAGACTATTAACAGTTACAGAATACAAAATTGGAAAACAATATAAAATAACACAATGAATGATAAATAGGAGTAATTTAATAACATACAAATGTATAATTAACTCTCATAAATCGCCTCTAAAGGCGCCAACTGTGTTGGGACTTGTTTATTGTACAAGAATTAAATAATTTATTTCCAACACACAAATATACAGTATTAACAATATGTATAGTTCAAAATGAATTTAAGCTGAGCTGGTGCTTTCCTCACTCAACGAATAAGTATCGCAATACAGCGAGGAAATGCCAGCGTTAAAGATACCACACAGAGACCATTATTAAATTTGTTTTAATATTCAATTCACGAATTAAATAATAATAAACTTAAATTGTGATGCAACGGGCTGCCTTATACTAAGCCATTACTTCCAGGCAACCCTAGTGTAACAAAACAGTATATATTTAATGGTAGTATGAACGGTGGTGCTTAAACACATTTATCAATATATGACAAAAATTAGAAGCTAAGCAAATAAAACTGAAATGCTTCTATCAATTTAGTATAGACTGTGTAAAGGAAGTACGAGTGACCCAATAATATGTAACATAACAAACCGATTACAATTAAATAAACTATGTTTGAACAGCTTAAATGAAAGTAGAACGCACTTGTGAGAGGGACTAGATACATTTCTCCTCAATCAAGAAATTAAATAACTCCAGTTACGAAACTTGAATTGGTGTGTATCCGTCCGTTTCCATAAACTCCTTTGTTTCTTATTTATTGATTATAGTTTACCACGTTATATATATAAGGCTATCTACAGTATATGTTACAAGCTCGTACTAATGTAGATTTATGAATAGAACAGGGGGCAAATGAGCTCACCTCATCTGATGATAAGTGATATTGCTCATAGATATTGCCAGAGGGATCGCAAGTGCATTGTTGGCCTTTTAAATATCCACAAATCCACATAATCATCATCATCAGTCTCTCTTTTTTGTCCATTGCTGGACGTAGGCCTCCTCTATCTTCCTACAGCATAGCACCCTGCACTGGCCTCTCTGCATCCACTGTGTAGCCTGCCCATCGCCACTTAGATAAGTTTATTATAATAATAATAAAACTTAATGTATTCAATAACTTAATTAAAACACATTAATTTGTTCTAAAAAATATTTAATAAGCTTCATTTCAAATACATCAAGACATAACATTGATGAATTCAAAATTTATTTGTATAGGTAATATATTAAGCAGGAAATTACTTAAATAAATATATTAAAAAAAAAATGTATGCTTCCGGAAGTAATTAAGTACAAACACATTAAATCGAACGGCAAAATATTCTTACAGAAGGGCATGTCAATCCGTATAAATGTGTAGTGTCCCTTTAACATATTGCGTAACAATTTGACCAAGTTACTGACACAACTTGCTTGAGGCGAACGGACCTCATTACTTGAAATGCTTCTCACAGATTATATCATTATATTGCCAATTCTGTCAAACTTTGATAAGTTTTTGCAATAATATCCTTACACTATTTATTTTTTTACAAATTATAATAATTAAGTTAATAGCTTTCGAGCGATCATATAAATAATTTATTTTAAGTTTACAGCACTTGGACTCTGTCACCATTATGTAATTCTAAATACTTATACGACTTTATTGGTCGGTTTTTGTTACACATGATCCCGTGACATAAAAACTACGGATATTACAACAACACAGCGAAATTGCGTGAAATGGAACCGGTCTCTATAATAAATCTTTATGTCAAAACTTTAATTAGCCTGATTATAAAAATTGGTTTTACAACTACTATTTAGAATTACAGTCCTGCGATTCCGCTGTGTGAGTTCGAAAAGTGAATTACAGAATCGCAGGGCAGGTATATAGTTTAAACCGGTGACCCCAAAACTGATGCTATCCTCGCTCACCAAATAAGTATCGCAATACAGCGAGGAAATGCTGCCATGTAGGGTACACTGCCACAGGGACCAAACTGTTCGATTAGTGTTCTATTATTTCTATGTATGTTATGAATATTGTAAATACTTTTTACTAATAAATAAGTGAAATAGTCCTTGAATTTTATGACTAAAAAATATAAAACGCCTGGCCAGCTTATTCGTAATTCATGTACTAAACTAATTTATGGCAATCCAACAACATACAAAATTGATTTCTTAAACGTTAAAAGACTCATAGGGACTAATCTATCGAAACCAAAGTCGAAGAGCCTTTTAATTTTTACATATAAAAATCGTCCTTACGAAACTAGGATCGATTTCTGTCTTAATAATACTATAGATATTTCG